GTTTATCGATATCGGTCACTGCGATACACAAGTGTGTGTGGCATCATTTGAGTCTGGAAGCATGAGAGTCCGTTCTCATGCTTTTGATAGAAACTTGGGCGGGAGGGATTTTGATGAGGTTCTCTTCAACCACTTTGCCGTTGAATTTAAGGAGAAATACAACATAGATGTATATACAAATACCAAGGCGTGTGTTAGGTTAAGGGCATCCTGCGAGAAGCTTAAAAAGGTCTTGAGTGCAAATGCTGAGGCACAGCTGAATATAGAATGTCTGATGGAGGAGAAGGACGTGAAGAGCTTCATCAAGAGAGAAGAGTTTGAGAAGTTGTCAGCAGGCTTGCTGGAGAGATTAATTGTACCGTGTCAAAAGGCTTTGGCTGACTCTGGTGTAAGTTTGGATCATATCCACTCTGTGGAGCTAGTTGGTTCAGGGTCCCGCATTCCAGCTATATCTAAGATGCTAAGCTCATTGTTTAAGAGGGAGCTAGGCAGGACTGTGAATGCAAGTGAGTGCGTAGCTCGAGGATGTGCGCTTCAATGTGCAATGCTCAGTCCAGTTTTTCGAGTTAGAGATTATGAGGTACGCTCTTCTCTATTTGTGAAAATATTCTTTCTTAGTTCCGTTTCTTTTTGAGTACCGTGTGTATTAAATACATGATGGCGTATATACCTTTACGGATTTATTTTCTATAAATGGCGGGTGTTTTAATCTTGTTTATGCTTCCCCTATTTTCAGGTTCAAGATTCTTTCCCTTTCGCAATCGGCTTTTCATCTGATAAAGGTCCCATAAACACACCATCGAATGAATTGCTATTTCCGAAAGGCCAGATCTTCCCAAGTGTAAAGGTTCTTACTCTACATAGGGAAAACACTTTCCATTTGGAAGCCTTTTATGCAAACCATAATGAACTATCACCAGATTTACCAACTCAGATAAGCAGTTTTATGGTATGATATCTTTCAGGCTTCCCTTGTTCATATATATATTCAGTCTGTAGAGTTCTGATTTCGCCTTGGATGGTTATGCCACTATTGGGCACTGCATATTTAATGGAAAGTTAATTTTGCTGTGTAATGTTTTGTTAGATTGGGCCTTTTCATATATCGCACGGAGAAGCAGCACGTGTCAAAGTAAGAGTTCAGCTAAATCTCCACGGGATTGTCACGATTGATTCAGCTACGGTGAGTACAATCTCATCAGTCTTCTTCAGATATGATTTCCTTTGTGTGTCTACCTAGCTTGAGTCTAAACTATCCGTTTCTGAACAGCTAATAGAATATCACAAGGAGAATATAACTTCCGAAGAGATGATATCCGAAGAGAATCATCAATCTTCTGCTATGAAGGATGGCACTTTGGACCCTTCGTCAGGTTCTACTGTAAGTATAGTTTTAACACCGTATAAAGAAATATAGTTGCATAACAAGAAGGCTGCAAGGCCGAGATATAAAAAGCTGATGTTGAATCATTGGCATATCGATTAAATTCTGAAACAATGAAATGGTTGATCTGGGGATTCTCCATAGAAATGCTAATCTGTAAAAGTCCTGACAATAGTTTCTCTTGTGTAGGGTAATGAGCCCAAGGCTATCAAAAGAATGGAAATTCCAGTTGTTGCGAACGTGTCTGGTGCATTGACAAAGGATGAGTTATCGGAGGCCAAACAGAGAGAGAACTCTTTAGTGGAGCAAGATCTGAAGATGGAATCGACTAAGGATAAGAAAAATGCTCTCGAATCCTTTGTTTATGAGATGCGTGATAAGGTACTCATCTGGGTTTAGTAGACTCAAAGCTTTCCCTTTAGATTTCAGTAAAAACTCTGTGTGTATATAATTTATCACTTCCAAGAATTAACATTGTGTATATGGGCAGATGTTAAATACATATCGAAACACTGCAACCGAGTCAGAACGGGAATGCATAGCTAGAAATCTTCAGGAAACAGAGGATTGGCTATATGAAGATGGTGATGATGAATCTGAAAATGCGTACATCGAGAAGTTGAACGACATCAAAAAGGTAACTCTCTCAAAGTTTGGTATATAAAGGTTGTCTCTGCAGATGACATTGTCCTAATTGATGGCTTATATATCTGAGCAGCTCATCGATCCTATTGAAAATCGGTTCAAAGATGGAGAAGAGCGACTTCAAGCATCAAAGGATCTTCTGAAAACTATTGCAGATAACCGAATGGCTGCAGAGTCTCTTCCTCCTCCAAGAAAGAACGCGGTTTGGTTCTAAACTATTAACATAAGTCTCACTCTACTGGCAATTGTATAGTTGGCTAGATTATATGGTTGAGATTATATCACCATGATGTTTTTTCGTTTTCAGGTTCTCGATGAATGTCATAAAGCTGAGAGGTGGCTCCAGGAGAAAACCACAGAACAGGAATCTTTACCCAAAGACGCTAATCCAGAGCTGCTATCTGCTGAAATCAGGAGAAAAGCCGATGCTCTTAACGCGTAAATTTAATCTTTCCCTCTCTTACTACTCATCATGCTATCTTCATTCTTCACATTTCTACCGCATAAACTTTGGTTATAATTGATGAAACCGAATCGGATATAAACTGATGAAAGGATTGTGAATGTGTTTCAGGACATGCAAGTACATTGGGAAATCAAACTCTCCTCCCGCGAAACCGGAACATAATGGATCACATGGAAGTAGAAAATCAGATGATATGGAGCTTGATTGATTGTTCTTTCTCTTATAGTCTAAAATTTTGAATCTTTATTCTACATGGGGCAAAAAAAAAAAAACAATAAGTCGAAACAATCTCACTGTGTATCTCTCTCATGATCCATGATTTGAAACGATTATTCTCGAGGTTGATTTTTCAGATTTTGTTTTTTTTTCCTTATGGTGAATCTCTTTTTTCTTATAATCTTTAACCATTTTTATATTTGTAGTAGTTGGCTAGATTGTGACATGTGCCAACCAATTTAGACCAATCGTACAAAAAACAAGTGGAATGAGTGAGAACACCTTATCAATTACGCATGATGGTGAGTGGATCCGTATACCCAAATTGTGATGATTCCCAGTTTCTGTCATCTGTTCAATTTCTCAGATCGTACGAGCTCGAATCTCAGACGTATCCAACCATAAACATTTAAAATTGCCGTACAAACTTGAAATCTTTTATTTATCTTTTTCGTCAAAGTATGTCATTCAGTCACGAGACAAAATTAGCCGATTTAGTGGAAGATAGACCAAACTTTTAGTCAGTAATATATAACTCAATGTCATGTAAGAACAAAACTATACTATACAATAATAGCGAAACCATATAATTTGGTCCTTAAATCTATAGTATGTGTATAGCATGCGAATTATAATCTTATATAAAAAAAAAAAAAAAAAAAAAAAAAAAAAAAAAAAAAAGAATTATAATCTTATATAGTATGGGTTCTTTTTAAGGAATTATTATATGAAATCACAAATAAAATAATAAATGAGGTGACTAATTTCCAACCGCAATATTTAATAACTTTCAACAACAACATGGACTTATGTCAGAATAAACATTTAACTGAATCTTGACAATGACCATTGAGGAAAACTAGTACTAGGGCCTGGGGAAGCTCAAAACTCTAAAACTATATCACATCGCAATCTTCGCGATATAAGATTTACTTTATTTTATTTTTGTTAGTTTTTTGTGTTTTTATTCAACTAGAACACATCATATTCGTCTAAGTTATTTACCAACTGTAAAACTTAAACCTGAAAAAGAAAAAAATACCGTTGCTTTTTTTTTTTGGGGGGTTAAAAGTGAGCATAACATTTTAGCATTATATGTAAATGCGTAAGCAATTTTTTTAAAAAAAACAATGGAAGTCGTATATATATAGAGATGTATTCATGTATACAATCACATATTTGTTAGGTCTAGGTTCGAGTATTTTGGTATATATGAGAAAGATCCGTGAACCGAATTATAACTTTCTCTAGTTTTGGTTGGTTTGTCATAGTTTTAGGTTTCATTCTTTTTTTCAATTTTGTTGTAGTTTGAATGCACCATGGGTGATGGTTTCCCACTTTATTTGGATGCAAACTACGATATATGACTTTTCTAAATTATTAGAGAGAGAAAAAAAAAAGAGGAGTAAATCAAGTCATATCAAATCCAAATACTTAACTATAAACTTAATTTTGTCGACAAAAAAAGGATTATAAACTTAATTAACTAACTCTATTCAATGAAAAATGAACCAAATCTTTTCAGTATCTTTCAAACCAGATTTTGACCATTTCAACAATAAAGTTCGCTTTCAACATTCGTGTGAAGGTACTCATACTAGTCTTAGTTATGGAACCCTTTTTATCTTATGTCAATGTAACGTATTTTAGTACTAAAGTGCTATTAGAAAAGAAAAAAATAATTAGTAAGATTAAACAAATCATCTTTACTTTTGTATAAGAGTTTTTTGTTTTCCCATGACTGATATATTATATGAATGTATATAAAAAACTTCTGACAAATAAAAGATTCATGTTTCCAACTCTTAACACCACAGAACGACAGTATCGCTGAAAATGGAAAAATATGCGAAATAAAATCATATACTAAGTAATCAAGAAACTGACAAAAGAAAATGTAAAACCTTACAAAGTTGCTATGCAGGGTTACGAAGAAAAACCTTTTGTGGACCATAACACACATTTTTCATTATCTAGTTTATTTCATACAAGAAACGATTACAACAAAGATTCATTCTTCCACACACAATACATCATTTTTTTCAATATATCATTCTCACTTCTCAATATTTCTTCCTCTTACAAAAAAAAAAATGTACATTGACTTCCTTCTCTTCACTCTAACCCCCTTAGAAAACTATCGATTTTCCAATTATTCATTAATCAAGAGATTCGCATATCTCTTGATCAACTAATTAGGGTTTAGTCCTTTTTTAAAAATCAATTTGGGGAAAACCAAAAAATATACATAGTTGACCTCCGCATCTCCCCAAGATAAATTTCTTTTTTATAAAATCAAATTTTTTATTTTATTGCTTAAGAAGCGGAGATGTGTCTTCCCACTGGTCCAATCGTCTCGAAGCCTTCTCCACCTGAATTTTAAAACCCAAAAAAAACTATCAAAATTAACCCTTAATTATAGTTTTTATGAAAAGTATAAATGATAATTAGTAATATACCTCTTTATCCCAGTCAGTTCGGAAAGTGACAATAACTAAGATAATAGTTTGCATGAGTGTACCACCAATCATCCCTGTCCATATTCCCTGCACCAAATCATTAACAATTTAATTTAAATCTCACATTTACACCAACTAATCATTAATCGTTGATTAGAATATAAATCATGTAAAATAAAACTTACCCTAGCTCCCATATCATAGGTGAAACCAAGAACATAACCAATCGGAATCCCCACAATGTAATAACATCCAATGTTAACATACGCTACATATGCTTGCCATCCACATCCAACGGCCACACCTGTAATAATAAATTTTGTCATTAATCATTTATTCACAACTACTCAAACATTTTTCATTTCTGAGTTAGTTTTTGCTTAATTTTTACCAGATAAAACAGGTTGAACTCCATTGAGAACTATGGTAATGGCTAAGAAAGGAGAGAGCTCGGCGACGGCTTCCGCAACCGCTGGACTGTCCGTAAAAATGTAACTGATGACGTGACGCCACGAAAGGATCACAATGGCTTCAAACAATGACAGTAAAAATGACACTCCTGTAGTTACCGCGGTTGAAAATGCTGCTGATCTTGGATTTCCAGCGCCTAATTCGTTACTAACTCTCACACTGTAGTAAAAATAAAACTAATGTTTAGCTTATGTTATTAATTTATTACCTCTAGCATTAAAAAATGCCTAAATAATTGAAAATGTTTTACCAACCTGGCAGCTGCGTTGAATCCAACTGACACCATGAACGACATTGCAGAGATTGACATGCTGCAAATAAAAACAAATTAAGTAATGAATTATATATTATGGCCAAGTCGTAAGACCTAGTCAGTAATAAACTTTTTGTTTCTTGTGAAAGAGTCAATAATACACACTTTAAAAATCATGTTTGTAAAACAAGTCGCTTAAATAAATTAATAACTTGGGTCTTGGAGTAATCAACACTTTATGAGTTTTCCAAGACACAGAAGTGCATGCCGTAGTTTATCAAGGAAAACGACACGCAGTTTGTGCTCACAAGAAACACTGAAATTTGGCTTTAACGGAAAGGTTAAAAAAGAAAAACGTGGGACAAATAATTGCTGGTTACTAACGTGACTTTCGTTTATCAAAAAGTAGATTCCCGAAAACTAGCCAAAAGTTGAAAAGTTTTGATCGGACAAATGATAAACAGTACAGTACCATTATTAATCCTGTGTTCATGTTCAGATTCACTGTTCTTAAATCTACTATATTAAAAAATAGGCAAATCATCCACTTCTTTGCTTTTTTATTTTCTTTCACAATCAAAGCTACATTTCATGGAAGAAACTAAAGTTTTGGAAGTATTCTAAATTTTTAATATTACTACAAAAAAAAAAGGTTATCTATTTTCGGCTGTTAGTGTTTTATATGTGGTATTTTATTTTTGGGCAAATGGGTAGCTAGTAAGTACTTTTCATAAGGTAAAATATGGGTTTGGAAAAGTAAAAATGGTAAAAAAAAATTACCAGATTGCTAGAGAATCCAAAGCAAGTTCAGGGTCTTTAAGAAGTCCGGCGAGGAGAACAAGAATCTGAGAATACCAAGATTCAAGACAGAGCATGACGGCGGAAGCTGCCGATAACTGGAAAAAGTCCCAAAGACCATCAAAAGCTTTCCAGCTAAAACCATCCCAAGTCCGGCGACATCTTGGACTTATCTTAATGTAAATAATCTGAGCGAGGACAATGATCCACCACGAGAGACTATGAACAACGGAGAGACCAAGTAAGCCCCAACCTAACTTAAAGACAGAGAGCCAAGAGAGGATTAAGTGGAGGACTAGTGTTGCAGCTGAGATGTAAGCGCTCGGCGTGACGATGCTTTGCGACTGGAGAAACTTTTGGATCGGGAAATTGACGGCGTAAGCGAAGATCATTGGGATCATTCCGTAGACAAAGACTGAGGCCACTGATGCTACGTCAGCTGGCTCGCCTAAGGAAATGAGGAGAGGTTTTGAGAAGATGAAGAGTAAAGTCATTGGAAGTCCGGTGATGACAAGAACAATCGTGGATCTTTGTAAGTAGACACCAAGCATGTCGTATCTGTGAGCTCCATGCGCTTGCCCACATAATGTCTCCACTGCACTTCCCATTCCAAGCTATGTCACCGGCCAAAAAAAAAAAAAAGATTAGATTCTGATGAAGACCAAAGAAACTTTATTCGTTTTAAAGATTATATTAGATTCTGTGGAACATAAACATCGACTTATAGTTGGCCTCATTTCATCAGATCTGTTTAGTAGTATTTGTGTTTATGGACTTTTTTTACATGAGTTAAAGTTTTGTATAGTTGAAGTTACTTTTTTAAGAGAATTAATGAAAATGTTAGTAAGTATGTACCATGAGACCAAGAGTGAACATATTGAAACCGCTGTTTCCTAGAGAAGCGGCAGCGAGTTGCATACTTCCCAAACGACCGGCGAAGATACGTGTGAGCATAGACATGCCGTTGTTGATGACGTAGACAAAGATCGCCGGAGCTGCCAAGTGGAAAAGGTACTTCATCTCTATCAACGACGCAAGGTAGATCCGCCGGAAATATGACAAGTGTGTGTCCGTTAATACACTCTCCATCCTGAAGTCAGCTTCCGATTTCGATGACTCAAGTAACGGTTGCTGCAGGTTGTCCACGGCGGTGGTCGCTTCCGAACCCATTTAAATACCCAAAAAGAAAACAAATATTTATGAAAAAAATAAAAACAAAACTTCGTCTCTCTCTCTCTATCTTCGTTTGGTCTGTATCTTTTCTGCGACTTTGCTCAGAGAGTAGCTGTAATATAAAGGCGATTTTGCCGTGTCTGCTATTTTTTAATTTTTTGAAGAAAAAAGAAAGCTGGAAAAAAGAGGAAAATAAGCCTTGTTTCTTTATTTAATCATAACATCCGTTTCGTGAAAATTGTATTAAATGTTTACAGAAAATAAGCTTTTGATTTTTGGCATTGTGTGAAGTGTGAACCGACCCTAATCGTATCTATCTTACTCTTTAGGTTAAAATATAACTAAAATTGTATAGTTGGATCAATATAGTCATATGACTACATGAGCCTGACCGATATGAATAGTACATGGAATATGCCTTATTAGTTTGATGCCTTGATTTGATGGGATATGCCGGATTAACTCATTTAGCAAATTGACTATATATAGTTTTGCAAATTGCAATCCTAACCTTATTTGTCAGAGACCACCAGCTTGATATCCAAGAACTTCAACAAATAAACAAATAAATATAATCATTTATCATTATATAAACTTAATTAAGCGTATGGTGTAGCATATACTTTAATGCAACTATAAACACATGCAAAAATACATACATCTTATATTATAAATACATGCAACTATAAAAGAAAATTTTGTATACAAAAATTGACGTCATACTTATAATAAATTTATTTTGTATACAACCTTTTCTTTTCCTTAAGTATAGGTACCGTTTAGTCAAGATTCACAACAAAATAAATATTTCAATTCTTTAAAGAAATTTTTTTCTCGAATTAAGCAACGGTTTATGTTTATCATACAACTTTTAATCACAGCATTTCATTCTTGGGTGTCACAGTTTCTTTTCTTTTATTGAAAAAGTTCGTTGTCACAGTATACTAATTATTTTCTTTTAACAATTGCTTGTCGTACAATTTTGTCAACTACAATATTAGAAATACTAGTAATAAATATTAACGATAAAGATAATGATAATTGAAATTTACTTCTGGTCTGCTTCTTTTTTATTTTTAGACAACACCTGTGGAATGATACGCCGAACGCGGGATCCTCCCGCAAATAAAGTCCAGACACACATTGGAGTGGGATCAACTCACGTTGCTCATCTAATGTGGATTTAGCATCGTGATGTGCAGTGCTGGATTTAGCATCGGATGTGGTACTGCCTGATGATTCAGAAGGAGATTTTTCTTCCGGGTCGGATGATTCGGATGAGGATCTCATTTTGAATCTTAAGTCATCATTTTCAGAAAAATATCTACATGACAGACCGTTGCAATTGCCGATCAAGGCAATAAATATGGGTCGTGGAGGAAGAGGAGGGGGAAGACGCGGTCGAGGGAATCGGGGTCGACGAGGTGGGTTTGGCTGAACCCATTAAATCGATTCATGTTTCTAATCGTTTATTGTCTCGATAGTTGTCATGCTTTGACATCTTTTGTTGTGCTTTGTTACTCATTGCCGCTTTGTTGAATTGTACGATTACTATCGTACTGTCTTGTAACGGTTTTCTTTATAATAATAATAATAAAAAAAAAAAAAAAAAAAAAAAAAAAAAAAAAAAAAAAAAAAAAAAAAGTCCAGACACACTACTACAAAATCAATTGAGCAATTAAAAGCAACCTTTTGGAAAATAAAAAGTAACCTTTCCAATTTGACACACTCTGTTACGTTTAATATTTTTCAGTTGCGTCCTAACTATCTTTTTTTTTTTTTTTTTTTTTTTTTGTTAAACGTCCTAACTATCTTCTGCGACTGTATGGGTAAAAGCTCTTATTTTTGGTAAACGTGTATAATTATGTATTCTTAAAGCAACTCTACTTATTATGTCTTTTAGATATACACTAGTATTATAAAACTCCCCGATCCCTTGAAGCTTAACAAGAATCTATTACAATACTACTTTCAAATCAAAATATCTTGCGAGTTTCACTTTGTAGATAAATGGAAGGGGAAACCAACCAAAAAAAATATATATATCTTTTGAGTTTGTTGATATCTTCATCTTTTCCAAAAGTTTATTTATAACTTTTAACTTAATTTAAATTACGATTCAAATCTCATAAACCAACTAAACGAAAATGAAGAACACTATATATTATACTTATTTATTTTACAGATTTTGAAGATATTGCATTAAATTCGTGCAAATGCTTACAGTTAAGATACGTTGGAAAATATGGCAGTTGTATCGTGGCAATTATGAAAAACAACGAGTCACTTCGTCTACGATGATCATCACATGGCTATATTTAATATTTTGAAGAAAAATAATATACGTACTCAACTAATTTTCTTACAGGATTAGCCGATTAGGTACAGAATGCATACGTACACCAAAATAGTAAGCTTGTAATAAAATTAATAATAATAATTTCTGTTAATTTAAATTAGAAAAGGGTAAATAATTGATTGATATATAGAAAAATTGATTTGTTGAGAGTCGTTGGACTTTTTATCGAATTATACATCTTCCTTATGTAAAGGAACACGATTTTAAAAAATAGAAACGAAGACCGAATATGGATGAGATCGAGATAAAATATAGACTACCAACATAAGATTCGGGTCATTACAAAGATTAGTATGTGGATATGGTTTCCACAGCACGTAACTTGCAAATTATTATTTGTATCCCATATTTTATCCAATATATATCTAAAAGATCTAACAACTCCAACTACAAGATCGGAATTGAAACATGCATGTCAAAAGAGGAAATTGACAACTCTTGGTATGCAGGATTTTACAAACGAATCATAGTTTCTTAATTTTTGTTTAATTGTGTTTTTTATCTAAAACATTTTATAAACCAAAACTGAGTAAATATGAAAATGAAACTAATGAGTTTAAATCAGTTGGCACATTAATGATCTAGAAACTTATATACCCGTACCTACTTGACTTAAATTTCCCTTATGTTTCCGTATTTTAACAAACATTAAAACCAAATATTGTCAGAGAAAAAACAAAAAATGTCTGATGACTTGTCTATGAATCTTTATCTCTATCAAACCACTGTATGTGTGCATATATAACACTTAATTACTTTTCATACAGTTTAAATTAAATGTCTTTTTCTAAAGTTGTATAAATCTTCTTTAATTTGTACCGAAAGTTTTCAAATAAAACACTCATTCCATAATTTTTTCATCCGATTTCAGTATAGATTTTCTCAGACCATCACTATCGTGTATATATTTTTCGAAGTCCAAGTATTATATGTACATAAAAATTGTTTGAACAAGATCTACAATATATCAATCCCATCTGGATAAGGATAACTATTAACATAATAAATTCAGTTTACAAACATAGTAGTTTGATGTCTTTTTTATAACTTGTGTGAGAGACCTTCGACGGCATAAACCCAATACTCGGTCTGATCTTAATTTTTTTTTGTTTTAATAAAAGATGATATAAAATATTTGCAGAAGAAAAAAGAAAAATCTTGTTAAAGAAGATATGACGTACTAAAAGTGCCACGTTGGACATACCAAACTCGTGCTTTAAAATTTGCAAAACAACTTTGATTGGCAGGTCAAACTACGTTGACCATTGAGTCGCAAACGCGGCAGTAAAATTACGTTGATTAGCATTCAAATCACACGGATTCGTTGTGTAGGTCTGAAAGTATGTTTTTATAATTTTGTTTATTAATAACATTTAATATCATAGGTTTACTTATGTGGAATATTTGACAAGTCATTTTCAGACTAAGAAATCGTCAAAGTATTTAATAAATCAGAATAATCGCGGTAATTAGTTGACCAACGAATATGCAGTATAGACTAATACCTTCGTGTTATAGTTTATTTTCAAGTAATGTTGATTCTCTAAGAAGTAAGAACTTTTACAAGTCATATTTAATAACTGCGTTTTTTAAAAAAAGAATCCCTTATATATTTACGTATCATTTAATCTTTTTATTCTTTAGTCATAAAATTAATCAAAGAGTACAATAATTTAGTTGATTTGTGCACTTTGGATTATTGATTTAAACACAATATAGTAGGGTACGTGTATAAACTGTGAATTATGAGTTTTTTTTTTTTTTGTTAAAAGTGGATTATGAGTTTGTACATGTTTTCTAGTCTTCAAGTCTTAATTATGATTTTTGCACCCCAAAAAAAAGTCTTAATTATAGTACATTAGATATGTTGATGCATGTAATTACGTAAGTGTGTAACCCCAAATCTTATACATGTTTTTTTTTTTGTCAAAGATCTTATACATTTATAAATATATCATATATTGAGACGACTAGTGTAATAGACTCTTTAATATGAACACATATTTCCTCGGGCCATGGTTGTTGGGAAAATTATTAAATGAAAATGACATTGACATTGACATACTTGTGTGTGTGTGAGTGAGTAAGAGAGAAAGTGAAGCAGACCAATGTAAACATATATATATATATAACTATACATATAATTGCTTATATATTACTCTCTGTAGTGATGACCATGGAATTATGCTATTTACAGCTTGATTTTCAATATACAATTTTATTTTGAGCAAATGTGAAACCTCACTAAACTTGCCTGCATCGGAATACAAATGTATTTCCTGACGAGAAAAAAATAAGAAGGCAAAACATGAAGTTGTCAAAGTCAAAGGAGCCGTAATTTAGCGCTCAATAGTTCAGAAACGACAAGTATTTAAGCAACTAAGCACGCAAACGCTCCGACCAAGTTTTAAGACTGTCTAGCAGATAATTTAATATGAGAGATTTAAGTAAACAGTTGAAAAAGACTATAAGAAACTATAAGCTAGTCTAACACCTCGTTGATTTAAACTACATTCCACGAATTTTTTTTATTATTATGATGATATATGAGTACTAATCTTAAAAAAATTCGACAAAAATAACCAGAACATTAGTTTATGCATAATATTATTGAAATAAAAATACATTATCTTGATCAGACTAGGCTGCCTAAAATGGGCCATCCAAACATTTTAACTTTAAATTTTGCACTCCAAATCTTGATAAGAAGAGGTATTGTCTTTTACTACGCGTTAAATAAATATCTCTCAAATTGTCGTAATTAAGAAGAGACAATGATCTTTTATGATTCAGATCTTACAAGTATTGATTTTTTTTTTCTAAAATTAAGACCGTGAAATGTTTTTAATACATTTTAATTTTGTACTTTTGTTCTCACGATGGGAAGTTGTTAGAGCCACAAGGGTGCCTAAAATGGGGAATTCAAAATTTCAAACATTTTATCTTCAAATATCTTCTCCAAAATCTTGATAAAAATAAAGTATTGTCTTCTTATAACGCATTAAATAAACATATCCACAAATCATCGAAACTAAGAAAGATGGATTCTAGTGAATAGTATACAACTGGTATCATACATTCATACTGTTCTATATAACATATAGTCATATATTTATAGATTTTTCCATAAACGACAACAAAGTTCCCTAAATTAATTTCAGCAACATGTGATAACCCCTCGAGCATGATACTACATAAACACATGTGACATGTGTTAAGTGGATGTGAACATATATTGTGTTACACATGTCAATGCGTCTGATGCATAGAAGTCGAAATTATATTCTTGCGGGAGATTAGGGTAAAACAGTTCTACAACCTCGTTGTAAATACACCTTACGCGCGTGATGTCTATATATAAGACTATAACTCGAGGATCTCGTGGGATCCTATATGTCACTTCTATATATAAATTATTAAGAACAATGTGAGTTGGTGAAATAAATGATAAATATTTTAGGTCTAGTTAGTTTGGTAAGAATCGGCTAAGCCAATAGTATCTATAAATATTAAATATAGATTAACGATTAGATTATGCATACTACTCGCATTTTGATGAATATAACGATTTCTTGAGATTTGCGATTTATTTTATTTATTTCATACGCAACTCTACTAAAAGGAAAAGCTTATAATTAAATTTTATTATTGTAATGGTAAATTTAATAATGTTAGAGGGAGCCCCTTTTTTAATCTTTTTTTTTTCTCCTTCTCGAAACTCGAAAAGCATATGAGTAAGAATTTGCGTTTAAATAGTAGTGTTTCTATTAAGCTAAATAGATTAATTATCACCAATGTGAATTTTGATACAGCCGAATCTTTTTGTAAGGGTTACTGGGTAAATTGATAAGAGCGACACCATGACAGCTCATTTTCGTCTAACTATTTTCCAAGTACTTTTCTTAATTCTTTGTCTATATATCCGATTGTTGGGGCGTTATGATACATTCATTAATCATAATCCATGATCATTGTCCTTAAATTAATTATCCACTGAAATTTTCGATTTTTAATAGACGGTCCCCATGTTATCTCCTAATCTTGCATATTACCGTATATTTTTTGTGATCCTAAAATTTGTTTTAGCGTATCAATATATATTAGATATATGCATGCATGAAACAAGCTTATAGTATGACGTTAGATTACCAAACTATTTATTCAAACTAATTGGAAGTGAATATAAAATCGAATTTATAAATTTAAAAACATACATTGATAAACAAATATATAATATATGCCTCCATACGAACATATTTTTACAATACAAATGTTTTCAAGAATCATGAACTAATAAGATAACTTTAACAAACAAAAAAATGATCAACTAACTAATAAGATAAATCTACACATCTTGGTACTGGTGCGATCTGAAAATATACCAATTGACTGACTAATAAACACAAACTAGTCTGTATGTTCGGACCATATATGACTGTAAGGTTTTTTGTAACTAAAAATATGCTAGTGTCAAACAAAAAACGTATTTTTGTATCACATTATCTTGGAATTTGTAAATATCATTTAATATATTTCAACAAAAATGTTTCAAGGTTTGATGTTGTCAAATGTAGTAGATATATTTGAAGTTGTTATCTGCTCTGTTTTTACACCAAAATCTCCAAATCGGACGGATCAGTTCAGAGATTCGATGGAAATTTTGGTAGAGAAGAAGAGAAATTCTTGAAAATTCTCAATATGATAATCCAAAACGGAACAAGGCCTAATATGATAAGTGGGCCTTAAAATTAAAACAAGCCTAAAAGACAGAATCAGAAAGTGTTGGGCGTGAAGGGGAGAGAATTGCAGAGCAGAGGAAACAAAGCCCAAAGAGTGTAACCCATTTGAAGAAAAAAAATGAAGTTTTAAAAAATGAACGATTTTTTTTTGTTTGTTTGATATATCGAAATTTCACAAATAATTGATAGCAAATTCGTCACATAAATATACTGTAGTTCAAAAATGGGATATATTTTTGACACGGTTCCATTATCCTGAGGAATGATTTAGTCATCGATCGAATTTCACAGCTAGAGTATAATAAAAATAGCTCACAATACCAACACTTGTTTCCAGTGACAGCTATGAAAGTGTCAAAATCTTAGTTGTGACTCGTCGTGACTTGTGAGACACTAACTGAGAAAAAAACTATTATTTTATATATGTTGAAAACGAAAAAAATATTCTAAGTGAATACCGTTTTAGATAAATAACATGGAACGTTGAAAAAGTTAGCTCAATAGATTACTAGAATGTGTAAATAATTCTCAGAATTAACGTAAACATTGATTATTGTTGATGTGAATAGTAGGTAAACAAGAGTAGAAAATGATTAATTTTTAAAACGTTATGGAAATATAAAATCGTCCATGGATTTGACGACTTTTTATAATTGTTTTGCTTAATTAAATCTTGCCGTTGGTCGTTTTGTTTTGTTACCTAATAAAGGCTGGGAAAACAAGCTAATTTTGTAAGAATCCCGTGTGCGTAAACATAGATGTTATCTAAAAAGATTACTAGTGGTTCCTCGACAAACACAATTATTTTAGTTTATGCACTAATTACAAAAAAAAAGGGTGCGTTTTAAAATACTCGATCGCATGTGTTGTGACTTGTGACCACGAGCTCACTACGACTCAGTCACTTTGTTCTTTCTTTAATATAGTAAAAAAAGTTGAGTTACTTTGTTTTCTCCGTCGTCTAAGGCATTAAACAATACCTATCCAACCTTTTTTTTTCTTTTTAATTATTGCCATGATCACAAATTTGAGTTCTCTTTGGGATGTATAGGCTATTTGGTAAGAGTTTACTGCAAACTACTTCGGATAAAAGACTTGTTGCGAAACTCAAAAATCCACATACACATCGATTTTGTTCGAAATGGAATGAATCCAAATTTTACGTTGACATAGACGCCATCTACGAAACAACGTCGTTTCGATAGTTTGGACCGATAATGATTATTATTAAGCTTTTTCGTAAATTAACCATAATCGCCGTTGGTTTCACTTTTTTTTGTCGAAACAATCCAGTCATTTTATTATTAAAAAAATGCCACATGTGTTTTTTACAGCTGATTTCATTTTAAGAAAAAAGTCGAAAAAAATCAGAGTAAAAAGAGCAAATTCAGGTGAGAGAAATTAGCCTCAGTCTTGAGCTTCGACGATTTCTTCTCCATCGTGAGAGCAAATCTCCAGAGAGCCGTATTGTCTTCTTCTTCTTCTTCTTCCTCGCGCCGTCTCTCATCGTATCAATCAATTGCTTCCTCCTCCAAAGTAAGCTTCTTCGATTCTCCTCTTTAACCCAATCATAGTAGTGTGCTTCTCTCTTATCCTCTGGTTTCCAAGTATTTTTTAATCCATCTTCACTAGAAATGCTTAACCTAAGATTAGATCACTCACGATTCAATCTGAATCAATCTGGATCTGAATCTAATTATGCATCGCGATTCAAATTCCTAAACTTTGCGTCTTTGTGTGTGATTTTGGCTTTTTTGGATGGATTTCACAGTTTAAACAATGGAATTGGATTCGGAGAACAAATTGTTGAAGACGAGTTTGGTTATCGTGGCGACACTTGTTATAGCCAAACTTATCTTCTCTTTCTTCACTTCTGATTCCAAGAAGAAGCGTCTTCCTCCTACTCTTAAAGCTTGGCCTCCATTGATTGGAAGTCTTATCAAATTCTTGAAAGGACCAATTGTTATGCTTAGAGAGGAATACCCTAAGCTTGGAAGTGTGTTTACTGTTAATCTTCTTCACAAAAAGATTACTTTTCTTATTGGTCCTGAAGTCTCTGCTCATTTTTTCAAAGCTTCTGAATCTGATCTTAGTCAGCAGGAAGTGTATCAATTCAATGTGCCTACTTTTGGTCCTGGAGTTGTTTTCGATGTCGATTATTCTGTTCGTCAGGAGCAGTTTCGGTTCTTCACTGAGGCACTCAGAGTCAACAAGTTGAAGGGCTATGTTGATATGATGGTTACTGAAGCTGAGGTAAAGAAATTTGGATTTTTAGCTTCCACTGAGTAGGTGTTGTATGTATTTTTTGGTAGTTTCATTTATAAATACTTGTCCTTGTTCTTGGCAGGATTACTTCTCAAAATGGGGAGAGAGTGGTGAAGTTGATATTAAGGTTGAGCTAGAGCGTCTTATCATCTTGACTGCAAGTAGATGTTTACTTGGTCGAGAAGTTCGTGACCAACTTTTTGATGATGTATCTGCTTTGTTCCATGACCTTGACAATGGAATGCTTCCCATCAGTGTTCTCTTCCCATATCTCCCAATTCCAGCTCACCGCCGTCGTGACCGTGCCCGAGAAAAGCTTGCTGAGATTTTCTCAAAAATCATTGGCTCGAGAAAACGCTCTGGGAAATCAGAGAACGACATGTTGCAGTGTTTCATCGAATCAAAGTACAAAGACGGTAGACAGACAACCGAATCTGAAGTCACTGGTTTGCTCATCGCTGCTCTGTTTGCAGGACAACACACGAGCTCTATCACTTCCACCTGGACAGGTGCTTATCTGATGAGATACAAAGAATACTTCTCAGCTGCTCTTGATGAGCAGAAGAACCTGATTGCGAAACATGGAGACAAGATCGATCATGATATCTTATCCGAGATGGATGTTCTCTACCGCTGCATAAAGGAAGCGTTGAGGCTTCACCCTCCATTGATCATGCTCATGAGAGCCTCACACAGTGATTTCAGTGTGACAGCTCGGGATGGAAAAACTTATGATATCCCAAAGGGTCACATCGTTGCAACCTCCCCCGCATTTGCCAACCGCTTACCGCACATCTTCAAAGACCCCGACACTTATGACCCAGAAAGATTCTCCCCTGGAAGAGAAGAGGACAAAGCCGCAGGGGCATTCTCGTACATTGCATTCGGAGGAGGAAGGCACGGGTGCCTTGGAGAGCCGTTTGCTTACCTGCAGATCAAAGCCATATGGAGTCATTTGTTGAGAAACTTTGAGCTTGAGCTGGTTTCACCATTCCCTGAGATTGACTGGAATGCTATGGTGGTTGGTGTTAAAGGCAAGGTGATGGTGCGTTACAAGCGGCGCCAGCTTTCTTAAAGACATGTTTAAGGTTATTGCAACTTTGATTTATTCTCTGGCTTCTGCTTTGCTTTTGTCCCTCTCTGGTTTAGATTTTGTTGTTGGATGGTTCTTCTGTCTTTTTTTTATAAACTGTTATTGCTCTTTAATTGACACTTATTTTCAAGCTTTCTAAGTTTGTTAGTTCTGCAAATGAATGTGCTAATTTATGCGGAACTTCTTTGGTTTAGGGTCAATTACTAATACTCAAATAGTCTAATCAATTAACTATACTACGTTGATATGAGCCAAAGCTTTAGACTTGGATCTCATAATGGTAGCCGTTGTTTAACGGGAGAAAGAGAGAAATATGTAAGCCATGATACAACTTAGATTCTCACCTAAACGTAAAAAGAATCACCTAATTATAATGTTAAAAGTAAAACTCCTCAAAACATGTCTTGTCAATTGTCATAACCCCTCCGAGAGAGTGGTTGTGTCTAGACTGATTAATATCTGGTAGTACGTTAATAGAATAAACCGAGCTAGGATTCTTTGTGGTTCTTTATGTTAATTTGTTATTTGTTAAGCCATAAAAATGTATAAACTGTTGGAACAAAACTGACTTGTTCGATTAACATAAACTAAACTGAGGTTAGGGACTTAGGGGCCGAAAATATATAGAAGAGAGTATAGGTTTAGATTTAAGCGATTCAAGTCTAATCGTTGGAACACAAACTAGTCTGTATGTTCCGACCAGATTTGACAATAACGTTTTGTGTAGCTAAAAAATATGCTAGTGTCAAACAAAACTTATTTTTGTATCACACTATCTTGGAGTTTGTAAAGATCGTTTGATATGTTTTAACAAAAATGTTTCAAGGTTTGATGTTATCATGTAGTAGAAATATTTTACATGTTATTTCTCTGTTTTTACACCAAAATCTTGAAATCCGACGGATCAGTTGAGAGATTCGATGGAAATTTTGGTGGAGAATAGGCGAAATTCTACATTTGTTGAAAATTTTCAGATAATCCAAAACGGATCAAGGCTCAAGATGATAAGTGGGCCTTAAAATGAAAACAAGCCCAAGAGACAGAATCAGAAAGTCAGAAACTCATAGACGTGAGGAGAGTGAATTGCAGAGCGGGAGAATGTAACACATTCGAAGAAAAGGAACGAACAAAAAAAAAAAAAAAAATTGAACTTTCACAGTTAATTGATAGCAAATTCATATTTCGACACGGTTCCAGATTGATTTCAATAGAATTTCAATTTCACATCTAGAGGATATCTTAACCATATCTTTTTTTTTTTTTTTGATAAAGGATTTGCTATTGATTGCATAAGAAAAAAAAATCTTAAGCATATCTTTAATAAATGATACTATCTTAGTTTAATATCAACACTTCTTTCCAGTGAGGCAGTGACAGCTAAGAAAATACCCTATTTTTTTCTGTTAGTTTAACAAAATTCCAATGCAAATGTATTATGTATTCCTTGCACATGCCTATATACGGCAATGTTCAATACATCATTACAAGAATGTGTAACTAGTTAGTACTAATTATAACACATTATATTTTACCAAACATGAAAATAATTTTCAAAATTAACGTAAACATTCATTATTTATTGATGTGAATGGTAGGTAAACAAAGTAGAATGAATAATTTTAATCACGTTATGGAAATATAAAATCGTCCATGATTTTGATGACTTTTATACTAATTGTTTTCTTTTATTATTAACTCCTGCCGTTCGTCGTTTTGTTTTTTTGTTTCGTTACCAAATAAAGGCTGGAAAATTAAAAACAAGCTAATTTTGTAAGAATCACGTGTGCGTAAACATATAAGTATGTTATCCAAACAGATTACTAGTGGTTCGTTGAACAAAAAAAAAGATTACTAGTAATTCCTCGAGAGATTATTTTAGTTTAATGTGTAGCTTTTTTTTTTAATGCGTAGCCCAACTCGGTTCTAAGAACAAAGAAGGAGATTTTAATATAAGGCGTGGTGAGATATGATCAATCTCAAGAGAATTTAATATAAGGTGTGGTGAGATATATATGATCAATCTCAAGGAGATTTTAATATAAGGTATGGTGAGAATGAGATAGCATCAATCACGAGGAGATTTTAATATAAGGTATGGTGAGAATGAGATAACATCAATCACGAGGAGATTTTAATATAAGGTATGGTGAGATAACATCAATCTCAAGGAGATTTTAATATACTATGGTACAATACAAACAGAATACAAACATTAACTAAACATAAATTTGAATTCTAGGAGTCTGGTCTATAAGAACTTAGCTTTTTACGACTGTATGAAAAGAAAACTTAACAGATTTATTCTGTTGCTGTAAAGCTTCCGATTGGAAAGTAAGATCATTTCCACTTCTTTATCAAAATTGTGTTCAATCTCCTTTATTTGTTTTTGGTTATATTTGAATGATTTTATGTATCATGTAAACTTTTATCGTATAATATAATTGATTTGCCGTGAAAAAAAAAATTGAATTTTGTAACGAAAATTTTATTTTCAAGTGAAAGCATATATTAATCATCGCGGTATTTAAACTCAGTCAAATTTTGTTAACGTGGACATCAATTATGAAACAATATCGTTTTGGACTGGTAATAAATATTACGCTGTTTTATAAAAAATGTCGGTTTAAGGATTTTTTTATTTTACAAAGAGTATTGTTTTGTATTTTTAATGTATAATTTTGAATAAAAATATATTTTAACTCTTTTTAATGTATTAAAAAAAAGAATTTTATTTAGTGTATTTATAAAGGGTATAGTAAAACTTTTAATAGTTTTCTTAATGTGTGAAAAAATGAAGAATGACACTTTTTATAAAACGGAATGAGTATTAAGCTTTTTCATAATAAAACCATTATCATGTTGGATTTACTTTTGTTGAAATAATCCAATCATATAAGAACAATTCTTGGGTTCACCCCCTAGGGGGTGAACCTAGGCCTGGGAATCTGAACCGAACCGGTTTGTCCGAACCGACCCGAACCGAGGTTTGGGCATATCGGTTGGGTTCCTATTAGTTAAACAAAACCGATCGGAATACATTTGAAATTATTTCGGTTAACCGAGATTTTCGGTTCGGTTCGCTCGAACCGAATGGTTAACCGAATAAATGAAAACACATAACCTAACCTAATAATTTCAGCCGACCACTCTTCTTCTTCTTTGATTTTTTATTTCCCCTTCTTCTTTTCTTCTTCTTCATCGATTGTTATTCTCTGATTCTTCTTCTCCTTCTTATTTTCTTCTTATTCTTCGATTTTTCTTCTCCGATTCTTACTCTTCTTCGATTCATCTTCTCCGGGATTATTGAAAATCTCTCGATGTTTTGCACTGCGTCGAGGTTGGCGTTGATGGCGTCGAGAGATTCGAGGAGAGCGGCGTGTGAGTGCAGCGAGTGTGCGAGCTGCCGGGAAAGGTAGATCCGTCCTCTCGCATCCTCTGCTAGATCGGTGATAAATGCTTCATGAACGGCAGATCCGTCCTCTTGCGACGGCTTCTTTCTCCAGTGACCTAATTGCAGAAACCGAGATAACCGAAATGCCAAAACCGAATAAATCGTTTCCGAACCGAACCGAACCGAAATCTTAGTCGGTTCAATTCGGAATAGCTTTCATTTTCCGAATTAACCGAAAAACCAAGAAACCGAACCCGATTTAACCGATCGGGTCGAATTCCCAGGCCTAGGTGAACCCATTCATTCACCCTCTTTTTATGACCAATTAAAATTTGACATGTCATCTATTTAAAGAATAAATTAAATCAATAAATTTAGAACCCACTATTATCTCTTTCACGTTTCTCTATCAAGGTTCCTTCAACTTTGTTTTTAAAATATTATCTTCTTCTTTTTCTTTGTCTAAAAAGTAAAAAAAAAAAAAAAACATATAACCAAAAGAATTAATAGTAAAGCTTAAGTACTTCCATATGTTTTCCGCCTTTGCCTTCAAAATAATCGAGCTTCATAATAAATTTCTGTAACTTTTGTCAAATTCCTACAAAATATAAGATTTCAAACCATAAAAAATTTGACTGAAAAATCAAATAAATTAATAAGTATGAATTATTCACCTGTTGTACTTGTGAGGAAAATGGTCTCGTCTGTAAAGTCGGATTACCAGTAGTTGAGGAAAATGGTCTCGTCTGTAAAGTCGGATTACCGGTAGTTACAGATAACTGGATATCAGAAGCAAAAGTTGAATCCTGAAGCAATTTTATCTTCTAATTAATATACGAACATACATACACTACAAGAAATTTGTTGGTTAACGTCACTTTATTAACGACAGTTCAATAAGTGACGTAAAGATAAAAAAAGGAAGGGATTTAACGTCGTTTATTAAACCGACGTATTAAACCGACGGTAGTTTACTAAACCAATTTTTTAGGTTAATATGAAGTTTTGTTTCTCTGCAATTAGAATTCTCCTTCTACATGATTGACACGAAGTCGTCTCTCCCAACATCGAAATCACAGAACTTCACTTTCGCATCAGGTTTTTCGTTTTCTGCTTCTCCAATTGTTTTGAGAATCGTTCATTGTTTTGATTCTAGCTCTGCGATTTGAGTTTTTTCTTCTCCATCTATGGAGGAATTGGAGATTCTCTTCTTCAATAGCTCAACAAAGTTTATACAGCATAAATTTCTTTTCAATTTGTTGTGTGTTATGACAAACCAATTCGATTCTAACAATGATTTACAAATTTCGTTGAAGGATATATTCGTCACAAGAGCAATCTTCTTCTCCTCGCTCGCTGATCCCGCCACGCAAATCAAATTAAGGTTAGGGTTAATGATTTATATATAAATTCATATTTAGGGTTAATTTTTTTTTTCTCCTGGATTTAGAGAGACACGTGAAAGAAAATTAGTGGGTCCTATAATTAATTCAGTTTTTATCTTTTAAATGATTTAATTTATTAATTCTTTAAATAGATGACATGTCAAATTCTAATTGGTCATCAAAAGGGGGTGAATGAGTGGGTTCACCCCCTAGGAGGTGAACCCAATATAATGCCAACATGTCAATATGTAGATAAAACGAATACCAATATGAGATTTGTTCTCTAAAATATTTGCATATAAAACTTAATATTCGGTTTACAAAAAAAAAAAAAAAAAAAAAAAAAAAAAACTTAATATTCAAATTTTGACCACTAATTACTTTTAACATCCACATTGTTTTTTACCACTACAAATTCATTACCACATTTTCACCGGTTTAATTCATATCGTTTTTTTTTTATACTGTAGTATTGTTGTAAACAAAATTTCAAAAATAAAATAACTTTAAAAGCTTATCCACTTATTTATTCGTTTAAGTACAAAATTCCAAAAAATGAAATATTAAAAATAATATAGTATATTATTAAACATGCAACGCTTGGGAAATTTGTAGTATAAAAAGAGAAACCAGTTTCAGTCTTGAAGCATCGAAAGCGAAAAAGCAATGATTTCTTCTCCATCGTGAGAGCAAAATCTGCAGAGCCGTTTGGTGTTCTTATTCTTCTTCTTCCTTGCGCCATCTTCGTATCAATATATTGCTTTCTCCTCCAATGTAAGCTTCTTCGATTATCCTCTGGTTTCTAAGTTTTTGTATCGATCTTCACTAGCCAATATTCTCGTTCGTAAAAACTCATAACCTAGATTAGATCACTCACCAAAACTCTCTTTTTTTGTGTCTTTGTGTGTGATTTTGGCTTTTTGATGGCTTTTACAGTTAAAAAAAGCAACAAAGTGACAAACAATGGAACTGGATTTGGAGAACAAATTGTTGAAAACGAGTTTGGTTATAGTGGCGACACTTGTTATAGCCAAACTCACCTTCTCCTTCTTCACTTCTGATTCCAAGAAGAAGCGTCTTCCTCCTACTCTTAAAGCTTGGCCTCCTTTGATCGGAGGCCTTGTCAAATTCTTGAAAGGACCTATTGTGATGCTTAGAGAGGAATACCCTAAGCTTGGAAGTGTATTCACTGTTAATCTTGTTCACAAAAAGATAACTTTTCTCATTGGTCCTGAAGTCTCTGCTCATTTTTTCAAAGCTCCTGAATCTGATCTTAGCCAGCGGGAAGTGTATCGATTCAATGTGCCTACTTTTGGTCCTGGAGTTGTTTTCGATGTCGATTTTCCCGTCCGCCAGGAGCAGATCCGGTTCTTCACCGAGGCTCTTAAAGTCAACAAGTTAAGGAGTTATGTTGATATGATGGTTACTGAAGCTGAGGTAAATATAATTTGGCATTTTTTTGCTTGCACTTATATAAGTTATGAGTGAGTCTATGAATTTTTCATGCTTTTGCTTCCTTAGTACCAAAATCATATACTCTGCTTTAATCTTAGTTATGAGTGAGTAGTTCTTTGGTAGTTTCATTTATAAAATACTTGTTCTTGGCAGGATTACTTCTCGAAATGGGGAGAGAGTGGTGAAGTTGATCTCAAGGTTGAGCTAGAGCGTCTTATCATCTTGACTGCAAGTAGATGTCTACTTGGTCGAGAAGTTCGTTACCAGCTTTTTGATGATGTCTCTGCTTTGTTCCGTGACCTTGACAATGGAATGCTTCCCATCAGTCTTCTCTTCCCACACCTTCCAATTCCAGCTCACCGCTGTCGTGACCGTGCCCGCGAAAAGCTTGCTGACATTTTCGCAAAAATCATTGGGTCAAGAAAACGCTCTGGAAAAACAGAGAACGACTTGTTGCAGTTTTTAATCGAATCAAAGTACAAAGACGGTAGACAAACAACCGAATCTGAAGTCACCGGTTTGCTCATTGCTGCTCTGTTTGCAGGACAACACACGAGCTCTATCACTTCCACCTGGACCGGTTCTTATCTGATGCAATACAAAGAACACTTGTCAGCTGCTCTTGATGAGCAAAAGAACCTGATTGCGATACATGGAGACAAGATCAATTATGATATCTTATCCGAGATGGATGTTCTCTACCGCTGCACAAAGGAAGTGTTAAGGCTTCACCCTCCACTGATCATGTTAATGAGAGCCTCGCACACTGATTTCAACGTCACAACTCGGGATGGAAAAACTTATGATATCGCAAAGGGTCACATCATTGCAACCTCTCCCGCATTTGCCAACCGCTTACCCCACGTTTTCAAAGATCCGGACACCTTTGACCCAGAAAGATACTCTCCGGGAAGAGAAGAGGACAAAGCTGCAGGGGCATTCTCGTTCATTTCATTCGGAGGAGGTAGGCACGGGTGCCTTGGAGAGCCGTTTGCTTACATGCAGATCAAAGCCATATGGAGTCATTTGTTGAGGAACTTTGAGCTCCAGCTAGTTTCACCGTTCCCTGAGACCGACACGAGCGCTATGGTGGCTTGTGTTAAAGGCAAGGTGATGGTGCGTTACAAGAGGCGCCAGCTTTCTTAAAGACATGTTTAAGGTTATTGCAACTTTGGTTTTTTCTCTTGCTTCTGCTTTGCTTTTGTCCCTCTCCGGTTTTAGTTTTGTTGTTGAATAATGGTTCTTTCTGTTTCTTTAACTGTTCTTGCTCTTTGACACTTATTTTCAAGCTTCTCGAACTTCTTTGGTTTACGCTCAATTACTACTACTACTACTCGAATAGTCTAATCAATTAACGAAGGTCGAAAACAAAAATGTTTAATTGGTAAAATTCTATTTTAGGAAGAAAATATTTGAATGTGGCAAATATTTTAACAACTGGTGCAAAAACAGTTACCAAAATTACATATCTTATTATATAGGAAGATATCTATTAAATACTTTTTTGTTCAATATACCCAAAGTTATCTGATTATTAAAAGGGGAAAAGTTCATAACTTATTGTGCTTTAAACTATACAGATGCCGTAAAGAGACCAAATCTGGTACCAAATCGTTGTCTTAGATGGATTCGAAATTTCTTTCTTAATACTCTACATTATGATTCAATGTAAATGTATTCGATTTATATGTCCCCAAAAAATGGTTAAATCTTAACTTTCCATCGTGACCCTTATGAACGTTTTCTTCTCTCGCATTACCAACGTTATTACGTTACGGATCCACTCTCTCTTCATCGCCAGAAAGAACACATCTCATCCGTCGCATATTCCACCCACCGAAGACAACAGCAACGGCTACCATTGTTTGGTCGTAATCTCTCTCGACAACCTCAATCAAAAGGATCCAAAGTCTCGAAGAGGAAGCTTGCATCTAGGCTTCAAAAGCCTTCTTCTGATCAAGGTCAAGGTTCCTTGGCAGAACGCTTTATCTATCAGGTTTGTGATCATTTGGTTTGGTTTCTGACTTTCTCTTGGTTAATTCGAATATCTAGCTAGCACGAAATATTTCAGATGGAGAGCATAACGAAGTGGGACTTGGGATCACTCCGAACGTATTACTCCGTTGAACCTTGTGAGAAGTTTCAAGAAGACGAGTTTTTAGACATTAGCCTCGTTCCTCGACTTCAAGCGGAGTTATGGAAGGCTCAATCGAGAATCAGAGAGCTTGAGGCTGAAAAGTTTGGGTCAGAAGAAAATATTAAATGTTTCTTCAGACATCAAAGAAATGAAAGAGAAGAAACCACTGATCCATTTTTTGATTACTTGAAGGAAAAGTTACGCAAAAAGAGTGAAGAAATGAAAAGAGTCAAAGCTGAGAATTCTAGGTTAAAGAAGAAGATTTTGGACATGGATTCATCAGTAAATCGGTTGAGAAGAGAAAGAGACACAATGGAGAAGGTGTGCGAGGAACTGGTGACGAGGATCGACGAATTGAAGGTGAATACTAGGAGGATGTCGGACGAAACAGAGGAGGAGAGGCAGATGTTACATATGGCTGAGATGTGGAGGGAGGAAAGGGTTAGGGTTAAGTTCATGGATGCAAAACTTGCCTTGCAAGAAAAGTATGAGGAGATGAATTTGTTTGTGGTTGAGTTAGAGAAGTGTTTGGAGACGGCAAGAGAAGTAGGAGGAATTGAGGATAAGAGGCTGAGACAAGGTGAAGGTTTGATAAAGATGGCCAGATCTATGGAAGCTGAAGACAATAAGATTGATTTTGAAAGATTTGAGTTTGTGTCTGATGACTATAATGTTTAACAACACTAATGGTCTTGCAAGAAAAGTATGAGGAGATGAATTTTTTTTCTTACAAGTTACAACAAGCGTAATTTTTTAATGATTAATGAAAAGTATTATTTACATTCACTACTAACCAATATAGTTACATCAAATCCGTTAGATTGTAACCAGTGTAAGTGTGTAACGAAAAAATAATTTATCAATCCCAAAAAATAGTTATTATCAATTGGCAACAATTGGAACTAATCCGGATTACATAAATTCATCATAGAAGTATTAACGGGCAACATATGCGATTTGATATGATTTTGCTTTAGTGTGGGAACCTACGAAGACGACCATTTGCAACAACTTTTTCATGGTTTGGAATTTGAACCTCAAACATAAAGTAAAGAAACATTTGTATCTTTAGACCAATCATTAGGTCAAAGTGTTACCATGATTTTTGGGACATGGTTACATGTATAAATTTACCTTACGCCTTTAATAATTGCATCTTTAGAGAAAAGATTTTTATAAGAATTCATTGCATCTTTAGTTTTTAGAAAAGTAGTGCAACATGAATCAAACATTGTGATAAGAATTTGTCATTTTTATATAAAACAAGCATTTGTCAGTTAGAAACCAAGGACATATCATCAATGTCAACCTCTCTTGGATGTCTTTTTAGTTTTGTTGTTATTGATTGTTGAACTCTGCATCGCATATATACATATATTGTTTTTTTATATAAATTTTGTTTTAGTTTTTTTTTTCCTTTGTCACTTGTTTTGTTTGGTTCTATATAAAATATATTTAATAAATATCATATTTGTCTATTTTATTTTTTGGTTGCTAATGATCCATGGAATCTAGAGATCCAATCTTTGGCCAGCGTTACGGCTTTGCACATGGCCAATCATGTTATTTCTCTTTATATTTTCCAACTCCAAAAATTCCATTTCTCAATTGAATACTAAATTAAAAATTAAAAGAATCTAGCTTTGTCCCGCTTCTGCCGGTTCAGAAGATTTGTAATCTCTCTAGCTACATTTCTAAGAATTGAACTTAAAAATTAGATATCCCACATTAGAAAGTTTCATAGCCATTGTCATAAAAACTTATAAAATATATCTAATCTTATGATATACCAGAACTCCTCGAGTTTACTCACGATAGACATGCATAGGATCTGAAGACTGATGGATTCAATTGTTTGGTGCATTTCACACAGAACAAATAGATGTAAATCTTTTCTTGCATATGATTGGATCATTTGTACCATATCGTGACAAAAAAATTGATAAATAGCGTATACAAATATTTAATGTATGTAGATTAATATAAATACAGTAAGGTACAATTGCCCTAGCTAGAGGTAGTAGGGGTCTATTGTGGGGTAGTGAATGAGAACAACACAATGACTTGTTCGTCTCTCAAAAAGACAACTACCTGACTTATTATATCCCAATAATCTCGTCAAATTAAAATTGTTATCCCTACATTGATTTAGACGTACAGTATAGTTATATCGATATTTTCAGTGATTTTCCCTTTTTATTGTATCATCTTTTCACTATTTTTGTGTATCTCAACTTATATATGTTTTAGTTTTAGGTTTTTTTTTTCTTTTCTTTTAAGCATTATTGAGTGGAATATTTTTATGCAACCACTCATGACTCATATCTATAGTATAATCATATATGTGACTGTGATGGATTTACAAACGTAAGAATATTCTTTCAATGTATAACATAATATTTTTATTTTATTTATAACATAATATTTTTTCTTATAACACAATATTTGATTATCTTTTCTCACATGTTAATCTAACTAACGTGGATAAATCAAACACTAAAAATGTGTTCTCATATGTTTATTCATATTATCTAAATTGAGTAAAGTAGACAAAATTTTTTTTTGTATATCTAATTATCGATTTTATTCATAATTGAAAGAGTATTTGTTTACGGCAAACATGGCATAAGAATTCTGATACTTCTATTTCGTTATTCTATTGAACTGATAAATACATATGAAGAAAATTATTTTAACAAAAAAAAAACATATGAAGAAAATTACTCGAAGTTACATACATATAAGAACAAGCATAAAACGGAATTTTTTTTTCATATTCTATATACTAGCTATATTTACAAAAAAATGAAATTTTTTTCTTTTTTAAAGATGAACTACTTTGCTAGTCTTAAATTATTTTCAAAATATTGGTTCAAAAGAGGGAAAAAACGAAAAATAAGCTGTGTAAAAAAATTTAAACAAACGTAGCTGCTATGTTTACGAAGTATGTATGATACTCTTCTGTCTCTTATTCTCAGCCGTTCAATGTGGACACAGTGGGGTCCATATCTTTCTTTGTACTAAGTTCGTCACAAGTGTCAAGTGGAAAACCTACTTTTAATTATCAATTACTAAAAGTTATTATTGAATTAAAAAGCGACACCATTTGATTAACAATCAACAAAACAGTTAATTAATGGTTTTAGTGTGAAGTATACTTGAGTTCTTTTGGGTTCCACTTAGGATTAAACACTGATGTATGATTCCCTTAAACTTGACCAAAGTTTATACTCTCTGTTAAACCAAAACAGATAACTTTTAACAATAACTTTTTACAAATTTTTAGTTTGACAATTTTTATCGTTTTTATAACCGCATGGTCTTCCCCATCACCACTACATAAAAACCTTTGCTCGCACTACTTATAAACTTTTAGTCATCAGTCTGGCCACGTATCGTATATTGTGGTTGTGATCACCACAATTAAAATGACGAAATGCAATTAAAATATTGAATGATTAGAAAAAATTAGTTATTTATATTAAAAAAATTTTAGTGATTTCTATTTTTTTAACGTAATGTAAACATCAACATAAATTGGAATACATTTTATTTATTTTCTACAACACATGGATATATAGGTTACGATACGATGATGACACTATTTTTTTTTTGTTAAAGGTTTTCTTATATAAATAAAAAGTATACTATTACAAATCCATAAGTTGGTATCATCTTATCGCAAACTTAGTTGCACACAAACAATTTGGCTAAACTTTTGATCTTGCAACAAAAACTATTGTGAAAAAGAAAAAAATTCTCGTGAGCAATTTTTTCTTACCAAAACAAGCGATCCAAACTTTGCAACTTTTTCCCCCAATTTGGCAAGTTGACAATAAGTGTTTCCATAGACTTTCTCGAGTAATTAAATTATTAACAAAAATAAGAAGAGAGACTCCTCTAGTGATTCACACGCGCCTCTCGGTAGCGCGTCACGTGGCATGTCTCGTCTTATTACAGCGTATCCAAATTGTTTATCTGTTAACTATTACGTGTGGGAACTCTATGATTTATTTATCCACATTAATCAGACCCTCAAATATTTACATTTACCACCTCCTTATTTTATTTTATTTCTAAAAGACCCCTCTACTATTTAGATTCCAGATATGAGATCACAAAGATTCTTACTTGATTTGACGAAAGACAAAAGAGATGGTCTAAATTAAAAATTCGTTTGCGCTTATTAGATTGCAGAATATTAAACACATTCACGAATTTACGTACTACCTTTCGTGCAAACTTTTTCCATCCAAAAGTTGGTTATATACATTGAAATCCAACGGTGGAAAGAAACTCTATCAAACAAGGACCACTAGATTTTTGAAACTTAAAAATTTGGGTTGATTAGATTATGATTATATCTTATGGGTTATTTTTGTAAGAAACTGATAATATAGTGGTATAGTTGAGATTTATTAGTCATTTCACATTCTTTTGGACTCTTCTGCTTACGAAAATGCTATATATAGTCGTCCATTTCGCTTCGTTTAAAACTTATAGCGAAATCTCTAATTACTTAATCTCTGAATGTTGTTTAAGATAATAATAATCTAAAAGTGATTAACTAAAGGATTAATTTGTGGAGATTAAAAGAAGTTTCAATGGCAAGAGGTCGAAAGCTGACGATGAGCCAGAGCGAGAGGTATCTAGGAAGCAGCTACAGTTACGGTGACAGTAACGGAAACTCCGTCACCGACGAATCAGAGCTCACGGAGGAGGACATCTGGTCACATGCCGTCGATCACAGCCCGGAGATGCTGGAATCTCACGGCGCGTGGAACACACGCGATGCTGTGGTGAGGAATGGGCGCGTGGGTGGTGGTTTGTCGCTGGCGTTTGAGGACGCGTCATCTTCGCCGAGGATCGTGCACCAGATACGTGGCGGAGGAGAAGGAGGAGGCGGTGGAGGAGGAGGAGGAGGAAGAGTTGAGAGGCAGTTGGCGTCGTCGGCGCCGGTGAACGTGCCGGATTGGAGTAAGATATACAGAGTCAACTCGGTTGAGTCGATACACGAGTCGGAGGAAGAGGAGGAGGAAGATTCCGGGATGATGATGCCGCCGCATGAGTACCTAGCGCAGAGCCAAAAGCGGCGGAGCAGAAAATCTGGTGGCGGTGGCTCGGTGTTTGAAGGAGTTGGAAGAACTCTCAAAGGACGAGAATTAAGGCGCGTCCGAGACGCGATTTGGAGCCAAACAGGGTTCTACGGCTAAGTTAGTAATATATAATTTGAAGGGAAAAAAAACATTTTAAACTTCAACTTAAAAACCTTTGAAAAATATTTTGCTTATTTTGTCAGTTTAGAGTTAATTTTGCAACTTTCTTGAATCCCAAGCTTGAGATGTATAAGATTTATAATTGGCTTCCCATGCAAATGCTTTTTTTTTTTTTTTTTTTGGTAAAAAATGCAAATACTTTTTCGTTCTTTTTTCTTTTCTTTTTAGATTGATAAATTAATTGTGGGAAAATTTTCAAGAACCTCATGTGCTATGTGTATAATTTTCTCTCTTTTTGTTGTGTTGATTAATTTTTAAAAATTCAATATTTTAATGTCTCTCTTAGCAAAAAAATATTTTAATGTCTCTATAACATCCCAAAGGCATAATAAAATGGAAATTCAATAATATATCATCAAAAGTTACTAAAATAATTTTTAATACAAGGCAGATAGCTTACGATACATGCTGAGCAATAATTTCCTGAAAGGAACTTGATTGAATTTTTGCTTTCGAGTTTGAATATATTATAAAACATAATGGAATATAACATAAAACTGAAACTTTGAATTAGCAAACAAAAAACAAAAATTAACCTATGAAAATAATTAAGTTATATAAGACTCTTCCTCGTAGTGTTCATTTTTAGTTGTATATGGTGTATAATAAATATATTAAACGTTAAAACCCGATTTCATATGTCATGTATCACGTAACAAGGATATTAATGATTGAGCACCGATATTGTTTACAATAGTAAAAGATTAAATTAGTGATAGTATATTAGGTCTAGTTATTAATTAAGTGATAATTTGATATGATATGAAAGGGAAAGTTTGTATAATTAATGAGAACAGATGTGTCCTTGCAACATTATTGTGTCCACAGGTAAACTGTCCAAAGAATCCACTTCAAAGTGGGGGCACTCACGAGCCAGAAAAAGACACTATTTTCAATTCATTTTCCCAAATAAAATCATGAAATGGCATCTTCTTATATATATATACATAGACGTCACTGAAAGTTATAACATGGAAAAGATTAATCATATAACTAATTCTGTATTGATATAGACTAATGAAATCTATATGGAGTGATCTAGTGGTTAAAACAAATAAATAACATGCACATAGTGAAGCAATTCATGAAGAAGTTTTCTTGGTGAATTTACGAGCAATAAGTTTGTCCAAATTTAAGAGCAATAAGAACACAAAACATGCATAAATAAGAAGAAAAAAAAATCTATCAAGAAAATATAATTCGCGACTTGATCGAATCGTTGAAAAATGGTCGTTAGAATTAGCCGAGGGGAATCATGTCTATTTTCAAGTATAACGAGATTAGGAGTCATGTTTTGATCTAATTAACAATCCCAAACATATAGTTAATTATGTGAATGTATCTACTACACTAGAGAGATATGTATTATATGGACATGAGGTTATGGAGGGGGTAGGGATATGGTTGGGGTCAAAAGAAAGTGACACAAGTTAGAGAGTGTTAAAGCATAAGAGAGGGAAGTTTGTCAAAAATGTTTTTGATCACTTTATGAGTTATGCCTTTGCCTTTTTCAAGAAAGGACCTTTGAAAGTGAATTTGATCGATCGAGAAGTCTATAATATCATGACCTAATTCATATATATGTGGGCTCAACACATCTCTTTCCACTCTTATCTCAAACTCTCTCTTCACCATTCACCACACTCTCTCTCTCTCAATAATTTGATTCCTTTAATTAAATTGATTCTTAGCATTTATATATACAATTCCAAAATCATTGTTTGATATAGAAAACTATAAGAATGCTCAAAATTCTAACTAATTAACAATATTTGTCAGCGAAAGTTACATATTATAATTGTCTTTTTGTGAAAAATATAGTCCTGCAATAAAAGACAAATGAAAGCATGTAAGTCTTGTGGTAGTTCAAATATGGTACTATGTGATGAGGTTAGTGAACACTTTCACTAAACAACAATTTTGATGATTGGAGTTTGGATTATAATCTGAACTTTTAATTCATGGATATGTTTTTAGATTACGTAAACTTCGATCCAAAATTTCGATTAAGAAAGAAGCGGATCAGAATAAACTTTGCAGATTCCATTTTACATAACTTTGTGAAACTTTGGCCATTAGAGGAAAGCTGAAACAAGTGTGTGACCCTTTCAAGTGATTTCATTGCAACAAGTGTGTGACTAGTTCAAGTGCTCATAATATTGTAGGGGTTGGGTTAGTGGGATTTTATCGAAGTCATGTGGCCCAAGTGGACTTAGACCCAACTTAGGTTATCAATGTCATGCGGCCCAATTAAACCCATTTTAATGTATAACCAAACCATTTCGGTTAATCCTAAACCGGTCATCTGGTTGGGTATTTAAACCCTTTTGTCTTTTTATTTGTACCGTTTTTCTCGCCAAGTCCTCACCTTTCTCTCTGCCGCCGTCGCCGTCGCCGGAGTTACTCATCGTGGTTTGTCAAACGCTAGCGAGGCTCATGTATCGGAAGATCATGCCTTCGAATTCTACGTTTAAAGACCTCTGTCTAGATTTAGGGTTCTTGCTTTTAGGGTTTAGAGTGATTATCGTTATCTGAGGTTTTTCTTTGTACCGTATGTTCGGTCACGTTTTCTCCAGAAGAACGAGCTTCCTGGTACGTTGCTTTCACGTCGCTAAGAAATTCTCGAATCCTGAGCCGGAAGACATTCTCTTTAGTGCTCTCTGTTTGAATTTAAAACAGAGAAGATGGAACACTCTTCATCAATTCTCCTCAAGTCTCACAAATCCGTTGATAAGTCGAGTTCTTCGACAGTTTCGAAGCTCGCCGAAGCTAGCTTTAGAATTCTACAATTGGGTTTTAGAGAACAACACTGTGGCTAAGTCCGAGAATCGATTCGAAGCCTCTTGTGTGATGATTCATTTGCTGGTGGATTCGAGAAGATTTGATGATGCTTTATCAATAATGGTGAATTTGATGTCTGTAGAAGGTGAAAAGTTGAGTCCTTTACATGTTTTGTCGGGTTTGATTCGAAGTTATCAAGCCTGTGGTTCGAGTCTTGATGTGTTTGATTCATTGGTTAGAGCTTGTACACAGAATGGTGATGCTGAAGGAGCTTATGAAGTGATTGAGCAGACGAGAGCAGAGGGTTTTTGGGTTTCTGTTCATGCGTTGAATAATTTTATGGGTTGTTTGTTGAATTTGAATGAGATTGATTGGTTTTGGAAGATTTACAAGGAGATGGATTCTTTGGGATATGTTGAGAATGTGAATACATTTAATCTGGTTATATATTCGTTTTGTAAGGAGAATAAGTTGTTTGAAGCGTTATCTGTGTTTTACCGGATGTTGAAATGTGGGGTTTGGCCTAATGTTGTTAGCTTTAATATGATTATTGATGGAGCTTGTAAGACGGGCGATATGAGATTTGCCTTGCAGCTCTTAGGGAAGATGGGAGTGATGTCTGGAAACTTTGTCTCACCTAATGCTGTGACGTATAATTCGGTTATCAACGGTTTTTGCAAGGCGGGGAGATTGGATTTGGCGGAAAGAATCCGTGGTGAAATGGTTAAATCAGGTGTTGATTGCAATGAAAGAACCTATGGAGCTTTAGTGGATGCATATGGTAGAGCTGGAAGCTCAGATGAAGCCTTGAGGTTGTGTGATGAGATGACGAGTAAGGGACTTGTGGCGAATACTGTTATCTATAACTCTATTGTTTATTGGCTGTTCATGGAAGGTGACACTGAAGGAGCAATGATGGTGTTGCGTGATATGATCAGTAAAAATATGCAAATTGATGGGTTTACTCAAGCCATTGTTGTCAGAGGTCTATGCAGAAACGGATATGTAGCGGAAGCTGTTGAGTTTCAGAGACAGATTTCAGAGAAAAAACTCGTGGAAGATATAGTTTGTCACAACACGCTTATGCACCATTTTGTAAGGGATAAAAAGCTGGCGTGTGCTGATCAGATTCTAGGGAGTATGTTGGTTCACGGTTTAGGTCTCGATGCGATTTCGTTTGGTACTTTGATTGATGGATACCTAAAGGAAGGGAAGTTGGAAAGAGCTATCGATATATATGATGGTATGATCAAGATGAATAAAACGCCGAATCTTGTGATTTACAATTCAATTGTGAATGGATTAAGCAAAAGAGGGATGACTGGTGCGGCTGAAGCGGTTGTGAACGCTATGGAAAGCAAGGACACTGTAACTTACAACACGCTGTTGAACGAGTCTCTCAAAACCGGAAATGTCGAAGAAGCTGACAAAATCTTATCTAGAATGCAGAAACAGGACGGTGAGAAATCAGTTAGTCTGGTGACTTACAACATCTTGATCAATCACTTATGCAAGTTTGGTTGTTACGAGAAAGCGAAGGAGGTATTGAAGATTATGGTTGAAAGAGGTGTTGTCCCGGATTCTATAACATATGGAACTCTGATTACATCGTTTAGTAAGAATCGCGGTCAAGAGGAAGTCGTTGAGCTTCATGATTACATGATTTTTCAAGGAGTTACACCTCATGAACATATATCAATCTATAGTTCGTCCTCTTCTTGATGGAGAAAATGGAAGGCCTTAGTCAAAGCCAATGAAAGCTTGTGGCATAAATCAAAGCGTGTTTCCATTTTGGGAAGAACTACTGAACCGTTCGGAGGGTTTCTTTTGGAGGTACGGTACGGATCAGATTCGTATCTAGTTCGTACACGTGGACCCTTGGACGATTCTTTGTAATCAACGGTCAGTGTTGAAAAAACAGGATCGCTTAAGCTTGACGTGGACTTGTAAAGCGGGGATTTGTCTGACACGTGGCGCTAATGCATCGGCCAAACGATTTCGTTGTCACGAGCTATTAACACGTGATTTGTAAAAATTAACCGTCCAGATTATGTAATGTTGGTAGACACCGTAAGGAATATTATCTGAGAAGCAGACGAATATTTCTACAAGTTGTTTTCTGCTAGATGTCAACAAATCAGAGTACCATAGGTTTAATTTCATGAATAAATGATTGTTATTATATATAAAAATATTAATCAACACATGTATTCTCTGAATAATTTAATCGGAATAAAATAAAGAAGGAGATGAGTTTCAGACTTCAGTGATTGAGAAGTGTGGTGTGGTGAGACAGTGGAGGAGGGGGCTGCTTCAACAACAAACAAACATTCTCTCTCTCTTGTCTAAAGCAACCATATATACCTAAAGAAGTCCAAGACCATTTTCTATCTCCAGACCATTTACTCTCTTCTTCGGCAGCCATGGAAGTGTGTTGGCAGATACAGAGACCAGCGAGTCTCAGACCGGGTTTTCAGGAAAAGGGTCGGGTCAAGATCAATACTTCATCTGTTGGTTTTTTTCCACGCTCTATTTCTAGTGTAAATTTCTTTTCTTTTTCTTTGTTTCTTCCATCTTTTTCGTTTGTATATCTCTTTGGATTCTACTTTTCGGGAATTGAAGTGTAAAGTGTTCTACTTTTTCATAATGTGATCGCCTTTTCGATTAGTATATCTTTAATTGAATCAATGTACTATTTTTTTATAAAAAAGATTCAACTCTGTTAGGGTCTCTGGATTAGTATCCAAATGTCTACTGGTATAATCCTCACCTCATTGACGATCTTAACTTTGATGGTGATTAGTTTATGTATTTCTTGGTTGTGATTGTGAGCTTGTGAAAGAGGTGATTGAACTGTTGTATAATCGATTTCTAACCAACGACATGTTTGGTTTTCAGTTTGCTTCATTGGAAAGCCAATACAAATCAAATGGGTTTCTGCATCAGATCACGGCAAGTGCAGGTTAAGAATTAAGAATCTGTTCACAGGGTTTATAATCTTTCATTGTGATTACTGATTCAGTCCTTTTGGTGAATACTTATTTTCTTAACCAAGATTTTTCAAGGAAGAAGCAAGGAAGAATGGCTGCTTCAGGACCAAAAAGCTCAGGTCCCAGAGGTTTTGGGCGACAACCAACAGTAGGAAGTGCTCAGAAAAGAACTCAGAAGAAGAATGGTGAAAAAGATAGTAATGCCACTTCTACAGCAACAAACGAGGTTTCAGGGGTTACTAAGTTGCCCGAAGCTAAAGCGGATGTACAGAAACAAGGCTCTGTTGTTTTTAATGAGAGGAATGTGTTAGATAAGTCGGATGTTGAGGATAGAAGTGACCGTTTGAACAAGAAAACAACCGAGGATGATGCTTTGTTAGAAAGAAAGTTAAAACTTGAAAGAGAGAATCTTCGTAGGAAGGAAATAGAAGCGCTTGCAGCAGAACATTTGGCGAGAGGTGATAGAATGTTTGTGTATCCCGTTATTGTGAAACCTGATGAAGACATAGAAGTCTTTCTCAACAGGAATCTGTCAACTCTGAAGAACGAACCCGATGTTTTGATCATGGGGGCGTTTAACGAATGGAGATGGAAGTCTTTCACAAGGAGATTGGAAAAGACATGGATCCATGGAGATTGGTTGTCATGTCTCCTTCATATCCCCAAAGAAGCCTATAAGATGGACTTTGTGTTTTTCAATGGGCAAAGTGTATATGACAACAATGACTCAAAAGATTTCTGTGTAGAGATAAAAGGTGGGATGGATAAAGTTGACTTTGAGAATTTTCTTCTAGAAGAGAAATTGCGTGAGCAAGAGAAGTTAGCCAAGGAAGAAGCTGAGAGGGAGAGGCAAAAAGAAGAGAAGAGAAGAATCGAAGCTCAAAAGGCTGCAATTGAAGCTGATAGAGCACAAGCTAAGGCGGAGACTCAGAAGAGACGTGAATTGCTTCAACCGGCTATTAAGAAGGCTGTAATCTCGGCTGAGAATGTTTGGTACATTGAGCCGAGTGATTTCAAGGCTGAAGATACAGTGAAGCTATATTACAATAAAAGGTCAGGTCCTCTGGCTAATTCCAAAGAACTCTGGTTACATGGAGGGTTTAATAATTGGGTTGATGGATTATCTATCGTTGTAAAGCTTGTTGATGCTGAGTTAAAGGATGATGATCCAAAGAGCGGAAATGATGATTCAAAGAGCGGAAATTGGTGGTTCGCTGAAGGTATATTTGTGAAGCTTTTCTATCATTTTGAACAAACCTGCATTTTTTGATACATTTTTGTGGTAACATATCCTTTGACTGCCATTTGGTTTATTGATCTTTTTCATTTCAATATGCAGTTGTAGTGCCTGCCGGTGCTCTAGTCATTGACTGGGTCTTTGCTGATGGACCGCCTAAAGGAGCGGTTCTGTATGACAATAATTTTTACCAAGACTTCCACGCACTTGTTCCTCGAAAAACTCCTGAAGAACTTTACTGGTTAGAGGAAGAAAATTTGATTTTTAGAAAACTTCAGGAGGAGAGGCGGTTAAAAGAGGAAGTTATGCGTGCCAAGGTCAGTGCTCAATGCATTTAAAAGAATTACCAGCTTATCCTCTTTACCATATTATTTGCATTCTTGTCAAATCTCTTTCTTGACTACATTGGTTTTACATTTCTTCATCCTCTTTTTTTATTGGCAGATGGAAAAGACAGCTCGCTTGAAAGCCGAAACTAAGGAAAGAACACTTAAAAAGTTTCTGCTATCCCAGAAAGACGTGGTTTACACTGAGCCTGTAGAGATTCAAGCAGGAAACCCTGTGACTGTATTATACAATCCTACAAACACAGTTTTGAATGGAAAGCCTGAAGTTTGGTTTAGAGGCTCTTTTAATCGTTGGACTCACCGCTTGGGCCCTTTGCCACCTCAGAAAATGGAAGCAGCAGATGATGGAAGCTCACACATGAAGACTACGGGTAACATTTCAGTTGTACAGGTTTCCGTTACTGTTAATATGTGACTAATGTTTCTCTTCTTTTTTTTTTTCCAGCTAAGGTCCCATTGGATGCTTACATGATGGACTTTGTGTTCTCTGAGAAAGAGGATGGCGGAATATTCGATAACAAAAATGGTCTGGATTACCATTTACCGGTTGTGGGAGGTATTTCAAAGGAACCACCATTGCACATTGTTCATATTGCTGTTGAAATGGCACCCATCGCAAAGGTAACTGTAAGAGGTGAGGTTGGCCTTTAAAAGCATTGTACATATATATCTTAAGTTTATGTATATCTATTACATGCAGGTTGGAGGTCTAGGTGATGTCGTCACTAGTCTATCTCGCGCTGTTCAAGAATTAAACCATAATGTGGACATCATTTTTCCAAAGTATGATTGCTTAAAGCACAACTTTGTAAGATCGATGTCTTCTCATATCTTTCTTGCTTTCACTTCCCTTTTTTTGCTGCTTCTCTCTCTCTGTGTTCTTATGCATTGTGAAAATAGGTGAAGGACTTGCAATTCAACAGAAGCTATCACTGGGGAGGAACCGAAATAAAAGTTTGGCATGGAAAAGTAGAAGGCCTTTCGGTTTACTTCTTAGATCCACAAAATGGGTTAGCTTTATGCATATTGCTCTTTAAGCTCTTTCCGCATTTCATTCATCATCTCTTGAGCTCATGAAGAAGTTGTTGCCATTGCTTGGCTGTTGCAGATTGTTTCAGCGAGGATGTGTTTACGGTTGTGCAGATGATGCAGGAAGATTCGGTTTCTTCTGTCATGCAGCTCTTGAATTTCTTCTCCAAGGAGGTTTCCATCCAGTAAGTTTACACGTCCTGCTCTTGTAGAATAATGGAGGATTCTCAATGGAAAGTCTTACTAGTTTTCTCTAACTATTAGCTCTAACCCATGGTCTCACCATCTACAGGACATTCTTCACTGTCACGACTGGTCTAGTGCTCCGGTTTCATGGTTATTCAAGGATCAATACACGAATTACGGTTTAATTAAAACCCGTGTTGTCTTCACAATTCATAATCTGGAATTTGGAGCAAATGCCATTGGTAAAGCAATGACATTTGCAGACAAAGCTACAACGGTAATTTCTGAAAGTATTCTCCACTTAAGAGATCTGTTATCACAGAAAAATCATTTGTGCTTTTTCTCTAAAGAAGCTGAAAATGAGCATGACTCTCTGCTCTTAACATTATACAGGTTTCGCCAACGTATGCTAAGGAAGTTGCTGGAAACTCGGTAATCTCTCCACATTTATACAAGTTTCACGGAATCATAAACGGGATCGACCCAGATATATGGGATCCATATAACGATAACTTTATTCCCGTAAGCTTCATCACATCCTCTCCTTTCTTGTCTTTAGATTCCTTTCTACATCTTGTGATGTTTGAACACTTTGTGTGGTTCTTAGGTACCTTATACTTCAGAGAACGTTGTAGAAGGCAAAAGAGCAGCCAAGGAAGAATTGCAAAACAGGCTTGGACTAAAGAGTGCCGATCTTCCAGTAGTAGGAATTATTACGCGCTTAACACACCAGAAGGGAATACATTTGATCAAGCACGCTATTTGGCGTACCTTGGAACGGAATGGACAGGTTTTTTTTTCTAGCCTTATTCAACCTTTGAAAAGTCCTGTCGTGAACTTTTCACAATCCTTACCGGTTTTCTTGAAAGCAGGTTGTCTTGTTAGGTTCAGCTCCAGATCCTCGGATCCAAAATGATTTTGTAAACTTGGCAAACCAATTGCATTCTTCTCATGGTGACCGAGCTCGGCTTGTTCTAACCTATGATGAACCTCTTTCCCATTTGGTAGAAAGACAATAACAGACCTTTATTTGTTATTCGTTCCTTAATTTTCTTTCGGTATTTCTCTAAGTATTTTTGTGTTTTACTCTCCAGATTTACGCTGGGGCTGACTTTATTCTTGTACCGTCGATATTTGAGCCGTGTGGACTGACACAGCTCATAGCCATGAGATACGGCGCTGTTCCTGTTGTTAGAAAAACTGGAGGTAACTGTTTTTGGCTGTGGTTAGAATCTTAAGCTTTACCCATTTCACTCAAGACCAAGCTGACTTAGATAATGGTTTATCTTTATCCAATAGGACTCTTTGACACAGTATTTGATGTTGACCACGATAAAGAAAGGGCACAAGCTCAAGTTCTAGAACCTAATGGCTTCAGCTTCGACGGGGCTGATGCTCCTGGTGTTGATTATGCTCTCAATAGGTAACCAACCAAAATCTAAACTAAAACTCTCTTGATTCGAGCATTGTTAACCAATATTTCTTGTTTTTTTTCTTCTGCAGGGCAATATCGGCGTGGTACGATGGTAGAGAGTGGTTTAATTCGCGGTGCAAGACGGTAATGGAGCAAGACTGGTCATGGAACCGTCCTGCACTTGAGTATCTTGAGCTCTATCACTCTGCACGCAAGTGAGACCCAAAAGAAAACCTTGAAATCAATTCTCTTGATATGTACAGAAATTAGCTTATGGAGACACCTTAGAGAGTTTGATCCTTTCTTCTTCTTTTACATTCCCAAAGCATTTAAAGAACGTTAATAGGTCTGGATTCTGCTTTTGTAATTCTGAATAAATGGAAGCTAAGCAAAGTTTATATACACAATTTTACATTTCTCAAATTGTTCAAGTTTCTAACTGAATCAGTAGTACTTTTTCACAATTCCAAATCTGACCCGTTTCAGACCCGGTCCAATGTGCAATACAACAAACCGGAAACAGAACAATGTACTAACTCTTTTTTCCGGTACTTGATCTGCAGCTGCGGTTATCATTACATTAGTAGCAAAAATCATCAGTTTTAAATATGTTTAGTAACTCCAAAAATCTATAATCAGGAACGTCATTATTGTATTTCCCAAAACGTTACCATTTTTTTAAGTTATATCAAAAAGTGAATCAATTAGTGGGTTTGTTCTTTCTTCATGCGGAGAGAGAGTGAGAGAAAGAGAGTGCAGAAAAGAACTGTAAATAGACCCACAGAGAAAACAAAAACCAAAAAAGCTTCAATCTTTTGACTTCCAAATCAAACAAATCTTTGATTTTGCATTGACCATTCTCTGCTTTCTTGGATTTGAGTCTTTGAAGTCAAATCCAAATGTCTTTCAAGAACAGAGGAGAGTACAATTTTACTCCAAGAAATGTAGTTTCTAGAAACTCTGTATTTTTCATGTGCCTCGCCAGTTTCTGCCTTGGAATGTTCTTCACTAACAGGTAAATCTATTACAAAAACTCCATTTTGATAATGTTCAACGCTTTCTTATAAAGTTTCGATATCTCACTGTTCATGTCTGATTCTAGCTTCTTTTTTTTTTCCTGGATTTTCAAGTATTTTGTTGTTTTCTAATTTGTATTTCATCTTCTTGGGACTGAATCTGCCTTGTGTTTTCTCTAAAGTTAAGTAGATTTCTTAAGCTTAGAGTTTTGTCGGTGAAGACATGCTTTTCATTATCAGACCAATGGTCTATTTGTGTCCCTGTAGCTTTTGTGAGGAATTAAGAGACACACAAAAAGAACTATAACTTATACTGCTTATCAGATAGATTTGATCAAATGGTGGAACATTGTAACTTTTAGTATTGAGGGAAGAGGAACTATTGAATTGCACATTGTCCACAGAGTATGAAAATAACATAAAAGATTGCTTCTTTTTGTTGCAAAACTCTGTATCACTGGGAAAGATGGTGACTTGGTCTACATTTTGGTTCGATTTTGTGTTTGTTTTGATCTTATGGAGTTACTAAAGCTTTGTGCTTGATTATGGGGTAATGATCATCATTATATCAGGATGTGGAATGTAGTACCTGAAGCTAGAGGCATATCAAGACTCTCCAAACTAAGCTTAAGTTCTAGTGATTGCCATAAAAAGAATGTAAGATTTATGCTTTTTTGCATTATCAACTCACCTGGAAAGTCGATGATACATTGTTTGATCTTGTGTTTCTTTGCAGGTTTTGGAGTATGGTAACAACACTATCGGGTAAAACCATTTGGAAATTTGACTAGATGTATCTATGAACAATTGCTATGTATGTTTTGATGATGATGCTGATGTAGTATAATTTAAAACAAATTGCAGGATCTTAGATAAATCCATTTCAAGTTTAGAGATGAAACTAGTAGCTGCTAGAGCCGAACGCGAGTCATTGGCCGGGAAATTTAACATTTCCAAAGAAGCCAAGAAACGAAAATACTTCATGGTTATCGGTATTAACACGGCCTTTAGTAGTCGTAAGAGACGTGACTCTGTCCGGTCAACATGGATGCCACAAGGTAAGTCTGTTTCCAGTTTCTTGATTTTTATTGTAAATTAGTCAGAAATTGTAAATGTTTCGGTTTTTTAAACTATCATTCAGGAGAGAAGCTTAAGAAACTTGAAGAAGAGAAAGGCATCATTGTTCGCTTTGTTATAGGACACAGGTACAATGGAGAAGTCATGTTCTCTAGTGAAAAACTAAGCATTTACACTGATAGTTTACTTTGTGAAGATCGACATTTTTATGTTCTTGGACATGTTCTGATTGCAGTGTGTTGTCTCGCGGGATTCTTGATAAAGCCATTGAAGCAGAAGAGAAAACACATGGTGATTTCTTGAGACTGGTAAAACTCTGCGCAATTCTCACAAACTTTATTGTGTGTTTGGTACTTTCTTGTTACTTTTATTTAAATCTTTATATAACAAAACAGGAACATACGGAGGGATACATGGAGTTATCTGCCAAGACTAAGACGTTTTTCGCTACCGCTGTTTCCTTATGGGACGCAGAATTCTACATCAAAGTTGACGACGACGTTCATGTGAATCTTGGTAAGAAAATCAAAATGTTTCATTTTTTATCTTTTATCATTCATCCATTTTGTTTTGATGCCTTGTTCCGATTTATTTGTAGCCACTCTCAAAAGGACTTTATCCGTACACCGAAACAAGCCTCGGGTTTACGTTGGTTGCATGAAGTCCGGTCCCGTCCTAGCCAGAAAGTAAGTAAAAACCTACCTACCTTCTAAGGTGAGCATTATTAAGTACTTAAACAGCGTAAGAGCAGCAACCTTTTGGGACTTTTTATATTTCTGGCAAAAAAACAGGAGTGTGAAGTACCACGAACCAGAGTATTGGAAGTTTGGAGAGGTCGGGAACAAGTATTTCCGCCACGCCACGGGACAGTTTTACGCCATATCTAAAGATCTAGCTACTTACATACTGATAAACCAGTAAGTTTTTTCCTAACCTGGTTTTAGCGGTTTAATGCAACCAGAAAGAATGCTAGGGAAAAAAACGATAGTGATCTCTTTCTTTTGTTGCCATTTAAGGGATTTACTGCATAAGTATGCGAATGAAGATGTTTCGTTGGGATCTTGGTTCATCGGATTGAATGTAGAACATGTTGATGATAAAAGACTCTGTTGCAGTACTTCTCAGGGTAAAGAGCTTAACAATCCTGGTTTGGTTTGGTTTGGTCCATAAGATGTTACCGGTTTTACTCTAAGTTGATTTATAACAGAATTTAGGATTTACAAAAAGAAAAGGTTTTTTTATATATATTAAAATGGTATGAAATATATCAAGGTTTTAGAAATTTCTCTAAGAAAATCAGATTCTAAGTAATTATTTTTCTTTACACAATTATCATATGATAAAATTATAAATGAAAACTTCTATGTTTTTTGAAACGCAGATTGTGAACTAAAAGCAGTGATGGGACATAATTGTGCGGCGTCGTTCGACTGGAAATGCAGCGGAATCTGTCGATCGGCTGAGAGGATGGCCGACGTTCACGAACGTTGTGGCGAACCTCAAAATGAGTTATGGACGTCAAATTCCTGAAAAAGTTATAGAAAACAAAATTTCTTACTTACTACTATTATAATACTATTACTTGCTGATAATTTATAATACCAGTAAACTAATTTAGAATGAAAAAAAAAGAGAGCGAAAAGATTTCAAAACAATTCTGTTTTCTTTTAGGGTGGGGTTATATAGTAAGTAGGGTTTTGATCAGAAAATGAATAAATGTATGCAAAAAATAGTTAGTGAAGTGGTTTAATGAGAGACAAAGAAATAATGTTATGGTCACATTTGGTTTGTCCTATGAGTCTATGACAGACAGAGAGTCCTTATTGTTGTGCCTTTTTATTAAATTTCCATATGTCCTTTTTGCTTCTCATTAATTCTCATTGCACTCCTTTGTGTTTTTTTCTTACCTATTTATGGGACCATATTTATATTGAGTTACTTTTGGCTTTATACTCTCTCGTTTTAGAACTTAAATTTTGTTTCAGAATAAGTGTAATAACCTTAAACGACATATATGTAAACCGGAGGGTTTATCAATTACTCTAATTTTTTGGTTTAAATTCGATCCGATATCTGGCTTTAATCGGATTTTTCTATGTTTTGGATTTTTTCTATTTTCAATGTGTTTTCTTAAGTTCGATCGTTGGTAATTCTGTCTTATCCTCTAACGTTGGTTGGATATTGTCTAGCAAACATGTAAACAAAAATGACATGTTTACTTTTTCACTGATGACAAAAAAAAAATGTTTACTTTTTCACTAAACTAGAAATAGTAATATAATCTGATTTGTCACAAACATACTTCCGGAAATGTGGAACGAATTGATGAAATTTCATAGATTTAACCTTATTTGAGAGGATAAGTCCAAAACAGACTTCCTGGTTTTCGTAAGATTAACAACAAGCGTATAAACATACACCTTTATTTAAATAACAAATAAGAGAAATCATTCCACAGCTAAATTATAGACAAAAGGTACGTAGATAGTTAATTAAACACTTATTAGTTTTTGTTTTGTTGCAATATCATCACGATGGTAAAGCAAAATATAGTTTTACTTTCTAGCTAGTACTTTTACTCCCTTAAATACTTCCTAAAAATAGAAGTTCAAATCGCAGTTGTACTTGGATTTTGGGTTTTGTGTTGCTTGTTCCTATATCTTCGAAGCCTGCCTGTAGAGTAAAAACAATTTTTTAAAAGAAAAAGTTACCAAAGGCATAATATTCAAAACTGAAAACAATAAAAAAATAATGATACATACCTTCAAAGGTTATGATATCGATCTTTGCCATTTTGGTTTACCGCGTGATATTGGCACGGCTCAATCGAACAACACCGATCTCCATGAGTTAAGAGGACGACTATTTGATTGAACCGCACTAATATCTCGCGTTACCTTACATAAAACCACTCTTGTTCGACTATTATCTCCACTTAGCTCCAGAAAACCAAAAAACAAAACCAAAAGTGACTTCAATTATGAAATTAAAATAAATATATATGTGACTATCGACACAGAGAAAAAATGTTAATTTACCGGAGAGAACCATTGGATCCTTGAGAAACTCTTACCGTATAATAATTTTCAGCCACGTCAAAAACCAAAGTAAGAATTAGAAACATCGAAGGAGAAAAAAGAAATGCGGCCATTAGCAAAGTTTATGGGTGTGCATAGTGAAGAAGAAGATATAAATACGAAGATGGTTGAAGAAGAGAGGCAAGCAAGAGACAAGCATTAAATTAGACCAACAACCCCATACCAAAAAGGAGGTTGGTTTATTAAATTTGAATTGTTTCTATGAAAAACTTTTTTTCAAAATATAATAATATTTCTTTATACATAGTGTGTATTAGTGTATATATACATATTCGTCTTTAATTTCTTACAAGTTTTTTTGTTCTTGGTTTAAAATTTCTACAAGTTACAACCGATGGAATTAGTTGAATTTACAAGAACAAGAGTTTGTTTTGTTCTCGCAGTGGTCTAACAAATTGGAATTGTTCTCTAACATCATACTTATAAAAGATGGTCTAACCACTAGAAACTCTTCTAACCAAATCTAATATAATCTGCTTTTTATGTAGAAGACGCATTTTTATCAAGAATTAGTTGATTTACAATATACTTCTTTTTCATCCATTTGTGGTGGAAAAAAAAAAGAAGACATATTACATATACATAAAGTCATAAACTGTGAAGATGTATATTGGTAACTAGACATGTCCATGTCGAGACTGGTTATCTATTTTTTTTATATTTGTTTTCGATAATTACCCGCTATTATACTCTCTTTGTATTATTTTTTTGGCTTTTGCATCTTGGTAACTCTGGTGTGTGTATATATAACTATATATTTTTAACACACAAAAAAAGAAGAAGATATATATAACTATACCATGTTAGATAACGATAAATTAAAGGAACAAGGTTCCCACGAGCCTTCAATTTAGTATTTATGAGGTTTGTAAGAGAGAGCAAGGCATGTTGGTGGGGTTATGCCACTCCCAATATACATTTGAATTTCGAAATTAATATGGCTCAACTTTCCAAATATTCTCCCTCCCTATTTATTTCTTCTCTTGTTAAGTTCCTATCATTTATTTAATATTTCCTTAAAAAAAGTAAAGATATGTTTTATGTACCTATGGAAAAACATATGCAAAAAATCATGTAAGTGATCATTTATACATCTCAAAGTTTAAAATGTGTTTTGTGTATTCATATTTAAAAAATGCATACATAATAGAATTTTCCTAATTTTCAATGCTTTCATATCAATAGTAGGTCAACTTAATATTTAGGAATTCTTATCATTTTTATTGCTTATTTAATTAGATCTTGCAACAAAAAATATTGGAAAGATATGCTTAAAGAAATAATTGACTTTGCACAAAAGATTATCATATAACTACTCTTTCAATTATCTGAAGTCTTAACCACTTTTAGTTTTGAAAAATGTGGCTCCAAAATATTTTGATATATGTTCATGGTCCTATACAACCTACAAAGACTTCCGACCAAACCTGAAGAACGTTTTTTTTTTTTTTTGCCAACCACGAGAATGTGTCGAATCCTGTTAAGGTTGTAATCTAATTTTCTTATCATGATACGTGTCTCATTTCTAACATTTATGCTAGCTAATTACTAATAACATAATATGAAGATAAATTTGAGACAAGAAGTACCCAAAAAACTGAAAAAATAAGTAACAATAATATACTCCGTATACAACTTTTTATTCTTTTGCTTCTTTTGGATAGGGATATTACACGGATTTCGGGATCCATCAGACAATTTAATAAAATCTCAATTCATTCGTGGGATGCACCATTGAAACTCCAAAATGCCATTTAAAAGAATTTAAAAAATAGTATAGAAGATTGTGACATATCAAAGGAAAAAAACGAAGAAGAAGCAAAAGAACGTTTTATATCTATGAAGAAGTAGAGTCCTTCTTCTTCCTCTGCACAAGATTCTTCATCCAATTGACACCAATAAATACAACAATCTTGGCTTTGTTAATGCCTGCTTTGGTCTTGCCGAACTTTTTCCCGGTGACATCTTTTTTGCCGTCAGTTGTCTCCTCCGCAGCCATCACCCCAATTCCTCCGGTCCCCCATTGATCCGCCCAACTAGGTGCATCACTCGCCATATTACAACTATCCCAATATCTTATGTGCCTAGGAAAACATATTCATTGAATTTCGAATAATCTATGAATATATAAGCATAAACATACATATAAATACCTCTGATTCTTGGAGCTCTTCTTGGTAAAGACTATAAGAGAGAAGGACCGATTTTGGATGAGCAAAATAAGTGGAAATGTGGAGAATGGAGACTAATAGTGGATGGGTTGTCAAATTTTTGTTTTGTAATGTTAAATATATAATTATTATACTATATATTTGCTTGTCGTCTTTTTATCTAAAGTTTTTATGGTTTGATACAAAATGTTTAAATATGATTATTTGGGTTGTCTTGGAATGGACTTGCCAACTCAAGTTAGCTCGTTTCCAACTTGCAAAGCAAACGTTGTTTTGGAATCTTTCAACTTTATTTAAAAGCATAAGAAACACCTAACTTCAATTATTTACTCCACAAGACTGTAACTTGTTCTATATATTTATAAGTCTAATTCCACTTAATAAAATCATGGAAGAAATTTAAAGACTAAACATAAATCAATGTCAGATTATCAAAATAGATGTTACTCAAACACCAGTCACTGGTAATATCACAATTTTACAAGAAAAATCGATAGGATATATGGTAAATTAATATGCTTTTACAATCCAGTCTAACACAAATTGGTGTCGAGGAGATATTTTTCAACAAAACCGTCTTGTAGTTAAACTGGGGACTATAGTTGGAACAACTGAACTCATTAGAACTAATTAATCTAAAAAACTATTGATCAACGCATAAACTATCAAAGTGTCTAAACAAGATCATAGCGGATAAAAGATCATCTTTCTTGAATATTGTCTAGATGAATTATTCATAAGTGACGAATTTATTTTACAACAACAGAATAAATAAATCACATAGGCATGTTAATGATATAACGCTTAAAATATCGGCTTATTAAAAATATTTCGCCCAATATTGTTTTTCTTCAACAATATGTATTTTGGCAAATTTTGCCAAATTTAAATCCGAATACAATGACAATATGATCACATACTAGCGCGTACTACTAACTACATATCATGGTCCGAAGATATTTATCTTTTTGGAAAAATTACTTTAGCGCATCCACATGATAGTGTTGTTTTTTTACCTACAAAATAAAAATAAAAATAGCATGAGAAATATTGTTCCACTGTTAGAAATGTGATTAAAATATTTGTGTTTGTGTTGCTTTCTAGTTAAAAAAAAAGAAGATAAAAATCAATAAATAAGCGTAGAGAAATGTAGTAGTCTTTTGTTTATATCCTTTGTTCTCTTCAAACTTTCAATAGAGAAAGATCAAATTGTAAAGACGACTCTAGAGAATGGTATAAAATAGAGACTCTATCCTCGATCGATGAGAAAGAATATGCATGAAATTGTCCTATCTTTTTTTTTTGTTTTGGGTCTGAAATTTCCCTATCTATATTGAAAACTATCAACATCTAAAATGACTTCTAATAAACTTGATAGATCTCTTAATGTTACAATTACCTGATTTATCTGAGTTGCTAGTCCACTTATATCCTGTTGGTATCGTGAATGGATCCACCATTTGTTCCTCATCCTCCAAACGCCGCCGTGAGCTCTTGCCGATGGCATTGATGTTCAGTCTCAACCAAGAAGGTGTTGAAAACGATGGCCGTGAAGTTGAGATTCTTCTATCTGATTTTTCGTCATCGTCCACGTCGTGTTGCTCTTCCACTGCAGCTAAAAGATGTTTTGGACTTGAGAGCGGTGTGTAGAATTCATCCAACGGTGGAAGAGCCACGAACTTGGTGAATGTCATGACTACTTTTACTGTTGGGATCACTGGTATGGACAACTAAAGACCAAAAGATGGGAAAAAAAATTTCATGTGAAAAGCAAAATCTAAACCGGTTTTGGGATTTTTTTTCGGTTTTTCAATAAACCCGTAATCTAAACCAAACTAAGTTGATCAGAAAACAAATAAAATCCGGTATAAACCTTGACTTAGTGGTATCAAAGTGTAGATACCGAAACTCAAAACCGAACCAAACCAAACCATATAAATTTGAAACCTAAAAGCCTTAACCAAACCATAAACGATTCAGTTTGTTCCTCTGACTTTTATGAGGATGTCACATCAGTGCTAACTCTAAACATCCAACCAATGAAACTACGACACGTCTGCTATATGGTTCGTGATACTTTAATTTCTCATGCAAAACGCTTAAAATAAAAATTGAGTAACGACGTAGAAAAAAAAAACGAGTAATGTCCAAGAATGCCCTTCGTTTACCTTGACCGGAAAAGTTCCCGTCGGGAACTTGGTGGTAAGTAGCTCTCGCATTCGCCGAACAGCCTTGACATGGTTGGCTAAAATATCAAGCAACGGAAGCAACTCCTCTGTTTTCAAAGGAAACTGATCCGTTAACCAAACCGAAGGACTCAAACTCTTCACAAACTCCTTTTCTTTGTTCTGCGCCACAGAAGAAGCCACCGGAATCGCCGCTTCCGGTAAAGAAACCGATCTCCTCCTCCGCGAAGATAACCGCTGTGGCTGCCGCCGTAACGATTCTGATACACTCCAATGATTCTCGTTCAAAGGCAAACTCTGCTCTGTTTCGACTTTTCTCGATTTGAAACTAAAACTTACGTTTTCGATATCGTAAGCTTTAGCCTTCCATTCTCCGACAGTTTCAACCTTCCCTTGCCGTCGCCAATTCGTTATCTCAACGAGCTCTGCTTTAGTAACATCCATTCCAGGACGGTACAAGCTAGATTGACCGCAAAAGCCAGCGATATCGTTATCGCTAATCGGATCTTTAGCGTTTTCGAAAGCGTTCAAGATTGTTTTATCGTCTCTGTTTAACACAAGCAACGTTCCAGGAGACACGTCAAGAAACTCGTCTCCATCACTAAGAAAGAGAAAGCTCTGATTCGCGCGGCGGATCTTGAAACCATCGAATCCGGCTAATGAAGTATCGGCGCGTAAATCTCCGCCGCGTTTCCAGATCTTGTAAGTATCGGAAGGAGCGATTTTTCCGACGAATGGAATCACGGAGCTCTCGAAGTGAAACGATATCTCCATGTAGAAATCTCTCATGCGGCTGAGTACCGCAATGAGATGAGGAAGTCTCCGTCTCCATTTGTTCCACGCGGAGCGGTGGTGGTTCCGGAGAATCGTCTCCGTGATCTCTGAGTTCCGACGACACAAAGCCTCGTGCAAAGGATTCCAACCGGCGGCGTTTTGGAGCGTGATATCAGCTCCGGCGGAAGAAATCGTCTTTGCAGCAAAAACGTCGCCTATACGTACCGCTAAATGGAGAGGCGTCTCTCCAAAGGGAACGTCACGGCGGTCGAGGACGGTGGAGATTTTCTCCGCGACTCGCTCTTGGCTCATTGAGTCGGACTCAGTGTGGATTTGTTCCGGGTCGGTTAGTTTAGGCAAAGACGAAACAAGACGAGACAAACTGGCGTGATCTCCTACAACGACGGCGTAGTGGACGGGACTGTGAGCATAATCATCAATAGTGCCCGGAATATTCGCCGGCGATGACCTTGCCATATTTTCCCCGGCGACTGTTATAAAAACACTAAAGGAGAGTTGAATAACTCTTTTTAAATAAAAAAGTTATGTTTCATATTTATCACTGACAAACAGTCAACCTAAAATACAAGTTTTTGGGCAAGTGAATACTAAATACTCCATAATCTTTTTATAACATTTTTGACCATGGTTTAAATTCCTTTTTAAATTGAGTATCTGAATCTTTGTTTGGCAACAAATGACTAAATCTTAAATTTTTTATTCAAATTCTACAAGATCTTTACACAATTCAACAGCAAAAAGAAAAGGTGCATGAATTTGTAATTAAAACAATAGGATTGATATGAGGAATAGAAATATATTTGTATATAAAAAATAGTCAATGCAAAACAAGCTAATTAAATATGAGTGGTGTATTCTATAAGAATTAAGTGTTGTGGTCAAGCAATGAATAAATGAATCATAATGGTACATAAGAGTTAGAACAACATTTGTTTTTTCTTGTCAAAGGAGATAGAACAACATTCAAATTAAACTATCTTTTGATCCTTTCAAGTAACAAAAATAAAATTTTACTACTATTTTTTTTATGAAACAGAGAAAATTTTACAAAAATGTTGGTCAAAATACACCAACTTTAGACACATATAAATGCTAACATTTTTGCTCTTATGATTTCACATTGACTAATGACTATCAGTCTATCATCATACCTATCAACAAACGGATTATAAGCAATTTCCATAAAAGAATTTTTTTTTTGTGTATTTCATTAGAATTGTCTATAGTCCGTGACTCCGTGTATTATCATAGAAATAATTGAATAGTTGTTGAAATTTTTATGAATTTTTCTTCATGAAATAATTATTTTTAGATTTGTTTTCAAACCTTCTGGATGAAACTGAGTCTCTCGGGACTGTCTTTGTGTCCAAACAGTAGTAACATTTCAGTCTTGCCGTCCTCTGTCATCTATCCACGCCTGAACTCGGAAAAAAAAATCGTCCTTTTGGCTCTTTGAACAGAGAAAAACTCAGAAAATTGAGCTCTGGTAATGGCGGGTTTGGCAATTTCACCTCCTCTCGGTCTTTACTTCTCTTCTCGAACTCGAAACCCTAAACCCACTTCGTATCTATCTCACAATCCAAGGTACTACCTTTCTAAACTCAATCACACTCTCACATGATTTTGCTTCAGCTTCAATTATCAATTTGATTTTTGTAGGAATCCTATAAGACGTATAGTTTCTGCTCTACCGAGTCCTTATGGAGATTCTCTGAAAGCTGGTAATTTTAAAGCATTTATGGGTTTAGGTTTTTCTAAATGTTGGAACTTTGTTGTTTGCTGCTACTAGCTGTTTGATGCTGAAGAGTATTATTTCAATTGAGATTGGGTTGTGTTTGATGCTTTCAGGACTTTCTAGTAATGTTTCTGGATCCCCAATAAAGATTGACAACAAGGATCCAAGGTCAGCTCTTTTATCAGTTCTCCCTCTTGATTATGTATCCACCACTCTCGCAGTTTATGTTCTCACATTGAAATTGCAATACCTCACTGCCTCTTACTATCTAAGACATTCTTAAGTCTGTCAATTCTTTACTTTAAGGATTCAATTCTATCGGTTTCTCTTATCTATATAAACCGATGAAATATATAGCGTTTTACACTCTTTCTTATGATAATACATGCTCACCATATACTATACGGTTGTAAATTGGTTGATAGATAGCTCAACCTTTCTAATTTCAATGTCTTTAGCTGATTTTGTTTATGTGTTGCAATTTTTTAGATTTGGGGTGATAGAGGCGAAAAAGGGAAATCCGCCAGTAATGCCTTCAGTGATGACCCCTGGAGGACCTTTAGACCTCTCTTCTGTGTTATTCCGTAACCGCATAATATTCATCGGGCAACCAATAAACGCACAAGTTGCTCAGCGAGTCATATCTCAGCTTGTAACCCTTGCATCTATTGATGATAAATCCGACATCCTGGTTAGCCGAAAGCACATTGTTTTCCCAATCACTTTTCAATACTGTAAAATCTCATATTTATTTGGAAGTAATCCTTGTTTCAGGTGTACTTGAATTGTCCTGGTGGCAGCACCTACTCTGTCTTAGCAATTTATGACTGTATGTCTTGGGTAAGTTTTTTCTCTCCGTAATAACGTTTTCATCACTTAGAAACTGCGGTATGTTAACCTATTGAATTTTCTCGAAAATGATCTTTAGATAAAGCCTAAAGTTGGAACAGTGGCGTTTGGAGTAGCGGCAAGCCAAGGAGCACTTCTTCTTGCTGGAGGTGAAAAAGGAATGCGATATGCAATGCCAAATACTCGTGTCATGATACATCAACCACAAACTGGATGCGGAGTATGGCTCTTGAATTCTCCTTGTAAATAAATACCAATGTATATGTGTATGAACTTAATTGATTTCATGCTAACATAATTTTGCAGGGACATGTGGAGGACGTGAGGAGACAGGTGAATGAAGCCATTGAAGCCCGACAAGTAAGTCTCTCTCTTTATTTACATGCTTCTTGCTTCAAGAATATGGAAGATCAAGTCTTTGGAGCCAAAACTTGAATCTTTGACTGGTTGACCTCTTTGGTTGTCGCTACATGCAGAAAATTGACAGGATGTATGCAGCTTTCACTGGACAACCTCTCGAGAAAGTGCAGCAATACACTGAAAGAGATCGTTTCTTATCCGCATCTGAGGTAATCTGCCTCTGATCTCGTGTTTAAGTTACTATTTACCTATATCTGTAACATTAACTCGAATTCCTTTTTAACGACATTTGGCTCACTGCTAGTTAGGAATTAAGAGCTCTTGCCATATCTCGTGGACTTTGTCTTTCTTATGTTCCTCTTGATCATTTTGTACCAATGTTGAATTCTGCATATGATATTTTCTTGGTTACTTTCTATGCAGGCGCTCGAGTTCGGGCTCATTGATGGTCTATTGGAAACAGAATACTGAATCAGCTTACAGGACAATGCACAGAGACAGCTCATTGCAATGTTCAAAGCTTCCAATTTCATTTGAATATGAACAATTGTAACTGATATTTGTGCATAAATCAGTATGGTTTTCTTGGTTTTACAATCTACTAAACAGAAATGAGAAAACTAAACTAGTTATTCTTTTACCGAAAAATCTGAAAGTTGATGTTCTATTTTTGTTTACACACGATAACCAAGCAGACCGGAAATTTATGAAAAACCGGATTCGTTAGGTCCAGCTTGTTACTTACTACTATTCAGTTGGGTACTTAATCCTATACAATGCCAAGGCATAGTTGCTTTGGTACATAGAATTGTCGGAACACAATGTGAACAAATTGGGAACAGTCGTGGCTGCACTGAAGCAAAAGCTCTCCAATATAGTCTCCTTTAGAATTCATTACAAATATGTGAAATCACAAACCAAAAAATCGATCTCTGAAACTCTGCTCTCTAGTCACCGTTAAGTTCCTGTCAAGAACAACCAGAAACATCCCAGTCAAGCAACATAATTATATAATTAGTGGGTGGCTCAATCAAATTCAAAGGTGGAAACGTTTTGAGTAAAGATTTGAGACTCAAAAGGCAAAAAGGTGACTCAGTCCAGCTCAGAGGTAGAAACTTTAGTATCTATGTGAGAGAAAGTATATAAAGTAGTGGGAGATGAGAGACTTACCATAGTTTTGGTGTACACCTGTGAACTTGTGAATTGCCTTCAACAGGGAACCATATCTCATATAGTTCAAAGTTCCCATATGTCTATCAACAAACAAATACAGAGAAAATAGACAAACTCTATGAGATTTAGCTCTAAAGATATAAGAGAAAAAGAGTTAAAAGCACGTACACTATCTCAGTGTATCGAAGTCTCCAAGCAGGGAAACCGAGGTGGCTCCTTATAGGTCCATAAACCAGTAACAGATCGGGCACGTGTACATTCTCACCTGCCAAAGTATTGACATCAGATTCTTGGAAAGAAACTTAATAATGGCTTGAATTCGATATGAGAGAATCAACACAAACCAACAACTCCTAATGCTTCATTCAAATGAGACTCTGTAAAAAAGTTTTCCCCTTTATCGTTCTCAGGATGGCTGGATTTCAAGTATCTCTGAAGAAGTATGTTGGCTGCTTTCATAACAGCTTCTTTATTGTCGGAAGATGAAATAAATTCTAATGCAATGCGCTTTCCGTCAGGCGAAAAATCCTTTCCAATCTCCTGGGAAAGAAAAACAAAAACATTGAGAAGGTAAAGTTAAAATCTAAAGCTCATGGACAAATCGAAGGGACACAATTTGCAGATACTTTCGTGCGATAGTAATATCAATATGCACATTTTTTCCTATCTATAAAGTCCTATATATCATGAGCTAGAGAACTAACATAAGCTAAAGATTTGATTCACAAGTAAAGCAGAAAACTAAAGGAAAGGTATGAGATGAATATACCTCTAACAACATCGAACCTGGAACGGTTTCAAGGATCAAATCCTTGGATTTCTTCAGTAAACCTAAAAAGAAGTCAACTTCAGCAATCATATATGTGTTAATGAACCGAAAATCGAGATAATTAAGCTAAAGCTGATACCTTGCGAGTCAAAAAGACCAACTTGTTTCACCCCAATGGTTGTTAGCCATTGCAAAAGCTCAACAACCTTGGCAACATCTTGAACTGCTTCGATGTCCACTACAACAGCTAGACACCGGAGTTTCTCAAGATCGATGGAACTGTACTTTTTATTCAAACCTAACGATATGGCATAGCTTTCGATTGCCTCAAATATGCCAGATACAATGTACCACAAGCTCACAACAATGTGTATGAAACGCCATAGCAAATTAAGACCAAGATCACCAATCTGTGGAAAACGAATTCAACACAAACAAAGTTATGGCTTGAAGACTCCAATCTCAAGATCACCAATCTAATCAACACAAACAAAAAACTCACTTGACCAATCCAAGAACTCAGGAGCCGTATCGATTGATTCAAATCCATATATCTGAAAAATTACAGAAAACAAACAACAGAATCAGAAGAAATTCGAACAAAAAAAGAGAGAGACAGAACAAAGAGAAGACAGACGCACACAAAAAGTGACTGTCTCCGTAAACAACGAAGGTGTTTGCTGCGTGTGTTAGGGAGACGTTTCCAAACCAAAACTTCGGATAACAATTCGAACTTTCCTTAAACCCAAAACTACAAAAAGAAAAGGAAGAATTTTTGGAGGCGAGATGAGAAAAAAGTGAGACACTTTTGAAGCTCTCTGTTAGCCTCTGATTTTGGCGATTTATTTTTTGCTTAAACCCTAAGCAAATAATCAATTAATCACACTCTGTTATCTGATAGGAGTGTGAGACGTCTCGGGTTCAAACCCTATAATAAGTGTGTTTCTCACTTTTCTAGTCACGGTTTTGTTGTGAATGACATTTTTTTTTGTTTGGTTATGTTTATCATGATTTTGCTGTGAATTAGAGCTATCAAAATCCTACTAGTTCGTTGATATTTTTGAACTCGTGATAATCATGGTAAACACTAAACCTAAATCAGATTAACCAAGAAAAAAACATCATGTACAAGGTCAAAATTAGTATTTTTTGTATTTTGAAACAACAGAAACATAACATCTGAAGAATCACAAAAAAAAAAAAAACAGCATCTTTACTTGAGATTCAGAACTAAATGCACAATATTTAGTAAGAGTCAAACGTCCTACAAATGAAACACCAAGTGTTGCTTCTTGCTTGGTTCAATCACATGAACATAACACTGATTAGGCCACTCTTCCCTATCACAACGACTCACGAGTTATGGAGCTGCGGTTGCAGCGTATTTCGAACTTAGAAAACATGTGTGTAGGCACGGCACGCTATTGAGCCGAGTCTTCAGAGAATCTAGCATCAAACCCGGTAGAGGAGGAATGAACAGAACCAGGAGCTACACCAGAGCCACGTTGCAGCTCGAGAACAAGCCATCGAACCGCTCTACTCATCTGTTCAAGCCTCACTGCACTAATAGGAGGGAGACTAGTTGCAGCACCCGCAGCAGCAGCTGGTGCTTGGCCTCCAGAGTTTCCTGATGCAGTAGTAGTTAAACCAGTAGCCTCATCAACTAAACACTCAGATCCAATTCTCTGCTTCACTGACTCCACAAACTCCTCCGCTTGATCACAAGCTACACGGAACAGTTCCCATTTCTCCTTGAAATTCTCCAACGCAGCATCAGTGACAGATGCTTTTTGCCCACCCGCACTCTCTTTAGACTCAAGAACACCAGCTGAAGCAAGAACAAACTTCTCGTAGGCTTTGTTCAATGAATCCACAATGTTATCCATTTGATCCCTCCCCTTCAAAAAACTGCTCACACCAAGTATCATCAATCATGATATTTCAAGTAAGACAAGAGAAATTGCAAAAGGAATCAAGAGAGATCCCAGCAAAAGTATCTGGAAATAAGAAACCCTAAACCTCAAAATTCTGAATTCGTTCGCGTTAACGATAAACATAGAATGAGAGAAATCAAAATCACAGAGAATAAATAAGATGCTCCGATAGCAATGGAAGCTACATAATCAAAAATATTACATCTTTGAGATAGAAATTTAACGAAATTGCGAAATTCGCGATTGCTTTCGCAAACCTAAGTCTCGAATTCACGGCCCGTAGACTATTGAAGGAATTGAATCATTAGACCAGTTTTAGACAGAATCCAGCAAAATCAGCCTTAAACCGCCGGAGAGAAAGAGGAGAAACTTACCGGCGATGAACGGAGAGTCGATTTGTGAGCTTCTTTCTTCTTCTTCTTCTTCTTCTTCTTCTTTGTATTTGTCTGGTTAGGTCTATAATATCGTAAGAATTGAAATTACGACTGGTTTTACTACAAACCGGACCGACCTAGACCGGGGATTGGTCCATTTGGATTATTTCTTTTAAACATCATTCTTGACTTTTTGTGTTAAACTTCATATGTACATACAATTTAATTTCAAAATTTTAAATATGTGTTTAAATGGTTATAAAATAAAACATTTAATCGAAATCTAGACGATTTAATCAGTTTTATGTTTATAATATTTAAAAAATTCTATCACAGTTAAACGATAGATATTCATACACTGATCAATTTATATATTTATTCGTAACCAACTGGTATTTGAAAACATATGTTCTTTGATTTTTTTACTCAAAGATCTAAAGCCATATATTGTTTTCCACCATCATCCATCTATTGGAAACGATTTGAAACCACAATCATTAATAGAAAATACTAAAAATAAGAGAGCAAGAAGACAAGCGTAAATTCAAAAATAACATTACATATATGTCTATATATATAATACCGTAAACACACAATGTTAATCCGAGAAAACCTTTAAACATCTAGAAAGAAAAAATGAAAAATATTTCAATCTTTCTAGTTGTTTTTGCCCTATGCATGATTGGCAATGCATATGGCATTTCCAATCCATTTAAAGGAAAAAAGACGTCGTTGTTATTCAGGAACAGCCTTTCACACAACAAATGGCTCAAGGTACGTTGTAAATCTGGGGACAACGATGTTCGTGAAAAATATATGAGACCTGGAGAAGATTGGGGTTTTAGTTTCCACGATGACGTTATGGGAGAAACGCTTTTCTGGTGTACAATGTATAAAGGAGCTGATTATAAGATAAAAAAGACGTTTGATGCATATGTTCAAGACAGGAGAATGCCTCACGCTGGCTCGTATAATTATCTCGCTCAAGAAGATGGGATCTATCACAGTACTTTTATACACCCTATGCGGAAGATGTATGATTGGAATTAGGGATGTTAAATAAAAAATCTCCTATGTTATTCAATATTTATAATGCTTATTCAAATCATTGATTTGATATAATTGTAAAGTATTTTTATTATTTGTTTGATGGAATAATCTCTCTTTACATTAAAAGAAAAGTGAAGAGAGAAATTTCTTATGAAGGACAATTTGTTTCTGTCTCATCCTCAAATATGTAAGGAACTCGTAAAAAAAAAAAAAAACATACCATAATTAAGAACGTTACGTTTGTGCTATTAGTTCTTGGCATTGCTTAGTTTTTCTTTCCTTTCATGTTGCAGAATCAAATCATGTTTCTCAAGATTCTATATGGGCTATCCATCCTCCTTGCATTTATGCTTAGGGACATCGCTAGTGCGGATGGCTTTGGCTTATGTAGATAAAAAAAATGATGAATAGAATTATAGAATTATAGAAAAGGGGCACTTGACTCGCCGCAAATGCGAAAGAATGCCACCGAAAAAAATAGAACGATATATGTTTCGTTGTATTGGATTTGGATGTGTATCCCATATAATCTTAAATTTGTAAAAAGATTGCTAAACTTTATATTTGTATAACCTTATATATTTATATCTTTTATATTTGTAAATGTCATTAGAACTAATGTAAAATCGTTTTAAAAAATTTCGTTATTCTAAACGTTTTTAGAACAGAACATTCTGAAAATCAATTTTTAAATCATTCTAAACAATTTTTTTTTTTAATATCTGGAAGTTCAAGCCCGAAGGCCCTACATTTCCCAGAGGCGGGACCCACACCAGATTAAATTCAACTCCTTTGGAGAAGAGATCTCTCCCAACGGGCGTCGAACCCAGTACCTCCATCTAGAAGATTTACCACTGGGCCAGCACAACGATGGTCTCAACAATTTTTTTTGGATAACTAATAATTTATCATGTAACTCATTTTTTCATTCTCTTGATTGAAACAAAACTAATTTTGTTTTGTTTTTAGAGAATATTATTATCTTAAGTTCTAATATGAAAACAAAAACAACTTATCCAAAACATGTCTTTTCTCTTCCCACAACTACCTAATCCAATATCTCTAAAAAAATTCTCCTTCTCACAATGCCTTAAAAAATTGTGGTCTTTCTATAGTTAACTTGACTAAATTAATTTTTTTAGCTAACTTGGTAAAACCTCTAAAACTTGTGCTCTTTTCTAAAGTTAACTTTGACTATATTAAAATCTTGAACAATTAAACCATAAAAAAGAAACAGGAAAAACCTTGACCAGTACAACAAATCCTAAATATGGCCAAAGATAAGAATCACAACTAAAAATTAAAAGACTCCATGTACTATTTATACTAGAGAAAAAACACCAAATAGAATCCAATAATAAAAAAACATGAAGATCTTTTGTTTAATTCTCTTCTTAATCTCCTCCATCATCTCCACTTCTATTGCCGTCGAACCTCCCCCGGAAACAATCTACCAAAACTTTCTCCAATGTTTCACAAACCAAACAAAAGCTCCTCCTAACTCATTATCCGACGTCGTTTTACCCAAAACCGCTGCCGCTTTCACCCCAGTCCTACGCGCTTACATCCGAAACGCGCGTTTCAACACCACCGCGACTCCGAAACCCGCGATAGTAATCGCGGCTCGTTCCGAGAGTCACGTCCAAGCTGCCGTCATCTGCACGAAATCGCTAAACATCCAACTGAAAACTCGAAGCGGTGGTCATGACTACGAAGGTGTTTCCTATGTCTCTCACGTTCCTTTCTTCGTCCTCGACATGTCAAATCTCCGTAACATCACCGTCGACCCGGCCACCGAGTCTGCATGGGTCGGAGCCGGTGCAACACTCGGTGAGGTTTATTACAGGATTTGGGAAAAAACCAAAAGTCATGGATTCCCTGCCGGAGTTTGTCCCACGGTTGGAGCCGGAGGTCACATTAGCGGTGGCGGTTACGGAAACATGATAAGAAAATACGGTCTTTCCGTTGATTACGTTACTGACGCCAAAATCGTTGACGTTAATGGACGAGTTCTTGATCGGAAAGGAATGGGAGAAGATTTGTTTTGGGCCATTAACGGTGGAGGCGGTGCGAGCTTCGGCGTTATCTTAGCTTTCAAGATCAAACTCGTCCCTGTTCCACCAACCGTAACCGTTTTCAGAGTAGAGAAAAACTTGGACGAAAATGCTATTGACATGGTTCATAAATGGCAATTTGTTGCACCTAAGACCGATCCAGGTCTTTTCATGAGGCTGTTGTTGCAGCCAGTGACTCGGAATAAAAACCAGACTGTTCGAGCATCGGTTGTGGCTCTGTTTTTGGGGAACCAAAACACTGTGTTGTCTATGCTAACCAAAGATTTCCCAGAGCTTGGTTTGAAGAAGGAGAATTGCACGGAGATGACGTGGATACAGTCGGTGATGTGGTGGGCGAACAACGATAACGCCACACAGATTAAACCCGAGATTCTACTGGATCGAAACCCGGACTCAGCAACTTTCGGGAAAAGGAAGTCTGATTTCGTCGAGAAAGAGATCACCAAAGAGGGGTTAGATTTCTTGTTCAAGAAGATGATTGAAGTTGGGAAGATAGGTTTAGTGTTTAATCCTTATGGAGGGATAATGAGCGAGGTGGCTACAACGAAGACTCCATTCCCGCACAGGAAGAAGCTTTACAAAATCCAGCATTCGATGAACTGGAAAGATCCGGGTACCGAAGCGGAAACCAGTTTCTTGCAGAAGGCGAAAAGTTTCTATAGCTACATGGCTCCTTTCGTGACCAAGAACCCTAGACACACTTATATCAATTACAGGGATCTGGATATTGGAGTTAATACCCCTGGCCCAAACAGTTACAGAGTAGCAGAGGTTTTCGGGAGGATGTATTTTGGAGAGAATTTTGATCGGTTGGTGAAAGTGAAAACTGCCGTGGATCCGCAAAACTTCTTCAGAGACGAACAGAGTATACCTACCTTGCCTAGCAACCCACCCAGACGTTAGTTTGTAGGCACCTTACTGGGTTTCCATTGATTCCCAAAACCACAATGTAAAATATGTATGCTATCTGAAAAATGATATTTCCTTTTTGTAATTATACAATTGTTTTCAACAGTGGCCTAAAACCTCAAAATTTCAGCAGAAATTACTCTGCTATTGTACTCAAGTTCCGGTCATATCTTACATAATAAAGAGATTCTATGGCAATAAGAACATAAGAAACCAAAATAGTGCGAAAGAAGTGGTTGCTGCTTCTCAAATCTTCTGGCTCGATGCTGATAGTAATACAGATTTTTTTTGCTCGAAAGCAGGAGAATACAGGCAACTCAGAAAACTTGCCTGATGTTTATGTTGATCCTCGAAGTTTTGATGTACTCTGCGAAAAAATTTCCACTCACATGGGACAATTCTGATTCAAGTGCACCAATTTCCGCATTTTCTGCATCCGTAAAGATACGGGGTACGCCTGCAACAACAACATATATAGCAAACCAAGCTGTTAATTAGCTGTTTCAATTAGTCAATTAGAGAGTGACTATCCAATGCGGAGTAAAAGACTATGCAAAGTGAAGCAGGTTACCGTGAAAGCATTCTCTAGCTTCTCCAGCCATTAGTACAACATCTCCACTTCTGAGATACATAGCATGAGGAGGATCATCTTTTGATTTTCCGCCTAAGAGGAAAATAGCTTTACACCCCAAGCTACGTAAGAGGACATACAGTTACTCTATTGTACATCAATATACGGTCTTAGGTTTAGCAAAGAAAGAAGGCAAAGAGATACCTCATGCTTACTATGGGTTTACTCCAGTCAGCTTCCATATCATCAAGGTGGCCTCCAAGGGTATCACCTATAGAATGAGTTAAAAGGTTTTCAAAGTTCAACATCTTTGAAAGATTAACCATTACCAAAGCAAGAAAATACAAAATCTAAGGTAAACTCTACCTATGCCAAAATAGTTTACAATTGCACCCTCTGGACGGAATTCCTCCCCGTCAGGCATTGCAATGGCGGCATGTGTCTTAGCTAGTTGACAGAGTGCGTCAGGAATGTTGTTATGAGGGAGAGAAACATCATAGTTACGCTGAAAGAAAAATGCGAAAGAATCAGCATTCATCTAGGTTGCATAATAGGATTCCTAATCTCATCAAAACATGTTCAAGATTCAACCTTGGACCAATCAAACTGTAGACCGAGAGTGCTCCACCGAAGCTTCCTCAAAAGAACTGAAGCGGAAACTGATTTGCAACTTTTTTGTTTTGCTTTTGCAATATCTTCTTCATCTTCATAGAACTTCCACTTGTTGTTGGTAAGATCCTCCTGAACCAATACCTTATTATCTTTAGCTGAATCGAACAAATCAGTAATAGGACCATAAATTGCATTGTGGTTTGTTCTATTCGGAGGCTGCGGAAAATTCGTCAAACTCTCTTTAATCCATTTACATTGCTCCTCTAAACTCAATGCACCAGGGATAAAGTAAAAACCTGTATAGATAATAATAATCTTACTTCCATAAGTTTCAACATTCACCATTGTTCAAAAGCTGAGCTCTTGGATCCTAATTTAAAACAAAGGATTTGAAAATTGGGGATTTTGACTTACCAGGGCGATTCTCGATGCAGAACACAGGGGAAGAATCAACTTTCGAAACCCTAATTCCGTCAGGCAAAACACCGTCTTTGTTGTAATCTTGTGAAATCAAATTGAAATCAAACAGCTCCGACAAATCAATTGGTTTTGGTAGCTTCTTCCTGCGAGTTCAAGTGAATGATAAGTGGAAGGATTCAAACAAACGCAAGTGGAGGGAAGATCAAAAATTGGCTTACTTTCTAGTGAACTTAGAATCCTGTTCGTAGTAAAGTTTGTATTTTTTCTCTGCTCGCCGGAAAGCCGTACGATCTGCGTCGTCGGCGACGTTCGCCGATTCGTACATCTTCTTCACTTCACCAGTCGACGATTAATCTCAGACTCGCGAATCAACGAACCCGAGTTTTTTAGAGTTATGTTTTTTTTTTTTTAATATTAAACTCATATTTTATTTGTAATAATAACCATTGGCTTTCCTAAATTCTTTTTCTGACCTATAGTTTTGTTTTTGTGAAAATAGACCTATAATCTATTTTTGAACAACTTGAACCCTGCATTTCTAGTTTTTTTTGGAAATTGAACATAATCAGAGTTGGAAAATTTACAAAAAAAATCTAAGGTGTAAAAATTTCATCTAAAAACTAAAAATAAAATAAAATGTTAATGGTGTTAATTCTAAGGATGCAAAAACACTCTCATAAGTTACTAATTTAATGGTATTAATTTGTGAAAATAGTCATCTAACTAATTTGCTAATTTTTATCAAAATATGTGAGAGAAATTTATTGATTGCATCTAAGACCTACCCTTGATTAAAGGTCAGCTTTAGATGCATAACTGCATAAGCAAACTATCTTGGTGGCCATTTCATGTATAGCAAATGACATCAAAATATGTATTTTTCATAAATAGAGATGATCATTATTTTTGAACCTTTTTCATTCACCGTTTCTCAAAAAAATTCTTCGAAGAAGTTTTATTAAATATACCATACTCTATAAGAAAATTTCCAAAGATACCCCAAAAACTTTTCTTAAGAAGGTTTCAAAAAAATTTAGGAACTCTTTTATTAGTCTTTTTGCCCAAATCCTTTGAAACATTTGTGAAAATACTCCATTTACTTTTCAACAAAAAATATCCACGCGTCAACAAAAGTATTTATTGTTGACAGGAAAAAAAAAACAAATCTATTCCTTTTTGTCGGTGAAATTATTTAATTTAATTAATAAATAAAAAATGATATATGTGTGTATGAAATGTAAGTAACGTCTTGCAAAGTGTGGACCTTTCCGTCTGAGTATTCAGAGTTTGCTCTTCTTTGAAAGACCTTCCATAAAACCAAAAAAAATCCAGACTTTTTGTTGTGACTTGACGTTATCTCTATGACTCTCCATTCTTTCTCACCAAACCCATTTCCCCATTGAGACTTTTGTTGACCTAATTCCTTCAAAATCTCACCTTTACATTGCTTGATTTTAGTCGTCTGAAAAATCTCCCCACTTTTGCTATGGCTCTGAGGTGTTTTCCCATTTGGGTTTGTCCTCAAACGACTCATCATCGTTCTCCTCTTGTGGGTCTCGCTGAATTCGACGCTAATAAACGCCGTCGTTTCTGTCTCTGGGAGTGCTCTTCTTCAGCTTCTCAGAGAGCTGTCACTGCCATTGAAGGCGAGATTCCTTATAGCCGTGAGCTCAAAAAGTCCTCTGATAAATTGGGTCTGACTCAGGAGACTCAATCTGTTTCTTTTCACAGAGACTTAAGTATGCTTCCTAGTGAGTCATCCTCATCTCTTCCCCTTCTCAGTTTCATCGAACGTATTGTTTTATGGAAATGCAGATTGGTTGTTGTGTGTTTGACGATCATTCACTTCGAAATTTGTCAATCTTAGGAGCTTGTGTAGCTGAATTTTGATCTGTGGGATCCTTTGTTGTGGTATATACGCTCAGAGATGTTGTGGATCATTTAAGAATCTTTGTTTCAGATTTTTACCAATAGCCTAGATTTTGTCTGAAGAATAACAATGATTATGTCCTTGCATGGTTTTTACAGAAAGTCTTTGCTGATTTCTGTTATAGTATAATACACTTGTATTAAAATACCCTCAACTTTTGTTCTCTAGATTGCTGAAATTAAGAAAATGATTGAGTACTAAATTATGCCTTGACATTAATAATGTTTGTTGCCTATGTCGTGTTCTTGATTCCAAGAATAGCAAATGTCCTTTGACATTAGATTCTTTCTGTTTACTATACTAGTAGCTGCATTTGATGTTTCAGATTCGATCTTTTAAATAGATCATTGTCATTTGCATTGCGATTTGCTACATGGGGCTTTGCTACACATGAATCGATCTAGGATACTTGTATTTCAAACATTGTTAATCAAAATGGTATACTTGATATGTTTAATTAACAGTAGTCAGTAGATTCTCTTTTCCAAATTAGTTGCTGGATTTGATGCTTCAGATTTAATCTTTCTTGTCATGTAGTCTCATAAATATATCAAACACTGTCCTTTGCATTGAGGCATAGGGCTTGCTACACGTATAGCAATCTGTTTTGCAAATGGAGTATTCGATATGTTGTGTTAATATTCCATATTAGTAGGTGCATTTGATGTTTCAGAGTCGATCTTTCTTGTCGTGTAGTCTCATAAATGGATCAATCATTGCCATTTTCATCGCACCATAGGGATTGCTACACGTGTTATCGATCTATTTGGAGTGAGGCGATACTCACTTTTCCAAATGTTGTTAATGATTCTCAAATGCATTGTCTGTCATATCCTCGTTATTATCGATCTTATTACTTTTTAATCTCTTCTCATGGCAAGCCTTGACATTTAAAGTTGATTACAGAACCGCTAACTGCAAACAGTCTTTACTCTTCTGCTGGCGATGATTCAAAAGTCCGAATTTCGTTTCAGGTGAATTATTAGTTTCCTCACCTACATGCAAAACTGTGTTTCTTTAATTTTCTTATGTTTACCATACACTCTCTAATTGCAGGGCATACCAGGTGCATATAGTGAAACAGCAGCACTAAAAGCATTTCCAAATTGTGAAACTGTTCCATGTGAACAGTTCGAAGCTGCGTTTCAGGTTTTGATTTATCGGTAACTTCTAATATATTCTATCCCTACACAAAAAGGTATGGTGCTTTACTATCTTTTTATATGATTGATTCTTCAGGCTGTTGAGCTCTGGTTGGTGGACAAAGCAGTATTACCGATCGAGAATTCAGTAGGTGGTAGTATCCACCGTAATTATGATTTGCTTCTTCGTCATAGGCTTCACATTGTCCAAGAAGTCCATTTGCCTGTAAATCATTGTCTCTTAGGAGTGCCTGGTGTTAAAAAGGAAGATATTAAATGTGTTCTAAGCCATCCTCAGGTTCTCCTCCTCCCATTTCCTTCAGGCGCTGCTAAGTTCACTGGTTTTGAGTACTTACTTTTTTCCTTCTCTCCAGGCGCTTGATCAATGTGTGAATTCACTTAACAATTTAGGCATACAGAGAATTTCTGCAAAAGACACTGCCACTGCTGCTCAGGTGACAGCTCGAAATAACGAGTTTTTTTTTGGTTCAGTTCACATATGAATTTGACTTACTTTAGTTAAACATTAAGCGTTTCTTCAGACTGTTTCTTCAAGCGGTAAGATCGACGTAGGAGCAATCGCGAGTGTACGGGCTGCAAATATATATGGTCTGGATATTCTTGCCGAGAACATACAAGTAATTAGTCTCCATCCTCTACTTTACTAATAAAGTTGTTTCCTATGGAAATATATCAACATATTAAACTGTATGCACATCATTGGGTAAAGTGGAATGATTTATGACATAGAAGGAATGTAATGAAACATATAAACTATCAGTTGTCTTTACGTTGATATTTGTTCTTTCGACGATTTTCAGGATGATGCTAACAATGTGACTCGCTTTCTGATACTTGCCAGAGAGCCTATGATTCCAAGAACAGATCGACCATATAAGGTAATCACATCTTTATGTACTAACTAACTCGGTTGAAACTTATAATAACTCCCAATGGTAATGCTTTTGTTTCTCTCAGACAAGTATCGTGTTCTCGCTAGAAGAAGGTCCTGGTGTGCTGTTCAAGGCCTTGGCTGTTTTTGCTTTACGAAGCATTAACTTATCTAAGGTAAGTTCCGAGGAAAATTTGGATCCTATTATGTAATTCATTCCGAAAATAGAAATATATGACGTAACTTTTGCTCTTCTTTAGATAGAAAGTCGTCCGCAGAGAAGAAGACCGTTAAGAGTAGTTGATGGTTCTAACAATGGAAGCGCTAAGTAAGTAGTTTTATAACACAACATGCACACATCTTTTTTGAGAAGTAGTTGAGTGATTGTTTTGTGATGATGACAGGTACTTTGATTACTTATTCTACATTGATTTTGAGGCTTCCATGGCTGATACACGTGCTCAGCATGCTCTTGGCCATCTACAGGTCTCACAATCGTTGTACCCCAGAGCTTTTATGGCAGGTCTTAATGCTCACCAATTCTAAAAGTTTTACCTTTTGGTTTTGCAGGAATTCGCAAGTTTCATCCGTATCCTCGGGTGTTATCCAATGGATCTAGTCAGATAACCAAGCAAATCTCCTATTGATTTCATGTTACCATACCGTGCAGAACCATGTGAATATACCCAAACAGAAGAACAGGGTTTGTGGCTTTGGTATACCGCTAGAATCTTCTTTCACCATTTTCTCATCTTAGAAGTTTAGCTTCAAACTCTTCATTGCTGAGACAGATACAGTTGATCTAGCTTTTGTTAAGAACATGTTTTGTACATTAAACAGGTTTTCTCAGTTAGTATCAGTGAATAAGATTGTCTGAAACAAAACCCTCTGATACCAAAATCTCTCTGGTTCTTAAAGATCATCTTAATATGTGATTAGTTTCATAATCTTCATTACAAAAGGTGGGGCATTGTTGACCAATAAGACTGATCTTTCAGTTCGAATCAGGAAATAAGGACTTTCCAAACCAAAAAACAAAAAACCTAAAACCAAGAACTGTTTATCATCAGTTCGAAACAGAGAAACCCTACGCATCATCTTTGGTGATTCATACAGTTTTAACCTAGTCACAAAAGTTCCACTAAGGAAGACGGAACTTCGAGCTCTGAATAGTTTTGACCTCATTTCGGCAAAAGGGTTAAAAGCAGACCGAAATGATCACTAGGCAACACCGGAAGCTCTAACTTCTTTATCTCACCCCTCACTTTCTTCTCTTTCTCATATGATAAACCAGGAATCGCCTCTTTCCCAACCATCTCGATTCCGCCAAGCTTGTAATCATCCAGACGACACAAAATCCGGTCTAACCGTTTCTGCAATGCTCGGTTGCCGGACAACATTGGGTTTGCTTTTGTGTCGTATGTAAACCCCAAATCGCCTGGTTTCAAAACCTCCCAAACATCGACCCATTTGTCTGCCAAAGGAAATTTCCCATCTAGCTTGTCATCCCAGTTCATGTCTCCCCCAAATATCACATTGGTATTAGGTCTGAGAATCTCGATTGCTTCTTTGGCTTGTTCAACGCGTTCTCGACTGAACATTTGGTCCCATTTTGGAGGACCTGGACAGGGACTCTCGAGATGGCTAGTTGCAAAAACAAGTGGCTTTCTCCCTGGAACTTCAACTTCTGCGATAGATAGTTCTCTTCCCATTATCGAGTTCCCAAAGCTCTTGCTGCTGAAAGATTTCACCCCCAACTTGCTCAACTGCAAATTACCCATAAGGGTCAATTACAAGAATCACAGCTATCATCCAAATTTAGAAGCTAAGAGCCTAAGACAAGCGTCCACAATCTTTACCAGCATGCAGTAGTAGCCTCTCGAAACTGCCACATCAACTGAGACAGAACAAGAATACGCTTTCCACCAATTTGACTTGCGGAAAATATCATATATCTCAGGAGTGACTTCCTACAAGTACACACAAAAACCGTTTGTCAGAAATCTGAGCTAATTCTACATTTTGCAGATAGAAATAACTCTATGGCAATTGTAAAAGATGACCTGAAAACATATGAGATGAGGAGAATGAAGCTGAATAAGGTGACCAATCGCTCTCATCCTTAGATTCAACTCAAGGTCTTCACGAAACCATACATTGTAGCTCAAGATCTTTAAGCAAGTTAAAGGTGTTCCTGAATCAGAAGCTACCCCTACAAAAAACCAAACAGTGACAAAAAAAAGTAAAGACTTCTGCATTGAGGAACAATGGAAATCAACCTCACACAATTTAGCAGCAATCAAAAACCAATATCAAGCCATGTTTAGATGAAACACACATCACACAGAGATCACACAGTAACAAGACTCGTCTTTTACACTGATATCTAAGGTATGAGCCACAATGAGAATACCAAAATTCACAAAGACCTAAAACCCCAGGGAGTACAAAAGAACCGACCTTTCGTTTCAATCTCTTTGTTCTTCTTCATGACACCTTGCGATTCAGAGCAAACAACAGAAGCACCATCGACCTCGACGACGTCATCATCCATAGCCTTACGCTTGCTACACCGCCGCAGAGGAAAGAAAACCGACCCGACGGAAGAAGCAGGGTTATTACTCTCGAGACCCGAATCAGTCAAATCGTCAAAGCCCAAGAGAGAAGACGTTGGCAATCGCGTTCCACAGACGTCACAGATTGAGTTCTTGTACGTGTTCAAAAAAGTACAGGCCTTGCACGCCCATTTAGCTTCATCGTTCGTGGAAATTGAGAGAGAAGGAGAAGGAGACGAAGAAGGGAGAGATACGGGAGCCAAGCAGATCATGCAATTGAGTTTCTGAGACGCAGAATTGAGGAAAGTACATTTGTTGCATGACCAAGAAGACGAAGAAGACGATGACGACATTGCTCGAGTTGTGAGAATTCTGAGAAATCGGATTGTTGACATTTACCCTAATTTTCTTTATCGATTTTGACTTTTTGACGCTTAGGTTTCCATTTAACGGCTACAAATTAAACGACGCCGTTTCGGATAAAACAAATGGTTTTCAATTTCAAAAGTAAATTTGAATCAGAATACAAGAGACTAAAATAGTCTAAAGACAGAATCAGATTTTATACAAAATTTTATTGTCACAACAAGAATACAAGAGACTAAAATAGTCTAAAGATTACAAAAACAAAGGGAAAAAACCCGAAAAAAACCGCCATCTATTTTTTTTTTGGCCGTTTAATACCTGTGTTTTTAAATTTGGAATAAAAATACTTAATTTAATTTCGATTGTCTTTTAAAACTATCGTTTTTTAAAACTTGGTAATTTCGAACCCGAGAGTTAACAGTCGTTACTAGGCGTAACGGAACTATTTAACGGTGTTAAATTTTAACCCCCTATATTTATATAAATATATATTATCTGTTTGCAGAGCTTTAAGAGATAGTTAATGTGGCATGGTGGTTACACGTGGGTTTACAATTCTCTTGCACCCGAGATCGAATCCTTCTCCCACTATTTTACACGTTTTTTTTTTTTTTTTTTAAGCTTCGTCTTCTTCAAGTTGAATTAGGTTTAATATCAGATCTCAATTTTTTCTGTTTAGGGTCTGCAACTCCTATTTCGGAGATTTTTAGATCGATAACGCAGTATTTCAACTGACATCATCGATCTGATTCTAACCATCAATCAAAATTAAAACAAGTGATTGAAAAAACATTGGATCTCAAATTTTTCATGGTTCATCTTCAAATCCTTATAGAAGATTTGCAGAAAGATAACGCGGTATTTAAACTAATCAATCATCGATCCAATCCTAACACGAAGCAAAATCGAGCATTGAATCACATAGAAGACACAAAAAGTAAAGAGCATCTCAGAAATCGAAAACCCCATTTGTTTCTTCACGAAGACGGGTTCAAAAAAAAAAATTGAGTCAAAAAAAAAAAAAATTAAAAACGTCTAAAACAAAACAGGTTTGAGATTCGAACCCGGCTCTCGTGGTTTACAAAAACACGCACACAACCACCAGGCCACATTGACATTCTCTTATTGTATTGTGAGCAGATTATATATATTTATATAAACACGTGGGATTAAAATTTAACGCTGTCAAATAATTCCGTTACGCCCAGTAACGACTGTTAAGTCTCAGGTTGGAAATTACCAAGTTTTTAAAAACGATGGTTTTAAAAGGCAATCAAAATTAAATTAGGTATTTTTATTCCAAATTTAAAAACACAGGTATTAAACGGCCAAAAAAAAAATAGATGGCGGTTTTTTTTGGGTTTTTTCCCCAAAAACAAATTACAAAATTATAACACAATAAAATGTTTAAGACCTAAAATTGTAACTCGCCAAAACCTTCATAGGCCACTGTGACCTCGTTGGTAGTATTGACACCGGAGTTCGACTCCGTTTCCAGTCATGGATGGGCTTCAGAGTTAAGACTTGTAACTCACCGTGGAAAAATGAAAAATCACCAAAAGGGTAACAACAATATAGAAGATGATACAAGAATCATAATACTAACACAGAAGCCTCTTGAGAGACTCATTGAGTTAGCTTCACCAGCAGCAACTTCAGTCGAATTCACCACTGTCTGTGTCCTATTTCCGACCTTCTTGCTGCACAAAATGAGGTAAGAGTACGAATTAAAAGAATGAAGACTTTATCTCGTCTAAAAATATAGATAAAGAGTTTCCAGAAGGGAGTTAATGCAAGAACTTGCAATACCTTCCCGGGAAAATGCAGCTTCCATGACCTGAAACATAAGCATCTCCTGATTTAGAAACTATGTATACAGTTAACTCAAAATTTTGAACTTCTAAGAACTTGGGACCATTTACACAACAAGTATATGATCTTGACAAATCTTTTCTTGTTATATAGCCTGCTTGTAACCCGAAGTAATAAACATGGAGAGAAAAGAGTTGAATATGAATGACAAGGTACAAGCAAGGTAAAGACATTTTCTAAGACCATCCATGATCAATGTAGATACCTTCGGTTTCCCAATAACAAACACGCTTTTACCGAAGATGATTCAAGATTCGATATCGTCATGCATAACAACCATATTTTGAGATTCATGAACAAGAGAACCTTCCTTTGAGAAACTAGCTTCTATGTATATGGCTGCATAGTTTTGTTAATTACTGATCTAGGACATATTATACGCTTACATCGAATAGGAACCAAACCGAGAATGGAAATATTTCAAAGTCCCCCAAGTTTTAGCATATAAATCACTAAGAACTTTGTTTTGGCACAAGACAGCTCCTATAGACTCTCCCAACTTAGAATCTAAACTCTAACAAACTCAGATGGCGTTTCTTGGTTGTCATAAGTCTTTTCGCTATAGATACTCAAATTGTAAACCGTAATACGAAAAAGAAAGAAAAAGAAGAGCTTACTTGGGTCAGTAGTAGTGATCATTGCCACACCTTTGAAGTCACATGAACCAGAAGCTCTTCCTTCCTTCTGGTAATAACTATTAAAAGCAAACGAAGCATGTCCCTTCACATTATTCGGCTGGTAACAACTCTCCCCAGGTTGAATCTCACTACAATTAGATCTCCCTGGTCCACAAGCCCAATCCAATGCAGCCTGAAGCGTCTTCGCATCCACACCATCCATAGCAATGCAGTACGTCTGGTTTGTTGTATCGTTCGCTAAGAATGTTCCGCTTCCAGATACATGAAGCAAATAAACCGGTGTAGAGTTCCCGTAGAATAACCCCCGGTAGCTTCACTAACCGGAGGAGCTCTCAAATCCTCGTTAAACAGCTCATAAATGTAGACACTTGAAGTCATCTCAGGGTGCAAAGGAGTACCAGTTCTATCGAATACATGCTTGATCAAATTCGAGTTATACGTATCAGCATTGTCGATAGTAGCATATGGCTCTTTCGAATCGCCTTTTGAAGGCCACCCGCTCTCGGTAACAAGCACAACCACATCAGACACATTCAAATTTTTCATCGAGACATAAGCAGCATCAACCATAGCATCAAGCACATTAGTGTAATGCAACAAAGTATTGGGATCAACCATTTCTTTAGACGGTGTCAAAGGCTCGAACAAACAGTTATCGAGCGGAACCACGCCTTTGTTCTGCATATAAACATAGTAAGGATACAGATTCATCATCAAAGGAGAACCCGTTTTCGACAAGAACTGAAGCAACGGAACCATAATCGAATGCCAAGTCTGGTTAAAGTAAGCTTGAGAAGGCGGGAACGTATCGAGCATAATCGAAGCTGCGTGAGGCGTAGAGACTTTGATTTGAGTGTGGAGATTGGAAGCAACAAGAGCATTGTATAAAGACTCAATTGCAGGTAAAAGCAAAGGAGCTGAAGAAGGCACAGTTGTTAAAACCTCATCTCCAACAGAAATAGCTGTGATTAATGTTTCAGGGTAATAAGCAACAACATTTCGACCAATCCACGACGCAGCGGTACTGTTGGAAGATCCAATTGCGAGAAGCTGATTGTTTGGTACACTGATTATGACTCGTATCTTGGTTTTAGACAATGCCTTGAGTAATTCTGGATCAGCATCGTATAATCGGACATGATTTACTTTCTGAGTTTGGAGAAATTTGACTAATTCTGTCGGCGAGAGTAGATTAGAGACATCTGTGCCGATGTTGAACCCAACAAATGGATCTTTGTCTTGTTCCTGAACCTTAATATCGTGAGATAAAGACGACGAATTCGCTGCATATAGAAGCTAGTTAAAAATCGAAACTTGGCATTGATTTCTAACTAAAATTGAGAAATAAGTAAATGGGTTTTGTCTAGATTTGGATTCGAAACAAAAGGAGCAATTTAGCCAAGTGTTAACTCAAATGGACAAAAAAAAGAAACATTTTTTATTTAGAATTCGTCAATTTGGGGGGATTTGAACTGAAAAATGAGTCTTTTTTTAGGTAAACTTACCAGAAACCAAAAGAAGAGTGAAGAAGAAGAAGAGAACAGGAACGGTGGAAACCATGCTAGTGAAAGCCATTGAAGAGGAGCTTGAACTTAGTGTGAAACTCTTCCCCTTCAGATTCAGACTCAGCTAGAGATTCTTGCATTATCTTCCTCCTCTTCCGATGGATTTATTGCTGTATGGTTGAGATAGCCTAAAGAGAAACGGAGAAGAAGAAGAGAGATTAGACATTTTTAGGGGTTTTAGGCTGAAAGAAAGATTTATGTCTCTGTGCTTCCACGTGAACCGACTCTGCTTGCTCCTCCCCACATAAACTGTTTTTTTCAGACCAAATGCGAAAATTACTGTAATGCCCTTAAATTCTGATAAAGCACCAGCTAGACATCACTATGTAATCTTTAATAGATTTGGTCCATTTGAATTTATTTATTTTTTTCCCCATAAATTTTGTAAGAAAAAAAAAACAAATTAAATAAAGATGAATTGTTTGTCCACAAAAAGATTCTTTCTAAGATAATAGTTTGTCTACATTACTATTTTTGGTTTCTAAGATAATAGTGCCTCTAAACTAAAAAAAAAAATGTATTTGTGATTATTACTATTTTTGGTTTTAATATTGGCTTGGAATGTTGATGTTGACCACATGTGATAAATCATAAAAGTGGACGATTGAAAGAAGATAACAATGCCCTTTAATGGAATTTTCATATTATATGTAATGTAGGTGGTTTCGCTATGTATTTATATTTAGGTAAGTGAAATATAGCTATCAAAAACATTGAATTACAAGTTGAGGAAAAGAGAGAATATACAACCCACGCTTTCGTTGATTAGCTAGGAGACAATGGCCCATTTTATTTTTTTGTTGATAACACATTTTCTCATCTCAAACAATATAATAAAAATAGATATCTCAAGAAAACATAACAAGTAATATTGTTAGCCTAAATCATTTTGCACCGACTAAAATGTTTAAAGGGAACTAACAAATAAAATATGTAGAAAAAATGAATACATTTTCTCCTTTTGTATCACTTTTACATAGTCTCTTCTGTAAAGTTATAAACTTCTAGTAGAGCAAGGAAAAAGAGAGAGAACAAAAAAAACACAGCAACCCAACAAACATACTAACATAGAGATCCATATGTAACACGTAAGATAATAGATTAAATAAACAAAGAAACAAAGAAAAAATAAACAAAGAAACAAAAACTCTGAAAAAGAGGAAAGCTTTCTGGGGGGTTTAAAAGTTAAAACATCTTATATCAGATTCTTTCCTTTTATCTGCATATATATGTGTTATGTGTAAATTACATAAGTCAAAGAACAAACATTCTTTTGAATCATGAAATCATACTGAATTATATATGATATATATATGCCAATCTCCTGAAACAATTTATTTATCTCCTTTATATAAATAAAATAAACAGAATTTCATTACGAAAAGCAAAACAACAATGAACCACTGACGACCGTAAAAAAAAAAACAATGAACCGTGACACTTTCTTGTCTGTTTATAGCAATTATTAAAGATACAGTTATATATATATATATATATATTGAAAATACACAAAGGGTTTGATTTAAAATTTTACAATCCGTTACCCCATTGTTAAGACTTAAGAGGTGTATCGCTTTTATAGCTATAAGTTACAACTTCTTTTCTCGGATTTAACTATTTTGTGTCATTAATCAGACTTAAACATATTTGTGAGTCTGTGACTAAAAACGATGACCTTTGCGCCGGCGAATGAGACCACTATCTTAAAGATAATTGTAAAAAAGCAGAAAAAAACAATGCAGTTCTATATTACTACGCATGGCTTCAAAATTCAATATGAAGACAGTTTTTTTTCATATTACTTTTTGTGCATATAAGCCTTCTTTTTATGATAGTGCCAAAAAGAACAATGAGCAATGATTCTATGATTTAAAACCAAATATTTATGAAGCCTACGATATGTCGAAATCGCAAATATAACTTTTGTTATTTTGTATTAGACGTCTACATTTTGCAAGCCTCAAGTACAAAACACTTCACGTAATATATTTGGGCCGAGACGCATTTCATAGAATTGATGGGCTTCTACCTCTCACTAATAATTTCATATGTCTAATCAACGAGTCACACACCTACAAGGCTACAACAAAAAGAGAATACCCAAGAGCACATTAAAGTTGGAACACTCCAAACCAAGTAGCTAGATAAGAGATTTTTGGAGGCAATATTCGTTGTTAGATTTCAGATTTAGAGTGTAACAAAAAAAATTCAGATTTCATAGGTCAAAAGTTTTTTTTTTTTTTTGCTTCAATCGAGCCATTTGTTTATAATTGACCAATGCAATCTCCAAATTTCTCGAGGATATAGTAACGTTATTACGGACTTTAATATATTTATTGCGATAGGTTTAATCTGGTTCATATCAGATATAAATTTTCATTATTACACTAGAGGATGTGATACGTTATAATTTTTATTTATATATATTAAAAAAATGATATTATCATTCACCTGATTCACGACGATTATGTTTTATCCTTTCATAATTTTGGACATGTACATGAATGAGATTCCTTCTCTATGCTTGAGTCTGTGTGTTACAAAAGCATGTTTTTAAACACCTGTTTCACGCCACCACGTGTCATCCCATGGCACGGCTGTTAGATTATAATCGTAACAGTCGCTGACCATCTATCCGCAATAATACACTCATCCATCGGTTGTAATGCGTCTGTGATGATCTCACTACATCACAGGCAGTAGGAGAGAGACCTTGTCGGCAAAATTACTATAAACTCATATTTTTAAGTGACGACGATTGTGCCAACACAGAGTGAATCATTCACCTACTCGAGAGTGGTTCAGCTTTTTCGTTCCGTACATCTTCTTCCCAGGTGTGTTTACTGTTGCAGATTATGATCTAGTTCTTACGTTTCGTTGATTATGTTCTAGATTTTGTGATTCTTAATCTGTTTTTCTCGATTCAATTGTGGGAATTTCGTTCTAGCGATCCGGTGTTTTCCGGATCTGATTTATGATAGGATTTGTGGATCATCCTCACTCATAATTTTCTAATTTAGAGGGATCTAATGTTCTTTGATTGATCTTTGTGTTATGATATGATAATATTCTTGCCCACCATTTCAATTGGTGTAATAGCGTAGTTATAATAAGAGTCATATTTGGTGCATCATGATTTTGGGTATGTTAAAGTTGAGACCTTTTTCGGTTGAAAATGCTTATGGAGTTCAGATTAGTGATGGTGTTCGTTAAATTTATCAGGAGAGAGCAAGGTTATAGGGGAAATGAATGAGATTGCTTTCGCCTCCATGTTGAGGCTGTGTCAATGTTTTCTGTCGATTTGTAATGTACATTTTGTTTCAATGATAGCAGCTGATTCAAGGTTTGTTTTTAGAAATATGGCTGAGGCTTCTGCTGTTGCTCCAAATGCTGACTTGTTGGAATGGCCAAAGAAGGATAACCGTCGTTTTCTCCATGTTGTTTACCGCGTTGGTGATCTTGATCGTACCATTGCGTATGTCTTTCTTTTCTCTTTCAGTAATAGCTTATTCATTTTTTTCTGTAACAAGAGTTATTTACATTTTGAGATATATTCTTTATTTTCTTTCTCACCAGGTTTTACACTGAGTGCTTTGGTATGAAGCTGTTGAGGAAAAGAGATGTCCCTGAGGAGAAGTATTCTAATGCTTTTCTTGGTTTTGGACCTGAAACTTCTAACTTTGTTGTGGAGCTGACGTATAGTATGCACTCTTCACTCTCCCTCTCCTGTTTATACGCTTGTTAAAAAGTGAACTACTTACTTCTTATGTTTTCTGAATCAAAACATTTTTGTTTCGCAGACTATGGTGTTAGCTCATATGATATTGGAACTGGATTTGGGCATTTTGCCATTTCAACTCAAGATGTAACTCGTCCTACTTTGAGCTTTAGATATCAAGAATCAAAATATGCGTGTGATCCTGAACGAAGAGATGAACGGCCTTTTTTGTAGGTTTCCAAACTGGTTGAGTCCGTCCGTGCCAAGGGTGGAAATGTGACTAGGGAACCGGGTCCGGTCAAAGGTGGAGGCAGTGTCATTGCGTTTGTGAAGGACCCTGATGGCTACACTTTTGAGCTCATCCAGAGAGGTCCAACTCCTGAACCTTTCTGTCAAGTCATGCTTCGTGTCGGTGATCTCGACCGTGCCATCAAATTCTATGAAAAGGTAATGCAGTGATATGGTTGTCTTAATGTTTAAATATTCATTACTAGTGTTTAATTCATTTCTAATTCCTGCAGGCCCTGGGGATGAGACTCTTGAGAAAGATTGAGAGACCTGAGTACAAGGTGAAGTAATCAGTTATGCAATGTGGACATATAATTTAGCTTTCCGAGCTACGCTGGGACTCTTAAAAAGTTTTTTCATTTGTTGTTGGATGAAACAGTACACCATAGGCATGATGGGATATGCTGAAGAATACGAGTCGATAGTTTTGGAGCTGACCTATAACTACGACGTGACTGAGTACACAAAGGGCAATGCATATGCACAGGTCTGGGATTAGACATGACTCAGTTGCTTTCTGTTGGCTTTAAACCAGTTTCTTTGTGTTCATTCCTCTGATAATTAAATGGTTAAATGTAACACAGATTGCAATAGGCACAGATGATGTGTACAAAAGCGGTGAAGTTATTAAGATAGTCAACCAAGAGCTAGGAGGAAAGATCACTAGAGAAGCCGGACCTCTTCCTGGACTCGGCACCAAGATTGTCTCATTCCTCGATCCAGATGGCTGGAAAACGGTTAGTAATAGATACAGATTTAATGAATTGGTATCGCAGATTGTGTTTTCTAGTGTTGGAACCTTAGAATTCAGATTCAGTGTGGGGTTTTGTTTAAAAGGTTTGGTTGTTATAAAATGACAGGTTTTGGTGGACAACAAAGATTTTCTGAAGGAACTGGAATGAGAAGAGCGATGATGGTTGAGATCACAAAACCATAATAATAAAAATGTGATCATAAATAAAGGAAGACTAAGTGCTTGATCTAAAATAAGAAGATGTGGTTTAGTTTGTGTCGTGCTATGTGTGCTCGTTTCTTTTGTCTTTGAGCTAAAACTCTAGTCTCTATGGACCTGAATAAAAATATTTCCACCACCTTGAGGATTTGGTGTTTTCGGATATGGACGGTTTAATGGAATGAAATATCTCCGTACCAAATCGGTTTACTAGATTTGAGATGGATCATATGGCACTTTCTTCAATTTTATCCGACTTGGTAAAAGAGACACGGTTTAAATCGGTTATATTTAGCTCTGCTTTTCTTTTTCCGGAATTTGCGGACCAATTTTGATTGTGTTGGTTCAGATATAGAATATTATAGCAATTACTCTCTAAAAATTGCACTGGATCCATCCATATACAATGTCTTTAGTCTTCAATCTAGCTACTACATCTTCAATATATGTAGTCACATGAAAACTCAGTGCCACTACCGCAAAAAAATAAAAAGGGAGATCAAATTAGTTGGCATATATATTAATGGATCCACCTACTTTATACACTACAACTATATCATTAGAAAGCAATTTATAATATACATTCCATATAGAGCCCTATCCACTACGTAACCGATTTTAACATTTCTAAACCATAAACCATTTCTCTTTCTTTCTCTCTACATACATATATACATGCTGATTAAAACCAACGCTGCAGAAGTTCGATCAGTTATATAATTACATTAGGTTAAAAGAGAATCGATTAAACGTAACGTCAAGCTGTTTGGTTAGGGTAGACCGGATATGATCTTCATGTACTCAAGGATCATGCGATGTATATAAGTACGATTTGGGTTTGGGACCAAGTAAAAGTAGTATCGTGGTATTTCTTTTGCCTTCCCAATTAATTTGGGCTGTCTGTCTTTTTATGTTCTTGTTTACCTAAACATCACGGCATCTAGGAATTAATACTTTTATGTACATGTTTAAGTATCTATATAATGAATAAAATCCGGTAACATGTGAATATACCACGTGAATATTTAGTTTAAATGTGTCCCGCCTCTTGCAAAATATAGTTATGACAATAAGATGAAACCACTGGACTAAAATCACATGTTTAAGGATTTATAAAACCAAAAAAAAAACATGTTAAGAATTTAAGTTTTGTTTATCACATCCATATTGTAAGGTTATTAGGAATCTCACATGCACATTGAAAAGAGACTAACACTACTATACGAGAGTTGATTGATGATATGTTTATTAATCTCTTTGTATACAAATACATATCGTTTGACATGTTACTATATATACTAATTTATATTAAGCTTTAAGCTACAAGGTCCTAGATCCAATTTTTTATTTGCATTTATTGCACACAAACATTATATATATATATGTGTGTGTGTATACATAAGAGTCTATATATATGGTCTTGTAACAACTCAGTGATTCACCATAAACAAAAAGAATCTGAACCAACAAAGCCAAACATGAAAGGCACATTTACTAACTTGCTTGTGCTTCTCCTCATTGCACTTGTTTGTGCCAATGTCGGTGCTAGGAAACTTATTCCCGGAGATACCCAATTCAAGGATGAAAAATCTTTCCTCGGAGGGGGCGGAAGCGGTGGTGGCCTAGGGCTTGGCCTTGGTGGAGGAGCTGGTCTTGGTGGACTTGGGATTGGGGCTGGGATCGGCGCAGGAGCCGGACTAGGGTTAGGTGGAGGCGGTGGTGGTGGACTTGGAGGTGGTGGCGGTGGACTCCTCGGTGGAGGCGGCTTTGGCGGAGGAGCCGGTGGCGGACTCGGTGGCCTTCCTTGAACGTATTGTCAAGTGTGCGTGTGAGAGCTGATTCTCAGCTTATTACACCAATTAAGTCACTTTCATAATTTCATTGTATTAATAAATATTGAGGGTTTGAATATGGATTTCAGCTTTTATTTAAACTTCAATATTTGAATCAAAAATGGTCTTAGCTACTAGAGGTAATGCTCGTAATCGTATTATATATATATATATGTGTAACGCCGGTTCAGATATGAATAAGTTCTGCAACGTTTCTCTTTTATTCACTAGCATTACTTTTTTTTTTTTTCTTTCTTGTTTATAAATAACTCGATAAACAAAACAATCTCGAAATAAAATATGGTCACACTAACTACATCAACTAAAACATTGATTGGAGTACATTGGACATAAGGTTAGACTATTTACTGGCCAACTAATTAAGGATTGCAAGAACCAAATCAAAATATAGTAATTGTCAAAGTTTATGAGCTCCCGATTCAAATATTATTTCAGATGTGATCACTTGATTGATGGTTGCAGGGAAGAGAAGATCACAGTGAACACAATGCTAAGTCGTCACATATAAACAAACAACAAGTATAAAAGCACCTTGATTGTATCATATATCCATAGTAGTTGATTCTAATTTGGTTAAAATTATTTTTGAAATACTTGATAACTTAATAATCAAACCATGACTGTAGTGTTATTTTGAATCCATATTCATATTTAAAGTCAATGTACTGAATTCTTTTTGGGATAATAATGGATAAAATGCTAACAAAAAAATAAGTCTACAACTCCAAAATTTTGATCAAGCATGTTGCTTTTTCATTTTGCTGATTTGCAATACTTTTATGTTTATTTTTGATTTTATAAAAAATTTTAAAAATAAGAAGATAAAGATTGAACAAATACTTACCACTCAATGGGGATGCGGTTGCTTTGGCCTTTTCTTCGTTTGGCTGATGATTCCTCTTCCACCACCAAGGCACCAACCCCATCTTTTTCTTCACATTTTTAAGTCACATAATCTCTATTTTAATCCCTAAATATAAATATATAAAGTCCCTTTTGCCATTGATAGCAACAAAATCATCAATTAATTTGCAATAACACACACACTACATAATAGTATCAGGAATCTGGGAAGAAGCTCCAGTGGCAAAGACTCAACATTTGTAAGATTTCTACACTACCCATTTCAGTTTTTATGTTTTCTATTCACAGAATCACAGATTATTTCGATTTCAGACAACATTTGTTTTCTTCTTCTTTGTGAAAATACGATTTCGATTCGATCTCATTGCGATTATTTGAGTTCCCTGATTGTTGCAGATGTTATATAAATGAATCTTAATCTTATAGTTGAAGATTCATGGATTAAAAATCCTCTCTTTTTGCCTATAGAGCCTTTATATGAATCTCCTTTCTTCATTCCATAGCTTAAGAGTTTATCAATGTCAATTCACTGAATCCAGTTGAATTTGAAAAAAAATGCATTTATGGTTATTGATTTTGAGTGTTCTTGGATCAAACTTGTTATGTAGCTTGTGGAGAAGATGAGAGGTGGGAGTCTATGGCAGCTAGGGCAATCTATAACTCGTCGTCTTGCTCAATCTGACAAGAAGGGTGTGTCACGCCGCTACTTTGCCTCTGAAGCTGACCTGAAAAAAACTGCTCTTTACGACTTCCATGTCGCCCATGGAGGAAAGATGGTTCCTTTTGCTGGTTGGAGTATGCCAATTCAGTACAAAGATTCGATTATGGACTCAACGGTTAACTGCAGGCAAAATGGGAGTTTGTTTGATGTTGCACATATGTGTGGTTTGAGCCTTAAGGGTAAAGATTGTGTTCCTTTTCTTGAGACACTTGTGGTTGCTGATGTGGCTAGTTTGGCTCCTGGAACTGGGAGCTTAACTGTGTTTACAAATGAGAAAGGAGGTGCCATTGATGACTCGGTGATTACCAAAGTGACAGATGAACATATCTATTTGGTGGTCAATGCTGGTTGTAGGGATAAGGATTTAGCTCACATTGAAGAACACATGAAGGCTTTCAAGGCCAAAGGAGGTGATGTCTCCTGGCATATCCATGATGAGAGATCTCTTCTCGCCCTTCAGGTCTGGCTATTCAATTTCAACCCAAAGATTGTTCCTTTTGTTGTTCAGATATTGATTGATGTATACTTGTACTTACAGTACATTACGATCTTGAATTTTCGATGTAGGGTCCTTTGGCTGCTCCGGTGCTTCAACACCTGACTAAAGAAGACTTGAGCAAGCTTTACTTTGGGCAGTTCCAGATTTTGGACATTAATGGTTCCACATGTTTTCTTACCAGGACCGGGTAAAATCTCATGTTTCACTTTCTGTTTCTAGTCAGACTAACTTGGTTCAAGTAGACAGTAGCTCAGGAGGAAAAGTTCTGAAGATCTCATAGGTAATGAATGTCTCTGTTTTGGGTTTTCAGGTATACCGGGGAAGATGGGTTTGAGATCTCAGTTCCAGATGAGCACGCAGTGGATCTAGCAAAAGCAATCTTGGAGAAATCCGAGGGTAAGGTAAGGCTTACAGGTCTAGGTGCAAGAGACAGTCTCAGGTTAGAAGCAGGACTTTGTCTATATGGAAACGACATGGACCAACACATTTCTCCTGTTGAAGCTGGGCTCACATGGGCCATAGGGAAGCGTAGAAGAGCCGAAGGTGGGTTTCTTGGCGCGGATGTGATTCTCCAACAGCTTAAAGATGGACCTACAATCAGAAGGGTCGGTTTCTTCTCCTCAGGACCACCCGCAAGGTCACATAGCGAGGTTCATGATGAGAGTGGGAACAAGATTGGAGAGATCACAAGTGGAGGGTTTAGCCCAAACCTGAAGAAGAACATAGCCATGGGATATGTGAAGTCAGGTCAGCACAAGACAGGGACTAAAGTCAAGATCTTGGTCCGTGGGAAACCGTATGAAGGCAGCATCACGAAGATGCCGTTCGTGGCCACCAAATACTACAAGCCAACATGATATGTGTGTCTTCTTCGTCCATTTACTCGTCTCTTGCTTTTGTTAAAATGACTTGTGTTTTTCTTATTTTCTGATTTGGCCTGAAAAATGTACGATATTTTGCCAAGAGGGCATTGCTTATTTTCATTTTTATTGAAATAAATTTAACACATGTAAGACCAAACTTTGAATGTGTTTTTACAGATTTGAACATGTACAAGTTCTTGGTTGATCATGAAAAGCAACTATCATTGTAGGAAAAAAAACATAATTGCAGGCCGATTCATAGAAACACCAGGCCCATTAAAACGAAGCCCATCTAGCCTCCCCATCAAAACGACAACGTTTTTAAAACAGCAGAAGATAAACTAAAACAAGACGTCGTCGTCGTCGTCTCTTCTTTGTCAGCAGAGAAGCTCCGGCGATGAGTTTACACAAATTGAGACTCGCTGCAGTTCCTATAACCTTCTCTTCTCGTCTCTTCCTCAAGCCATTTCCCAATACTCTATCCCTAGGTTTGTTTTCCCGCCATCTTCAACCCCATAAGCCTCTCCTAGTCAGAGCTTTCTCCGCTTCCGCCGCCGTACAAGATATTCCGGCCACGCAGGCCTCAGATTCCTCTGGTATTCCTGTCTACCTCGTCAAAATCCGTCATTGTTTTTGAATGTGTCTGATTCGTTTTTTTTGAGTAGCGAGGCCTCAGTGGAAAGCAGCGATTGATTTCAAATGGATAAGAGATAATAAGGAAGCTGTCGAAATCAACATTAAGAACCGAAATTCGAATGCTAATTTGGAAGCAGTGCTTGAGCTTTACGAGAACATGGTCAATCTCCAAAAGGTTATCTAATCTTCTATTCTTCCAAAACTCGTGTGTTAGCAAATTAGCTCTATTCGAAGAAAGAAATGTTCAAGTTGCAAAAAGCTTCTTGTTTTGAAAGTTTCTGGATAGTTTTAGTGAAATGTTTCTCTAATCTGTGGCTAGAATTGAGAGATTGAATTAAATTTTGTTTCTTTCCTCTCGGTTCAGCTAATCAATGATTGCAGATAGCAGGAAGTTGAGCAGCTTCGTGAGGAAAGAAACAACGTTGCCAAGAAGATGAAAGGGAAGCTGGAACCATCACAACGTGAGACACTCGTAGAAGAAGGTAAACGAGGATTCTATTTTGTTTATCGGTCTGTGTTTCTTTACTAAAAAGATAACAGAGCGTTTTTGTCTTCAGGTAAAAATCTTAAGGAAAGTCTTGTATCTCTGGAGGAAGACCTAGTGAAGCTTAAAGATGAGCTGCAACATGTAGCACAGTCTATACCAAATATGACTCACCCTGATGTTCCTATTGGAGGAGAGGATTCATCGGCAATTAGAAAGGAGGTAAGTTAGTTTGGTCTCCTTGACCTGTTGCGTTGACTATGACATTTTGTTGTCAAAGGCCCTTTCTGAAAAGATTTCATTATTTTCTTTCTAGGTTGGTAGTCCACGTGAGTTTAGTTTTCCAATCAAGGATCATCTTCAGCTTGGGAAGGATCTTGATCTCATTGACTTTGACTCTGCTGCAGAGGTATACGCTTTGACTTATTCATAGGTACCAAAGCACATTTTACAGGTTGTCCGATCAGCGTTGGCTTCTGCTTAGCTACTGGTTTTGTTTTTATATGATCAATTGTATTTAGACTGAACATTATTAGTTCAATTAGTAGAGTTTACTTGAGTGGGTGAATGATCACCTCCTTCTATAAACCATTAGATTGATGACCAAATTTTCCTTTATCCGGTATATTAAGTTAAGAAGATGGGGTGAGTAACTTCCTTCTTGTTTTTTACACTCATGCAGGTAAGTGGTTCAAAATTCTTCTATTTGAAAAATGAGGCAGTTTTATTGGAGATGGCGCTCCTTAATTGGACACTATCACAAGTCATGAAGAAGGGTTTTACTCCCCTAACGACTCCTGAAATCGTGAGATCTTCTATTGTTGAGAAATGCGGTTTCCAACCTCGTGGAGATAATACTCAGGTTTCTGCAATACTTGTGCAATGGCTCTGTTTGATAAGTTAACATTGTTGTTTGTTTCCAATCGTGCTTCCATTCTTTTGGATAGGTTTATTCTATAGATGGAACTGACCAATGTCTCATTGGCACCGCTGAAATTCCAGTAGGAGGAATCCACATGGACTCTATTCTTCTTGAATCAGCATTACCGTTGAAATATATAGCGTTCTCTCACTGCTTCCGTACTGAAGCGGGTGCAGCTGGCGCCGCCACAAAGTAAGTTAGAAGAAAGGGTTTAGTCCTTGCAGCTTCTGTGTGTTTTTGGCTTCTTTAATATATACATAGGTGTACTAAAACTCAGTACTTTCTTGATTTCGTGCAGAGGTCTTTACCGAGTTCATCAGTTCAGCAAAGCAGAAATGTTTGTCATATGCCGACCTGAAGATAGTGAATCCTTCCACCAAGAACTCATTCAGATTGAAGAAGATTTGTTCACTTCCCTAGGATTACACTTCAAGTAAGAAACTAAATTTTGAACCCGATTTTTTCTCACCAGAGTTTTTGTCTTCCGGAAATCTAACTTTATCTTTGCAGAACATTGGATATGGCCACAGCGGATTTAGGCGCTCCAGCTTACCGCAAGTTTGACGTTGAAGCATGGATGCCCGGTTTAGGACGATTTGGCGAGGTAAAAGAACAAACTCTTATTTATTTGTGTCAGAGCACTAGAACCAAATCTTAGCTTCTTCTTTGAGCTTGCTGTTTTAACTTCTGAACTAGATATCAAGCGCATCAAACTGCACGGATTACCAAAGTCGGAGACTGGGAATCCGTTACCGCCCATCTGAACAACCTCAGACGGGTCCTAAGAAAGGCAAAGCGAATCTTCCAGCTACTAAGTTCGTCCACACTCTAAACGCAACGGCATGTGCGATCCCGAGGATGATGGTGTGTTTACTGGAGAATTACCAGCAAGAAGATGGATCTGTGGTGATCCCTGAACCCCTTAGGCCTTTCATGGGAGGCATTGAACTCATCAAACCCAAGCTCAAGTAGTTTTTTATAGTTAGATCTTTGCAATTCTTGCAGTTATTCCTCTTGTACTTGAGATTTGTTCATTATACACTTTCACAAGAGCTGAGTTTTGTTGTGTTCTTTGCTCAAAACATACAATTTATAGTTTATATCATCATAACCGATGTTCTTTGATTCGATAATATTGGAAGGGAAATATACATTAACAGGTTTCTTTCTAATTCAAATACATGTGTTTTTTTTCTTTCTTAGGTGGTATTTCTTCTTTGGCTTGGCAGTTGTGAATGTTGACGAATTTGGGAACGATAGTATTCTCTTATCTGAATATGGTGGTTGAGAGAAACAAATTATTGGTTCCAGTAGAGATTATTAAGGTCAACTTTAATTGAACCAAAAAGAAGGTTTATACGTTGATTGCAAACCCAAGTTATTTTGGAATAAAATGTTGAACTGGGAAATTGTAGGGCTTTACCCCGAAGGGAGCCCTTCCAGAAATTCTCGAAGGCCCAAGACAAGCTTAGGCCTAGGAGGGGGTTTGGAAATAGTTTTCAACCAGCAATAGACGCGCCTCGGTTAAGACCTCATTAGCTGCGTCATTGCCCCAAGCGCAAGAATGCTTTCTAAACAACCAAAGCCTCTTTCTTTTATAGTCACACAATTCCCATCAACTTATACCTCTTTCCGATGTGGGACTCTGTAACTAAACTAAATAGTTCAGGAAACTTCAATTATGCCGACAATAAAAGACCAGCACGTTGGGTAATTATGTCAACAAGATAAATTACCATTTTATTATATTGGAGTCATGAAAGATTAAGACTAATGATGGTAGGGGCTGCGCGAACGCAAACCCCCTCTGCCACAAATAATGACGTAGGCTCTTCCTCATGGGAAGACCTTAAGCTAAGCACCCCGGACTAATGTGCAATGCCGGTCACTAGCCTAGGCCACTCGTCTTCTTGATCACGAGTTGACCCCGTCCAGGTAAGTGGTTATCTTGACCCAGCCACTTCTCTATTTATACTCCTGTAGTCCCAGTCATTGTTTCTAAGCTAAGCGATGTGGGATAATTATCATTTGAACACATCCTGCCGTTTGAAGTTACTGGTATCCAACAACGTGCTGGTCTCTTACACATGAGTTTATGTGTAATACACATGGGCTGGACACTCTCTATCTAGGGCCCAATCAAATGTCTCGTAGTTGTTAGTTGTATAAAGAAAGAATCAAAACAACAAGAGTAAACACCACACCCTTCATTTATATTTTTACAGTGAAACAGTCGCCTCAGTGTCAAATCTTTTACAAAACAGACCAAAAGAACATATCAAATGACGCTGAGAAAGCCATTAGATCAAGTGAAGGGATAAAAGTTTGAGAAGAGCAAAGTGCCAAGAAGGATATAGGCTGCACAATATGACCATATCAAGTATCCCCATTTACTATGTTCTGGAGATGCAATCAAAGACGATGCAAACCAGTAAAGTGGAGGGCTTGCCGACAAGAACCGTGTTGCAACCTGTAATTACCACACCACAAACGTGAGGACAGTCTCACTAAAACCTTAATCTTATCTACAATTATGTATATTATTTTCTGTTTATGCCATTGAGGATTGTAACCTGAACATGCATGATGAAGAACGCCGTGGTTGCCATCAAACCCAAGTGTACAATAAATGGGAAAACATCAGCTGAAAAGTATCCTAAATTTTCTGGAGAGTTGGATTCCGCAGCCACTCTGGTCACAGTCACATCCTTCTTACTGCTAGGCTTCCGGTGCCTGATGTCACGGTTTCCTACTCAGGGAAATAAAGAGGATCCATCAACGTTTAATTTTGGAACTATTATATAACGTAAAGAAGAAAATGATACCTTCATTTGTTGAAGTTTTAACATTTAGTTTAACTGCATCCTTCAGAGAATAAAGCCCTGCAACAGATCTCTTTTCTTTCTCGGTAGCTTGAAAACCCAGCGAAATGAAGAGCTCAGGCCGAGACTTCAAGTAACTCATAATCGAACAAACAGCTAAAGAAAGAATTGGGGATGCGAGCAGAAAGTTTGGGAGCTGCTTAAACTGAAAGTATTTTAGGAAACCTACTCCCCTGTCAGAAACAAGAAAATAAAGGCTCGAAATCAAATATAAGAAAGAAAACTTGCAAGAACAAGAAAAGGGTTTTTGTTCAAATTGTACTTACCAATAATGACTTTGAATGAAGTTGTACAGCAAAGGTATCCTTCCTTTGCACCAAGGCCTCATTTCATCAAGTGTACGTCCATGACAAAGGTTATAGTATCCGTATGCTTGAAACGCGACAAAAGGAAGACAAATGCATACGCATCTAAGAAATCCAGCAACCAAAACCTGCATAGCCAACTGGGTAGCGAGACAAATCATTATGGCTACCATACCTTCCAGAGTTGAAAGCAAGTTAAAGAGATGGGCTTTAATCATTCAGAGATTACATGATTAACCAAGCAGCTGCGATTTGAGACATACAAAATCAAGAAACTCTTCCATTGCAACCTTAAACTAAAGAGCATACCAGCAAAACAGTAAAGTGAGACTCAACTAAAACAAAATGAATAACAAAGTAACTGAAAAGATTGTTCGAATTAATTCTTTTCTATCTTGTAGAAGGATCTAAAATGTAGGAAATAGAATGATCCAGATTAAAAATCCAGTGTTTGAATTGCAGTCATAATTTCTGAAATTTGAATGAAATACTTATAACTTACATAAGCGCGCCTTTTCTGATATAAAGCTTCATATGCTCGATGCATCGTCTGGAAACAGATATAACCAGCATTAAGAACTCCATTAGACCTTGCACAACCAGAGAGTGCGAACCAGAGAACGGCTACATTGCTTGTACCAGATAACAAGTGATACACGCCTCCGATTGAAAAAAGAGCATATAGACTCTCTGAATATCTGGAAGTCACAAAGAAACAGTTTGGTCTTCAGTTAGTTACCATTCTGATAAGACTGAACATTTTTACTTTCAGTAAATAAATTTATGAGATCATTGCTTGAATACATTACATTGACGAATAGAATATGGAGGCCGGATTGAAACAGAACACAATCGAAGCTCTGAATGATGCTTCAGTGTCTTTCAAAATAACAACTGAAACCCTGTTAGCAATGACTGGTGTAAGACACTCAAAATGGTGGATAGAAAACCCCATTAGCTTGTAGAGCTCAAAAGACTCATGACTTGACTTATTTCGAGACACAATAATCGAATTTGGATGAATGTCAATGAAGTACCTGAATAGATAGATAGCAGCTAATATGAAGGCTAAGTTGCTGACAACGTAACCAGACAACACCATCACAGCTCGAAGACCAATCAATGGAACCAAAGGTGCAAAAACTGAATCCAAAAAGAATCAGTTACTACGGGAATGATACAACCAAAGTAAGGAATCAAGTGGGTAGATATCTAAATTCCAAAACCTGTGCGAGAGAGAAGCGAGATGAAGAAGGGAAGCAGAGGCAAGAAGGCGTAAGTCTGCTCATACTCATAGCCACACTCGGTGATTCGGAGAAAATACACACTGTCCCAGACAACGCTGTTTTCAAGGGATCTCGAAGCTGCATTGGCTACTAGAAATGGAGGAGAATCTTCTTTGTGATACAAGCAAGGAGGATTTAGTGAAGCGGATGTATCGTACGGTTGGAGTAAGCTCCGCCACAAAATGGTTAAGAAGAGAACGAGGATTCGCGAGAAGATGGCGTATTTGATCAAGACGGTTTCTTTCCTTGATTTCGAGCTTGATTCCATAGAAATGGCCATTGATCACGAGCTCGTATTCGAGAATAAAAAGTCCTCCCTTTGCTAAACTCGAACAGAACTTGAAGACAAATCTAATTGAATAAACAGACGTAACATTTCGATTGAAGTCGGAGAAAGAAATTAGAGACGAAAATCGGCGACAGATGATTCTCGATTGCAAGAATCCGGCGACGAAAAGCTGACGATTTGTGATTTTGAGCTGAGAAGAGAAGAAACTGGAAGAAATGCTCGTCGGAGAAGAAGCTGTGATTTGATTTGATTCAATTTAATTCATAAACCGGCCGGTCCAATCAGAAGGGAAAGCCACCGGTTTTAGCCAATTGTTCCGGTTCTTTGATCGGTTCGATCCAGTTTGAAAACGCTAAGCAAATGTAGCGTTTGTGAGGCTAAATTAAACGCGCCACGTCATCAAGACATGTCAACAAAATGCGTCATAAGCCCAATCACGTGAGGCCTGGTAATCGCAAAACGTAGATCGTCATAAATTAAATTTCGAACAGACAAAAAAAGAAAAGAAAATCAATAAATATTAATTTAGCCCTCTTCGATTGATAAACCCTTTAATAAAAAAAAAAATTACTTCTCTTTCCTTGGATCATCTTCTTCCTCTGGTTCTCAGATCTTTGAATCGAGAAGAACCAATTTTAAAGCTCGTTTCAGGTTTGTCTAAATCTATGCTCAAGTCTAATTTTACGTTATACATCTATATAGCTTGGAGAATTTTGCTCAATTTTGCGATTTTTCTGAGATTTGCTTCCGTTTGGAATCGGAACTTTGAGTAATCTGAAAATATTACCTTGGTGTGTAGCTATTGGATCAATTTTCCGTTTGATATCAGATCTTTGATTTCTTTCCGTAGATTATGATTATGAATGTGGATTATGCGGAAATTCGTTTTAAACTCTGGATTTGATGGTGATAAATCTTGGTGGTGAATTGTCACAATGTAGAAAACGGAAGCTTTTGATGATAGAATTTTGTTTGAAGTTGATGTTCTCTGCTAAATTTGAATCTCACGTTTAAATAGTTCGTCATGTTCAATATCTGAATTGCAAATAGGGATAAAGCTATTTCGAACTCTCATTGTTGAAATATCAAAATAATTCATCTTCTTTGACTATTGTGTGTTCTTACAGAACCTAAGTTTTAGGCATCTGTAGTTCAATTACCTGCCTTACATGTTCTGTCTTGATAATAAAGATTGGTTTTTGTGATTTTAGTGAGTTGCAGGATTCATAGTCTTGTTTTGAAATTTGTGATTATTGCAGTGAATTTATTATTGGAGAAGGAATAAGGCAAAGATGGTGAAAATGACATTGATAGCTCGTGTTACTGACGGGTTGCCTCTAGCAGAGGGGCTCGATGATGGACGCGACTTACCAGATTCAGATATGTATAAGCAACAGGTCAAAGCTCTGTTCAAGAATCTTTCCAGAGGTCAAAATGAGGCTTCAAGAATGTCGGTTGAAACTGGCCCCTATGTTTTCCAGTATCCTTAATATCTACTTTTTTCGTTGTTCCTTATTAGTTCATTTTCTGCTTGCAAAAGTTTGTTGATTTATAGATATAGTCTCGCTTTAAAGAAATTTGGTAGGTTATTCACCTCATTAGAACTTTTGACAGCCTCGTAGATTTGCACCAGTTTCTGGCTTATGACACGTTTCAATCCTCTTGCATTATGTTTGAAGAAATCTTCTTTTTCACATTTGTATGCTTTTAACTTGGAACTAAGGTGAAAGAAAGAACCAAAAACCTATGCTTCCTTAACCAGAAAACTCCAGTTACATCATAGAAGGACGTGTTTGCTACTTGACAATGTGTGACCGCTCTTACCCAAAGAAACTCGCTTTCCAATACCTGGAAGATCTCAAGAATGAATTTGAACGTGTCAATGGACCTAACATTGAAACAGCTGCTCGGCCTTATGCCTTTATTAAATTTGGTATGTGTTGTGTAGATTTTCTTCTGTATTCATTCAGTATCTTGGAAACATACCTTTCTGGATTCACTCTTTTCCCCCTGTACTTTTTTTGTAGATACATTCATACAGAAAACCAAGAAACTGTACCAAGACACTCGTACACAACGAAATATTGCTAAGTTGAATGATGAACTCTATGAGGTTCATCAAATAATGACGCGGAATGTGCAAGAAGTCTTAGGTGTTGGTGAAAAGCTGGACCGTAAGTCCCATCCAGTACTTTTCCTATGATAATGGATTAAGCTTTTAGAAAACGGAGAAATGGGACACTAGTTTTGCGTTTGTTATAATCAGCTGAGCAATATGCTTATCATGTACCATTTCCTGTTCTTGTTTTTCTTAATGCAGAGGTGAGCGAGATGTCGAGCCGGTTAACATCTGAATCTCGTATATATGCTGATAAGGCTAAAGATTTGAACCGTCAGGTGAGTTTGATTGCATATTACCTTATATTACACAATGCAGTATTGATCACACGGTTATAAGATAGTTAGCATGTGGTTCTGAAACATTGAATTTGGTTAACCAGGCTTTGATCCGGAAATGGGCACCAGTCGCGATTGTCTTCGGTGTAGTCTTCCTCCTTTTCTGGGTCAAGACCAAGCTATGGTAAAAAAAGGAGGAACCTAAGAGGCTATTTTCGTTCGCCAGACATATATCGACCTCAGCGACCGCCGGCTCAAGTCTCAGATTCCGGCACCCAAAATATCTTCTTTCTTTCAAAGAGAAACTTTGACACATTTTGTACTTCTGTAGTATGCAAACTTTATGAGACTGGTTATATTATCATCCCTTACACTTTTCAAACCTTCATTGTCATTTTCTCAGGCTTCTTTAAATTGAATTAGAACCACAACTGAATCAAAACGGATTGTGTTTGAATTCATACACATTTCTAACAGAATCTAAACAGTCTAAACAGGCTATTTTATCGTCTATGTGACCTCGAGTGTCTCTTGAAATCTTGTGGACCAGCCAAATCTAATGACGAAGTGTTCTTCAACTCATCTGAAAGCTGCAATGCCCTCTGAAAATCTCCTGACTTCTTCAGACAATCTATTAAAGCACGGTAGATGTAAACCGAGGGTCGAATCTGTCTCTGTTTCATCTCATCGAAAAGCCTCAACGATTCCTTTATGTTCCCAGATCGACCCAAACCGTCTATCACCGCTGTATAACTAAGTAAATCTGGTTCAATTCCACACTGAACCATTTCATTGTATATCACCAAACACATATCGAATCTACAAGCTTTCCTCATCCCGTTTAACACCGTGTTGTATGTAATGATGTTTACAGATACATCGAAATCTTCCTTCATCGTTGACAATACCCCCAACATCTCATTCACGAGGCCAGCTCGTCCCAAGATATCCAAAACCGAGTTGTATGTGATCACATCTGGTTTACATTCCCACTCTTTCATCTGCTTAAGTATCATAAGGACCTTATTGATCTGTCTCGTTTCAGCAAATGCAAGGATGATTCTGTTCATTACTATTAACCTATACGGAAGTGAAGACTCCGATATTTCTTTAAGTAGACTCGTCAAATACATGCAATCATCCGTATTAATGAATGCTCTAGCGAGGTTGAGATAACAATCTGAACTCAATGGTTCCTTACCCGGCGAGATCAAGAACTCTCTGAAAATTCTGCAAGAAAGCTTCATATCGCTCTGCTCACCCGCTGCTGCAAGAAGGTTCTTGAAAACCGAAATAGGCAAACATATGTTCTTTTCTTGTAAGGACTGCCACAACTCATATGCGGCAGATAGATTTCCATCTCTTGTATACTTCTCAACAAGATTCGTATAATCGACTTTGCTGATGATCTTCGAACCACTTTCACTGTTGTTAACTATCTTCTTCAAGAGTTCCTCTTCATCTTCTTCTCCTGTGTTTATCAAAGTGTGCATACCAGAGAAAGACCAGCTCCAGCTCAAATCAGCTGGAGCTAACATCATATGTTTCTGCAATGCCGATAAACAGAAAACCAAATCATCAATTTTCAATACAACTATGAATCAGCATCCATCATCAACTTCCACATACAAAACTATGAACAATGTGAATCGAATTCATCCATCGAAAGATTAACTCACACATATAATCAGAAAACTTCGTAATCAAACACAAGCTAAATCATGAAAGCTCCAAAACTACAAATTATCAGACTTGGAAGAACAACAATGGTTCGAAATTTCGTATCTTCATCGAATCAAATGTTGATAGAAAAACTCAATGAGCAGTCACGAATCAGAGAAGATAACGAGAAAGAGTTGGTGCTTTTTGGTATTCATACCATAGAAGTGAAGGAACCTCCATAGACGGGGATTCTCTTAACGATCGACCACTTCATCATCTTCCTCGGTAAAATCTATCTCCAGAGAGCTTGTGACATTTCAGGTTTTTGATTTTCTGAGGGTGGGTTACGATTAACACATTAGTTAATATCGAGCCATTTTTGAAATCATCTCAAACCTCAGGGACCATTAAGATAAATACACGAAATTTTAAAAGCAAATGTTATTGACAGCTTATTAATTTCCTCACGACTTCAACTTTCCTTCTTAGTATTTTCCGACGGGAAAGTTGTTCAAATCGCTGTTGAATTTTGATTTCTCGGAGACGATCACATTATCGCTTCTGAGATCAAAGACGATGCAGCAATTACTGTTCGCGGTTGTTCTCTTCGAGGTTGTTGTGATAATGGCGCTTTCCTTTAAGACGCCGATGAGGAAGCTCTTGATCATGAGCTTGGATCGTTCGAAGCGTGGTCGTGGACCGGTGGTGATTCAGACGGTTTCGGCGACGGTTATTGTGCTTCTGGTGACGAGCGTGTATAATATGATGGCGATCCAGAAGCGTTGGATCGAAGACGGTGTAGTGAACCCTACAGATGAGGTTATTATGGCTAAGCATCTCCTTGAATCGACTCTCATGGGTAAGCTCTTGGATCCGATTTCGCTCCTCTCTCTCTGCTTTTACCGATTTTGTTTTAGTACTACTGTTTATAGTGACAGAATTGGAGATCTATAGATTGTTTTAGAAACTTGTGGAGGTTTCAATCTATTGAATGTTTGTGATCATTCTTCTGGATCTTACTCATATAGGTTGATTAGTTGTATTTGAAGTTGCTAGTGTGATGGTTTAGCTCTTGAATTTTCGATTTATCACTGCTTTTGCTTCTCTGATTCAATCTTCTTCAATCAATTTGGCTGTGGAAGGTTCCATATAATCACTTAAGGGCTTTGTTAATTTGAAATCGGCTTTTCAAGTTTGAGTTCGAGTGTTGGAACTATGTCTTCTGCTTTGGTAAACATTATTTGCTAGTGTGCTTGTTAAGCTCTTCTGCTTTGGTAAAACCTTAGTTGTGGTTTCTTCCAGGTGGTTTTCTATTCCTTGGGCTAATGATAGACAGGCTGCATCATTACATGAGAGAACTACGCATAAGAAGGAAGAACATGGAAGTTATAAAGAAGGAAGGAGCATTATTGGAAGGTGTAAAGGCCAGAGGCTTAGATGAAGTTAAAAACTTGATGGAAGAAATTACGTCGCTTCGGAAAAGGCAAGAGCAGCTGGACTCTGAGCTTGAGGCAAGGTCTAAAGAGATTCGTACAGAGAAAACCAGTGCAGTTGCTCTACAAAAGCAATCTGAAGGATTCCTTATTGAGTTTAACCGGTTGCTTGAGGAAAACCAGGTTCTGCGAGACCAATTGCACGCTGTGGATTCGAAACTTTCGCGTTCAAGCAGCAAAAAGAATACTTGAGAGACCTTATTCCAACACTTTAAACTTCTTTGCGATTCTACCGTCTGAATAGATTTGTTTCGAGTTTGATATCAGGAGCTTGTGGTTTGGTGTTATCACATCTTTAACATGGAAGATGATTGGGAAAGATCAGAGAATACAAAACAAGTATAGGTTTGCTTCTTGTTTAAGTGTGTAGCTAAGGTAGAAATTATCAATTCTTCTACTATAGGAAACTGTAACTCGTTGTAACTGGTCCATTTTGCAACAAAAAACTACTCGAATTGGTTCTTATTTCCTTCCATATACATATACTGTCGCTGCAAAGTGGATTGTCATTACAATTTCTCATAACTTCAGACCTGTTCAAACAGATAATTCAGAAATCCACGAAGGATGCAAGCTTCATGTTGGGGTTGAGGAATTCGCCTTGGTCTTGACGAATTAAGGTTTTCACAAAATTGAGTCTAGAACATTAAGGTCTATACAGCCTAAATGCATGTTTAACCTACGTGCAGGAATTGTAGGTCCATCAACGTAAGACATAAAGCCATTCTCATTTTATCAATGTGCCTGAAATGTTATTGAAGTTACAACGGTTTTGGCGAAAGACGTTTTTACCGAACCATTTGATACGTAAGACAGAGTTATGAACAGGGGAGGCAGGCTTTTTTTATTAAAGTTTCACCATCGAACTTACTTAGCAGAGCCAGAAGGTATTTACAAAGCCAATGCCTTCAAAACTACAAAGGCCTTTTTTTCGTTAGGAAACCATAAAAGATAAAAGTAGCTGTGCCACCATTTCTACTACGACTCAAAGTCTTCAACTCCAGAAAACATACAAACAACACTTGAGACACAGATTGTTCATACTAAAAACATACGCGAAACCAACCCGACCGTGTTTACGCTGCCTCTGCAAATCCGACCTGTTCGTTACCGAAGTCGAACACGGTGTGGTATTTGCCCATGAACACATCTCCCAAGATCCTGTCACATTTTTACCACCGTGCTTATGGTTAGAAAAAGAAAGAAAGAAGAAATTGTGCTGCAGAGTAATAGAGTCAAAGGTTTACCAGAGAGGTCCACGAGGTGGAGCAACATCGAGAGCAATAAAGCCACTGATGCACTGTGCCACAGGTCCCTCACCAACTTTCAGAACATACTGCTCACATCATACCAGCACCAACAGATTAGTAGATGGGGATAATATTCACTACATGATATGAATCTTGTCTTAAATAGTTCAATATCAATACCTCTTCTGGCGCAAGATCAAATACTTTGCCTCCAATGGTGAGTGAAACAGTGGGCATCGTTGAGAGTTGAGCGCAGTCAACTGCAGACTCTCCCATTGGGCTGGGAAGGCGTTCACATAGCTGTTAAGAAAACCCACAGAAGCGATTACTAATCAGTAATCAGGACAACAATAACTATTGTTTCACAAAAATCTTGAAATGACAACTTATTGGTTACCTCGTTGACGTAGTTCAATATGCGTTCTTGAGTCATGTTCTGCCTCAACTGGCTCTGGATCCACACAACTGCCATCTCACATGCAGAGCACGCAGCATCTCCAACACCATTAGACAATTTGGCGTTTTCCTTGTCCACCACCGACTCAATGCCCATACTAGACAATTTAAAAAAAAAAAACCATACTAAATATGAGCAGATCACACGGGAAAAAAACAGGCATTCCAAAATGAAGATCTTAACTTAATTGCAATGTCTACCAATTATAACTTCTATATAACATCAATGAGACCACTGGAACTTTACCTGACACCACGGGTACCATCAAAAGTACACAGACCAATCTGCGAGCAGATTTTCTTTGGTTGGGTCTGCAACACGTAAGGGGGTGAATGATAAGTCAAAATAATTTGCACAACATTTGATTTGTTAAACATATTTTATTAGCTAGTCCAATATTAAGCACACTAACCTCAGACAAAAGTAAATCTAAAATGGTCTGCCCGTATTGATCCACAACAGTCTTGCACTGCTGGCTAACAACTCCAGCTGCTCCAATAGCATGGTTTATCATGGTGATAATAGTCTACACAGAGAAAAAAAAAACAAAAATAGAAGTATTACTGCATATACTATTTAACAAACCATAACTCTATAAAGCTAAAGTCACTTCAATTCTTGCTTACCGTTGGACCTGCAAGCAAAGATGTACCAGAATCTGCTATCGCAGAACAGCCACTTTCACAGAACCCTGTATAACAGTAACTCAAACTTAAGAACCAGTTGTCACCAGCAAACACAAATAGCAAAACCTTTTTGAATTTGAATGAAGCAAAAATCAATGTTACACATACCAGTGGGTGCGCCGCCAATAAGAACATCACCCATGTCAAACTATTACAAAAATATATAGCTTGAGTTAGATCGTCACTAGAAAACTTTATGAGGAACCCAGACAAAATAGTGATGTATAACAAACCTGCCAGTAGCCTTTTTGAGTCACAGGAACATATGTATGTTTGCCCTTGAAATGATTTGGATCAACACCTCCAAATACAAGTTCACCACCTTCTTCTTCATCTGCATTACGGTTAAGCCAAAATGAAAAAACTGGCTCCTTGATAAGGCCTTGCTTGAGCATGTTGTACCTGTAAAAAACAAGACACCTTGGCATTAACACTACAGGAATGTAGTAAACTCAACCCAATCAAGAGAAGAAAGTGCAGGCATACCAAACAGGAGCGGCATTTCCAACAGAGATCTCTTGGAATCCAAGACCAAGGATACCATCAAACTTAGCTACAACAAATGTTATACCAGGCTCCTTGGTTGCCTCGATAAATTCCTGATGAGATAGACAAATTTTAAGAAGGAAGGTCAATGACGTAGCACAAATGTGTCATAAGGGTGCTGAGTAGGGTAGGATAGATAGTTTACCTGATCCTTGACAACTAAATCGCCAACTGTGACGGCATCATTGCTGAAAAAACCAGCAATTGCACCAGTGCCATAATGAATTGCGGCAGATTTTCCTGCACCAAAGACGAGCTAGTTAGTTATAACTTCACAGATCATATCAGCAGTGATGTTTGCATCTTTGAACAATGGTGACAAAGATTATCTGCACATTAACATGAATTCTAGAGGCTACATTGAGGGAACTGTAAAGTATCTACCAAATGCAGAAAGTTTAAAATAAAGAGAGAACAAACCATTCTTCTCATATGTGCTTGAACGCGAAGACTTGTATTTGGGATGCAAGAGACATGCAAGCTACATAAGGGGCAGATCACAATTAGTTTTATTCTCAAAAGTTTCTCAACCACAGCAGCAATTATAGTCCAGATGTTGCTTACCGAGAAATAGCATTTTGATGATGGCACCCAGAGGTTAGAGCTCCCAGTGTCAAAAACCACAGTGAACTTCTGAGGTGGAGTACCAATAGCGATCTCACCGTAGTACTGAGCATCTAGATAATTCTTAAGCACGACAACATCAGCATCTTCAGAATTTCCAAGGCTGTAAGCTCTCAGGGGCTTTTCTTGTTTGGATTCGACGCGTGCTGCAAGCCGGTTTTTGGAATCCAACTTGAGTTTTTTGAGGCCAACTCTGAAGGTCCCGTCATTGCGCTCAGAAGAGGCAGAGAAAAACAGCAGGAATGACACAATGAGTGAAATAGCAACCGTTGTAGAGTATATCTTCATTTTACCTATTCATTGACACCAAAAACATAGAACAAAGACAGTTAGAATCAAGCGACCATCAAGCTGAAAAAAGCAGATGACCTACAAGACCCATACAAGTCAACCAATATACATATATTAATATCAGACAGTCCATATTGAATGCTGCAACATGAAATAAATTGTAAAAGGTCTAAGTGACTAAAAATAGGCTTACTCGGTCATCCTCAAACAGATAACGAAGGGCAATGATACACGCAATAAAATTGTACAAATCATTAGTTTACTTGGTCTCTCTCAATCAGCCACGAAGTACTAGCGTGGAAGAAATAAACAAAGTAAAAACTCTCTTGACTTTACAAATGACTTCTTTTGCTAGATAAAGTGATAAAACCTTGAAAATAACATTTTATCATTGAAGAAATCAGAAAGAAAATAGCCTGATTACAACAAAACCCTAAACATCTGTTCCTATGAACCTTAAACCATTTCAACAAGGAGTAAAATGGAAAGATTAGTTCAATCAGCCAAGTAAATAAAAAAGGAAACAATCTCAATTGCACCAAGATTCACATGCAACATAATGATTCATAAGCCACTGGAGATTGTCACAATCGATCAATATTAAGAGCATAAAACTTCTCTTCTTCTTTAATAATGAAACACGATCACAACTACAATCGATGAATCTTCAAGTAAAATAGTCCGATTACGTAATCAAACTAACCTCAAACCCCAGAAAATTCATACCACAGATGATAACACAACCAGAAGTGAAACCAAAATTAGCCCCAAACAATACACAAATCACGGAAAAGAACAAAATATAAGCGAATCTACTCATCACATCATTCAAAAATAGTATCATCCAGATTCAAAATCGAAATTCGGCAACAAAACCCTTACCTAACTGCTCAGAAAACGATTTATGAACAAATCTACGAATATAAAGGAAAAAATAAGCAGAGAACTAAGAGTATAAGAGAATCGAAAACAAGCAATTGAGAAATCGTTGAGTTTCATAAGAGAGAGAGCTCACCAAAAGCTAAGCACCAGATTCTCAGAGAAATGAGGATTGTTGAAGAAAATGAGAAGAGAGATGGTTACATTTATTTGCGAAGAAAGAGATGACTGTGAGGAGAGATAATGCTAAATTAACCGCGCTGTCTCATAAATGACAATTACAGGTGGGGCCCACTGTATAATCCCGTCAAAAGAAAAAAAAAAGAGAGAGATTTCGTGTAGGCTAATCTTTCGTTTTCAGCCGTTGGATCTCTTTATAATGAACGACTGGATTTCATCGTTGACGGATGGATAGGAAGGTGTAACGTATCAAGTTTTATATTTAGCGAATAATCATGTGTTTACCAACATAGAGTAGACAACGTACTCTTTTCGAATATTAACCGTTGGATAAGATGACTTATATTGAACGGTTTTGATTGAAGAGCTCACCTTTCATGGATTATATCGATGTAATGGTTTACATTGGGCCTATAGGAAGCCCAATTTCAAAGATACCTTGGAAGATCCCAAAACACGTATTAAGTTTTTTTAGCACAGTCATTGGTCAAAATTATTCGATGTTTCTATATACTCGCCTCCTCTTTCGCGAGTACTTCCACTTAGTTACAACAACATGCTTACGTCCGCAAAGCCTAAAAGCCTCGAAGGATTGATTTTCTTTATTCCGATTACACTTTCTGAACCTTTTTCGAGCTTGTTAACATCAATTGCCTAATAGTAGATCAAAAAAATACTTAAATTCACTAATAAAAGGAAAAATCATCATCTACGTTCTGCGTGATAACCTTTTATATAATTCGGATTGCATCTCAAGTAAAATGTTATTCTTCTTCGTTAGTGTAAGCACTTCTTCACTAAGCTTTTGATTCTCCTCTTGTAATTTCGCCAACTGGAAAAATCGAATAGTTCAAAAAATTTGTGAATTTAATTAAGTTTCCTGATTTTATTAAATATTGGTAAGTTAGCCTACTAATCTGCTCTGCGCCTAACTGATTACTGTTACCTGTAATTCAGTGTTAAGCTCAAGTGAAGTTTGATTCTTCCGGGTTAGTGTAAATGTTTCTTCAATAAGTTTTTGATTCTCCAATGTCAACTTCTTTAAATTCGCCAACTGAAAATTACAAAAAAAAATAAAAAAAAATCGATCAATCAAATAGTATTAGGTTCAAGAAAATTTGTACCAAATTAAATTACCTTCGTGGCACGATCCTCCATCTCGGAGTTGTCGATCACGAGTTGATCACTAATTCCGGTGATATCAATCTTATTCAAATTTGGCTATATATATTGAAAACACACCACTTATTATATTTCAGTAGAATATTGACATGTAGAAATTAATTTAGTAAATTTTCTAAGTTAAAAAATTAATAAAAATTAAATGGATATATTTTCTTCGATTGCCTTCTATCACAAAATCTTCCAAAGATTATTTCACAATTTCTCTAAACGAATTTCAGAAAATTCAAAATGCATATTTTATAGACTAAAATTACTCTGTGTATTTGATAAGGTTCTCATACGATTTTTTTTTGGGGACAAATATGGTTTTGGATAAAATGTTAAATAACAAAATTTGTTGTAAATATCAAGTATGTAAATATTTCAAAGAATCTGATAATAGTCAAATACAACACACGATTAAAACCACAAGTCTGGCTTTTTATTCACTTTGATTACAAAACTTCACAACTCATCAGTCATCAGACAAAAGATGCAAACCAAGAAACAAAAACCAATTTAGACGAATCTTACTCGGTCTGAACCGGTTTAGTCTCTTTGGGCGCGTTGTTCTCGACTTCACGACCCATTGAACCGGAAAACCCGGTGAACATTTCATAAAAAAAAACCATAGAGAGATCAATGTTGGTTTCGATCAACGGCTTCTTCGGTTTGGTAAGATACGAAGGTCAATTACAAAAAAAAAAAGTTTATAAATTATAGAGTTGTAATTTTGTTCCAAAATAAAATTCGTTCTTCACATTATAGTCGCAATTAATAAAGAGATCAATAACCTTTTAGAAACAAAACCATAGTCATCTTCGAATAATTTATCCTAAAAAGAAAAAGACATGTTAAAAAAAAAAACAGAAACCTAAAGTAAGTATTAACAAGCACATGAAAAAAATGATTCTTAAACTCCTTAACAAGACATTCCAAGCTTCCTCAACACTTCACACGACCAAATTGTAATCTCATAAGTCATAACTAAGACATAATACCCAATAATCAAATCAAAACCCCTATTTTGAACAATGTCTCCACTTCACTCTTACTTTATCTTCTTCTTCCTTCTCATCTCCATCCTTCTTCAATCATCAACAACATCATCTCAATCAAATCTCTGCAGATCTTCTTGCGGCAACATTCCAATAAATTACCCATTTTCCATCGATGACGGTTGTGGTAGCCCTTATTACAGACACATGCTCATTTGCTCTGACAACAACACCAAGCTCGAACTTAGAACACCATCTGGTAAATACCCTGTTAAATCCATAAGCTACTCTGATCCTCACCTTCTTGTCTCCGATCCATTCATGTGGAATTGCCAAGATCGAGACAATTTTCGACCAACTAGATCATTTAGCATCGATTCAAGCACACACTTCACTGTCTCCCCTCAAAACGACTACTTGTTCTTCAACTGCAACACCGAGAAAGTGATCGTCGAGCCAAAACCGCTCTTCTGCGAGAGGTTTCCGGATAGATGTGACTCGTCCTGCGATAGTTCAAGCTATTTATGCAGGCATTTGCCCGAATGCGGCTCTGCTTTGGGGTCTAGGGTTTCTTGTTGTTCGTATTACCCGAAAGCCACTCAGTCTCTTAGGCTCATGCTGCAGAACTGTGCTACATATACAAGCGTGTATTGGAGGAGTACAGGTGTGGAGAATGCACCGTATGATCAGTTTCCAGAGTACGGGATTAGGGTTGATTTCGAGTTTCCAGTGACTATGAAGTGCCTTCTTTGCCAAGAAACGACTAAAGGTGGTGGAGTTTGTGGGTTTAATACGAGGACTCGGGATTTCTTGTGCCTTTGCAAACAAGGCAATGTCACTACTTATTGCAAAGGTAAAATGTTTCTCTTCATATTTTTTCGTTGTAACTACAATTTCTATTCAAAAATATGTAACTACTATTAGAATGTACTAATTCGTACTTAAAATCATTTTTGATATATTTTGCAGATCCAAGCCTCGTAAAGCATAAACGCGTTGGAGCTATGGCAGGTAATTAAGCAAGTTTACTATAACTACTATATGAAGTTTTTGGTCATCTAATTACTATATGACTTTATACTTGTAAGTTGTGACCTGATTGGAATCGGAAAATTTGTCGCTAAACAGGCACAGTGACGGCAGTTTCAGCTGCCGGAGCGATTGGCGTTGCGGGTGGAGTGTATTGGTACTTGAGGAAAGTGAGAGCCAAAGCTCCGGTCACTTGTGGAGTTCAAAGCAATGAGAACAGAATTTTCTAAAAGCTCCAATGAAATCATAAATTTTAAAAGTCAAAAGCATGGTCACACACTCACACTTTTCTTTTCTTCTGTTTTGTCTTCTTTTGTCTTTTTTTTTTTCCTTTTATCTTTGATTTTGTGTATAATACAAGTTGGGATAAAGATTTTTGTATTTTTCGTATAGTAAGTTTTTCGTTTTGGTCGGATAGTAAATCTTTTGGTAGGCATCAAGCAAGAAAACTTTTGCAAGCATAATGGATTACTATTGGACTGTACCGTTTTCATATTTAAGAAGAGAATCAGTCGATAATACAATTTTAAATTCAAGTACAATTGTGTTATTATAAGCTAAGCCAAGGCAAAGTTCTCCACCATACTATACTCTTCACATTGGTCAACTTCAAATCTTTATAATCATACAAGTCTTTACAAAACAAATCTTGAAAGAAAACCAAAAAGTATATAAATCCTCCAAGAGATACTTTGAATTCCGTCCCGGGTACGAAGAATTCACAAAACACACCTCAGAAACAGGAATTCCGCCTCATCGTTTGAAATGAAAGAAACAAAAATGAACAATACGTTACATTTTATGAAAACATTATATATACTCACATTCTATATATATGTGAATAATTAGTTAGCAAATTCTGCCGGAATAGCAATGGAGAGGACCGGCGGATGAAGTAAGAGAAGGGACGAGAGAGCCGTGAGACACCGGAAACCACTCTGCTCTTCCGTACAACGGCGTGACGGTTCCATAGCCAGACGGCACGAAGTAAGCTCCGTTCTTGAAAACGTCTTTGGACGTTCTCCATTTCCATCCCCTCCAATCATATCCACTGTCTATTCTCTTTGTCACCTATAGATATGAGAATCATGATATATATGTAAGATTTCATTGTATTGTTGATGTGTGATCACTTGATTGTGTAATGATAGTTATTAAAGTTATACTAGTTTTAAATGAAGAGACCTGTTTTTTGGTAGGGTCATCAGGAGCAACGAAGTAGTTGCCTTCACTAAAGATGGTTGGATCAGCACTTCCTCCGATCGCATACATTTGCCATTTCTCGTACCTATTGTTTGCGACATGCGCATACCCTCTCCTCACCCTAACGTTATTAAGACATCAATGACATATCCATGTCAACATTTTCTAATCTGGTTAAGTTAAAACGAATTATAACAAAATTTATATACTCACCTAGGCATTCTCTCAATGAGACCCGGTCCAAAATGGTTGAATGCAATTGTAACTTTCATGTTCTTATCTTCCACATTATTGTCATTATGTCCGAGTAACATCACCTTCATAAAAACATACCAAATTATCATCAAATATTCAAAAGACTATTTTAAAAGTTACAATTATGTAAAATATAAACTTACTTTATCATGCTGCGTGAAGTAGTTATTAGAAATAGTGACGGCCGTCGAAGCATGAAGTACATCGATCAAACCATCTTGACACCGAGAAAAGTAACAATGATCAATCCAAATATGTGAAGAATCAAAAATGGCGATTGCGTCACCATCCGATCCTTTCCGGCTACCAACATGGGTCGGGCTACTCCTTACACGACCCGACTTACCTGGTTTACAATCATGGATACTTATCCCATGTATAATGACATGGCTCACATGTTGGATCGTTATGCATGGTCCATAGGCAATTTCCACTTTAGCCCCTCTCCCATCGATTGTCTTGTAGCTGTTCATGATGAGTTCGTTTCGCAACACTATGACCATGTCACGTGCGAATGTGATCCATAGTGGTTTAGATTGGATCACGGCGTGTCTAAGAGTTCCGGGTCTAGGGTTTTCAGGGTCGTCTGATGGGTTTGTAACCACGTAGATCGACCCGTATTTCCCCCCAACCGCGGATTTCCCAAACCCTACCGCGCAATCGGCTAGGGAACGACGGTTAGACGCCCAACTAGGGTTTCTACGCCAGCAAGAATCGATAGGATTTAGTAATAGTTTGGGGATGGTGTAACCATTACTATAAGCAGACTCTACAATAGAAGAAGAGAAAGCTGCAAAGAGAAGTGAAAGTGTTAAGAAAAGAGAAGCCATTTTCTTGAAGATGTGAGGCTTGAATTGAACTATGTGTGTGCAAATATATATACACGACACAAATATATGCTAGAGAATATACATATCAGTATCTATAGACTTATATCTATTATAAATTTGCAATTAAGTATCCAATTTTATGTATATGTGTGAAAGATGAGAAGGTGGGACGCACGGATGGCGCTGACTAATGATATATGAAACTATATTATCATTTGAATTCATTGTTCCCGCAACACTTCTTTGATCAATGCTCTTTGTTATCGATAGACGTGGTTGCACGAGATTGAGATAACGATGGATTGTTTTGACTTTGGAATTTAATTTTTGTACTTGTTTAATAATTTTGGATTATATAATAAATTAATAAGTTTAGAGAAAAATTTAGTCCTTTCTTTATATAACATAGTGACTAGTCTGTGATTCGTGAGTTTGGTACACAAAGACACTGCATTTTGACATGCATGGTATCGGCCGACGCTTACAACATGGTGCCAATTATCAGATTTAATTTATCGGTAAATACTTCAACTTGTTTAATATAATGCGCTTTTATTTGAATACGACTGAAAACGAGTAATAATATTTAAGAAAACTATATAAAATACTATTTGAGCGGCAATCAACAAATGTCATTATCAGCACTAAAGTCAACTTCTGTCAAATCCGTACATCTCCTTGATCATTTTCACTTTTATGTTGATATTAAAATTAGAGTGTAAATGGGATTAGGATAATGTTGAATTTTTATGGGAACATAATAAAACTTTAAATATCGTAAATAGACTTTTTAGGTAGAAATAAAAATATAAAGTGTTTTGTGTTAGGACTATATATTGAACTCAGTTTTGTATTACTTATTTTATAAATTATTTAAAAAAACTGTAACTATAACTAATAAATTCAAACTTTATTCAATAATAATACATGGGATTGTTACATGAGACATGGGCGTATAAATAAATTTAACAATATAAGAATATTGACAAACTTTTACAAGACCTTTCTATCTTTAATAACAACAAGTACTCGACCGTTATGTAAGCTAGCTATATAATCTTTTAATTTCGAAGTGTATGTAATATATATGTAATCCAATTTAAACCAATAAATTGAAATTCTTTTATAATGACCTTTATACCACATTGTTTCTTTAAGCATAGCCGCACATCCCATAGGCACACGATCTCCCTTTCTTGCACTTCTTAAAGCAACCTCCACAATGTCTCCTATCAAACATTGGGTTTACACAATATCCGTTGCAACAAATCTCCGAGTATTGACAGCTTTTTCCACATCTTCCGCAGTTCAACTTGTTAGTCCTCAGGTCGACGCATTTCTTACGACAACAATTACGACCTGGACTGCCTTTGAGACGACATACTTTGGAGCTTTTGTCACATGTCATTGTTGCACCTACAGGTTTCCTACCTTTGTTCCTTGCTGAAGCGGCTATCCCCCAACCATGTTTGTGTTGATGTTTCGCCTCAACCGTTGGCGATTCGCTAAATGTTATAGCAATGGCTAAGACAATTATGAGCACCATAATGAAATAGGATATCTTGAATGTATTCATTCTTCTTGTTGTGGATCTTCTTTTAAGAAATCAAAGGAAGAAATTGAAAAACAAAATGTTTAGAATTTGAGATGTATTTGCAAGTGTTTGTATGTGTATGGATATTTTTAGATGAAGAGTAATGAACGACGTGAATGGTATTTATAGACGAGAAGAATGATGCATAGGTCAACGAAGAAGTTCTTTAAAAATTAGGTCGTAATAAGAAAAATATTTGACTTTTTAAGACTCTTTTAGTGGAGTGGTCAATTAAATTCGAAGAGTTTGGATTTCAGAAGAGTAAAACGAGTTAGGCTCGCGAAGAATTTTTTTAATAAATTTCTAAATTAGGCAGAACAAAAGTGGAACACATGAAATTCATTTTATCATTTGGCAATAAATAATGTTTAGCTATAATATCAATTACATATAGCTTCAAGTATATATTTGTTAATGTGATTTAGTATCAACGATATTTTGGAGACAAAAAATTCTCCAAAATATCCAGAGACAAAATAAGGAAATAAATTTAAAGAGGAAATATCTAGATATTTTGCAAAGAATTATAACACCATGAGATATTCAAGTTTAATAATATCTAGAGACGAAATAAAAATAAATAATCTTTTTGCTAAAAGTTATTCCAACTAGTATTGTAACGTCTCGATCGCGTCCGTTAGTGATTTTTTTCACTTCCTGATCCTGACAATCCGATCACTTAGTTCAAAAAGCTCAAAGGATTTATCTACTAATTTTTATAGAGTACCCATAAGTATTATAAGTCCTGAAAGTTCCATAATCCGGTAATGAATGCTTGAAAATTGTTAATATTGACAAAGTTTTTTTCTTTTTCTTTTTTAATATTGACAAAGTTAGTTACAGATAAGTAAAGACATAATAAAAAAACGGTTTAATTATATATGTAATGTAATACGTTTTATGATATGATATTTTTTTTATAGAAAAACTACTCTTGTTATTGTTAATTCGATTACAAACAATCAATTAAATTATAATGTTTTAACGAAGTATTGTATATTCTATATAGAGGTTTAGGAAGATATTTTTTAACAGTGTTTATCCATATGAAACTCCACTATCCGAATTAATCCAAGTCTTTTTGTTGTACACACTTTTAGCCTTTATGTGCTTAGTTTGCATTCTTTTTTGTCAAAAGGTTAGACATTGACATTTTTTTGAAGCGTTCATATTTTATAATTGTATCAATCATATCTATGAAGCAAATAATAAATTTAGAACTAAGAAAAATATATAGGAGAGAAAAAGGTATGAGTACAAATGTACAATACAAGACTTTCCGTGATACACGGTACATACATATTTGTTCAAACTTGACTAAATTCAGTTATGAGAGCACTCGAGTAGGCGTTGACACTTGGCTTTGTGGTTTAAATTCAATGAATAATAATGTATTTGGGACCCTAATATATTTGCGAATTTTAAACAAGTACAAAAAGTCCCTTCAAGGACATTGCTACAATTTAAAGTTCGGACTGTGACACTGGTTAAAATCCTTAATGAAATTCTTATGATTTGTTGATAATAAAGTGACTGAGTTTTTAAGTGGAGAGACATATGGATTGTTAAATGTACGTTGGATTTAGAAGCATGAAAGATTTAGAGAACAACTTCAACCATGCACTCATTAAAACTCAGACCTAGAATTTAGCAATATAGGAAAGACTCATGGTTGAAACTAGTGGTAACTGTGTGCCAAAAAATTCAAAATGAAAACAACGATGTGTGTTCAGTTTTCAACAATTCACCCTTATCGTTCTCACGAACCACTAGTTTCATTGCTCTAACGTGATTGTGATTTCTATTTCATATCTCTTATGAAAGTTATCTATTCACAATATCTGATATTAGATAAATATCTCACAATAGCTGTAATACACGAAACGTGAATCTTTTATTCAAATAAAAGCTGGTATAAGAGCACTCGAGTACGAAGGGGTTGACTCTTGGTCTTGGATGGATAAACTAGTCCAATTCCAAATAGTATAATTTTGTGCTAAAAATGTCACCACATCCACATGTATCAATCCCAGGTTCAACTCCTTGCAATGGATTTTTTAGTTGATTTTTTTCTTTTTTCTATAAAAAAATTGCAAACAACAAAAAGCATAATCCACAATATAATGCAGGTCCTTCAAAATAGTCAACGTGACTTTGTCTAAAATGTTTAATTCTTACACTATTGTATTCTATAGCTCCGGGTTCAAAACGCAGCGTATTTTTAATTTTTAATAATTTTTGTGATTTGTTTTTTAAATTGGAATCGAAACGCAGCGTCTCAGAGTCCTCTTTCTCTCTCTCCCACAAAGCTGTGACCAGAAGAACCAGAAGTGATTGTTCGATGAACAAAGAACACGTGGCGGATTCTACTATGTCAGCGGCGATTGATGGCGTGGCGGCTTTGAGATCGGTGTTTCAGCGGGTAAACCAGGCGGCGGAGAAAGCGGGTCGTATGTCGGATCAGATACGGGTCGTAGCGGTGAGCAAGACGAAACCAGTTTCTCTGATTCGCCAAGTCTACGACGCTGGTCATAAGTCTTTTGGAGAGAATTATGTGCAAGAGATCATTGAGAAGGCACCTCAGGTTCTCTGCTTGCTAAGATTTCTACGAATTCCTAAAAATTGAAACTTCTTGATTGAAAGAGTCTGAATTTAGATTGATATATGCAGCTTCCAGAAGATATAGAGTGGCATTTCATTGGGAATTTGCAGAGCAACAAAGTGAAGCCTTTGCTATGTAAATTGATTTTTCAAAGTCTTCTTTTCTTACTTAGTCTCTCTCTGTTGAGTGTGATACCGAGTCTTTTTTTAATGTCTTTGGTATGTTCTATTCTTCATTCTTTGATTTGGTTGATTAGCTGGAGTTCCTAACCTTGTGATGGTGGAAAGTGTTGATGATGAAAAGGTAAACATTCTCTCTTTGTATATTGAAAGACAAGGGTTTGTCATTTGGTTTGTAAATGTTCTAGAGCTCTTCGAGGTGTTAAATGACAAAAACATCATCATCTTTGGATAGTTGAATCTATCAAATAGTATTTCATTGAACGTTTGTGGGTAGTGGGATGGAAAACTCTTGGGTTCGTGGATGGATGTGATGATAGTAAAATATGCTTTGAGAGTTTGATAAGTTCAAACCATACTACTTGAGGAATATACGTGTGACAATCACTGATTTTTGTTTAATTACATTTGCTTCTTAGATAGCAAATATGCTTGATCGTGTGGTTGGAAATATCGGTAGAAAGCCCTTGAAGGTCTTGGTCCAAGTGAATACCAGTGGCGAAGAGTGTGAGAATCTGGAATTTCTTCTTTAACATCCATCTCAAATGTTTTCCCACTTTCACGTTTCTTAATGATATCTTAACTAAAACTTCCAGCTAAGTTCGGCGTGGAACCCTCAGGATGCGTAGGACTGGCGAAACACGTGAAGGAAGCTTGCTTGAATCTTGAGTTTTCTGGTTTGATGACAATAGGGATGGTTGATTACACTTCAACCCCAGAGAATTTCAAGGTTATATAATCTGGTTTGAAACTTTAATGTTTGGTAACGCTAAAAGGAGCTCACTTTTGTTTCTTATTATAAGTGTAGTTGCTTGCGAAATGCAGAAGTGAAGTGTGCAAGGAGCTTGGAATACCGGAGGAGCAATGTGAGCTATCTATGGGGATGTCTGGTGACTTTGAACTAGCTGTAAGTTGTTGTGATTGTTGATTCGAGTTAAAAATTCTGAGGTCTGCTCAAAATGTTAAGAGTTTTCTTTACGGTTTTGGGAGTTACAGATTGAACTGGGAAGCACAAATGTGAGAATAGGATCTACAATTTTCGGGGCGAGAGAGTATCCTAAGAAGTAATGATGTAAACTACTGAGTGATGAGATTGATTCTATGTTTTAACATCAAAACCAGTTTCAGGGAAGAACAAGAGCTGAGGTTTTAATGTTGGAATCATGTAGATCTTCTCTTCTTCCTTTTTTTTTTTTTATAAAAGAAACAAAGCGTTTTAAAGTCAATAAGAGAAAACAAATATCCAACATGTGTTTATCTTTTGCTGTAAAAGATAAAAATTGTATTAGCAGAGTTTTATTGCAAACGGTTTATTAGCGGAGCCGCTCAACTTGTTTATAATTAATACTATATTAGATCATTGAAAATTTACAAACAAAATTATTTGCTTTTCAAATTGTGAACACCATAAGAAAAATTGTAGATGGCAATATCTTTACGGAATTGTTCCCAGAATGACATTCAAAGCCAAAAAGGTTAAAACATGAAGTGTTAGTTATATTTGTAAAGTAATATCATATCCATATAACATGAAACAATTCGGAAGAAGTCCATTTTTAGTGATATTTATGAAAATTTACTATTTTACCTTAAATATTTTAGATTGGCCATTTCTTACATTTAAAGACACAATTTTACACATTTTGTTAGTTATTCTTGGTTTCATTTTTTTATTTTAGAGTTTAGTGTTTTTTTATTCAATATGTATTTGATATTAAGAAAAAATCACATATGTATAGCTTTTAAAGTGACCAAAAAATGGCAATTCCAAAAAAAATGGAAACAAAATAATAAATCCAAAAGATTTGGACCAAAATGGAAAAATCAACAATATATGAATAAGAGTATCAGTGATTTTTTAATGTAAAAAAATGTCTCATAGGCTCTTAGGTAGATCCCGGCTTTACTGGAGTGCAAAGAAGTGTTTTCTGATACGAATAAAGGCTTGGATAAAAGCCTTTTCACAGCTTCAAGATCTCATGTGATCTAAAGCAGAAAAACAAAAATCAAAACCTTATGAGTAAGAAACAAATCACTAAAGAGTTTAAAAAGCTACATGAAAAATTCTTACTTGCAGAACTGAGGCATCGTTGTTCAACATAGAGAATGAGATATTGACATCCAAAATTTCTCTCCATTTGTTGTACAAATCAAAAACTTAGAATCCAAAGCAATAAGTTAAACGGAAACACAATACTAACCTCAACCACATACATAGAGAATGAGCCAGTGTTTTTTCACATATGAAAAATAAGCTTCCTCAATTGATAGAAACTTGTTTAAAAGCAGTCTTCACATCTTTGTAGCCTCCTCTGATCTAAGATGACAAGAAAAGAAAATAAAACAAATGAAAATCGATTGTCATAATATTTATAAACATTAGACATCATTTTGTACGAAAATCGATTGTCATAATATATTGTGCGCACATATCATTCATACACATCCACATTTAATCAATGTTGTTAGAGTTTTGCAGCAGCCACTCAACAAGTAGGTCATCTCCCAAGCCAAAAGAGAAATTGAGAAAGAGATTTTTTTAACGTTTAAGATTTATACAATTAAGATTTTTACGAATCTTGAGTTTTCTGGATTGATGACAATAGGGATGGCTGATTACACTTCAATCCAAGAGAATTTCAAGGTTATATTGTCTGGTTTGAAAAGGTTATATACAATTACTTTTGTCTCACTAGTATCGTAGCAAAGAGAATTTCATCAGAGTCAACGATATCATCGTCCATATTCTTCCGTTTTACACGCTTCACACTCGGATGTCTTATATGTGTTCATAGCTGAACAGGACTTGCAACTCCATTTTAATTCATCTCTCGAGAAAGACGGTGATGCCATTGCGAGGTTTTCAAGAAACGGTGGTGGAGACAGAGAAAACAGAGAAGTGAAAGATTTGACAAGAGAGACGTTAGTTTTAGATATCGTGAGACCTAAGTTTTATTTGAATTAAAATATATAATCGAAATAAAAATATGAGCTGGCAATCACAACGGTCGTAATTGTTACTCCCTTCAAAATACTTGTTAACATTTAAGTCACCGTTTAAAATTATTAAACACAAAGAGATTTTTTTAACGTTTAAGATTTATACAATTAAGATTTTTACGAATCTTGAGTTTTTAATGTTGGAATCATGTAGATCTTCTTTTTTTTTTTTGCATTCTATTTTGTGATGTTGCTTGTAAGTTGAAACCAAGGTACATTATTACTAATTTTCAAATTTCATGGATATAATAAATAAACACATGAAAGACAAAAGTAAACAACATCTGATGAAAAAAAAAAAAAAAAGTAAACAACATCTTGTCTTTGCTACGATACTAGTGAGAAGTAGTTAAAAGGTTGTGACTACATATTTTTTTGCTTTGAGAGCTCTGCTAACTAACTTCTCATCATTTCAAATATGATTCAAACCCAAGTTGATGATCATCTATAGTGGACTCTGCATCTAACCATATGGTTCTACTTAAAAAAACATTTGATTTAGTGTGAAAGGATTATGGGTTTAAGCCCAAATGAAAATAAAAGCCCAGATTAAAGTAAAAGCCTTAAGAGAAAACATGAACATTGCAGGAGGAGTTGAGTTTCCGATGAGATATCTCTGTTTCTCTCCTCCGCCTGTAAGAAGTACCGATTCGACGCTCATGTAGAATAAAAGATTGTTCTAATGGGAGAGACAGAGAAATCGACTCCTAAGGATTGGTAAAGCTCTAAGGAACAAACAAGGATTTGATTCCATCATTCCGTGAGGTACGTCACTGTCATTTTTCTATCATTCTTCTGTGATTGTGTTTTGCTTTGACGAAATTCGTTATATTTTGTTCGAGATAATCATTATAATCTGGATAGAGAGTTTTAAAGTTTTGAAATTACCATTTCGTTAATGGAAGTTTTACTTTTTTTGTGATTGCTAGGCTCAGCTCGAGTCGGTAGTAGCTCAGCTCGTGTACAATCTAGGCTAGGCTTAGATTGTATATTATTTAAAGAGAGAGACAAGAAGACAATGTTGAAAAGAGATCGCTCGAGTGTTGTTGGATCGAAAAGACATGGATCAAGTGTGGTTTTGAAACGACATCGCTCCAGTGTTGTGGAATTGCTACCACACGATGTTGTTGAGCTCATCCTCGAGAGGCTTCCTGTGAAACCTCTGCTGAGATTGAAGTCTGTATCCAAGAGGTGGAAATCCACAATCGAGTCCCATCGATTCAAGGAGCGACAGTTTATCCGTCGTAAGCAATCCCGAGGTATAGATGTCCTTTTCGTGTCCCTTGGTGATGATGAAGCTCGAAGCATGAGAATTGTGTTGGGGTCGTCCATTGTTTCGACGGTTAGGTTCCCTACTTCGTGCACCGTGTTTTGCCATGGTAGTTGTGACGGACTCTTATGCCTCTACAGTCTCAATGATCCGAGTTTCGTGGTCAATCCCGCCACTAGATGGCATCAAAGTTTTCCTCTTTCCAGCTATCAAGAGCTCATTTTCGACAGGTTAAAGATGAAAGGAGCGCTTGACATCACATGTGCCAAGCTTGGATTCGGTAGAGACAAAGTAAGGGGCACATACAAGCCCGTTTGGTTGTATAATTCATCTGAATATGGCCTAGAAAACATTACCACTTGTGAAGTTTTCGACTTTAGCTCCAACGCTTGGAGGTACCTTCTCCAAGCTTCTCTTTATCGGATTCGTGGTGATCATTACCCAGTGTATTTAGAGGGGTCACTTTACTGGTTCACTGAGTGTGAAGAAACCAAGGTTTTATCTTTCGATCTTCACACCGAAACTTTTCAAGTCATCTCAAAAACTCCTTTTCCCCATGTGCGTGACCCTGAAGACTTCAACATGTGCATCCTCGATAACCGCTTGTGCATATCTGAGAAAAATTGGCCCACCCAAGTCATATGGTTGTTTGATTCTTCAGGCGGCATGGAGCCATGGAAGAAATTGTGCTCGATAGATCTCACAGAAACTATTTCTTTGTATGGGAAAGCCGTATCCAGACTCTTTCCAATAGCAATTCTGGACAAGACTAAGTTATTACTTCATAGTCGTTCATACTTGCAACCAGCGGTGATATATGATCTCCAAACCAAGTCTTATGGTGTACTTTTCACACCTACCACACGCGGAAGTAGTGCTTTTTATTCCCAAAGTCTATTCTCTGCTTTATCAAATTAATTTGTGTCTTTTCTTATCGTTGTACTGATGAATTATTTGTAAATTGTTTTACTTAGTTTAGATACTCTTGTTATTAGAAATTAGTGCTAAACTGCTAATGTTACATGCTACTTAGTACTTAGGAGTAGTTAACCGGTTGTTGTGTAGTATTTTTTAACATAACTTGTATTCCTACGAAGAGGTAAAACATGGTTAAAGGTAATATGTTTTATATTAATCGAAACCAGTTTCTTCAGGCAATTATACAGAGAAAATTTTAACACCAAAACATGATTCCAAAGTAAGAAAATTCATGAAGAATGATCTTAGTTTTTACTAAGAGTCACATATAAGTTATGATTCATAACCCTCATAAGGGACGTCTGTAATGTATCAATGCTATTCTCTACTCTATGTATACTCTCTGTTGCTTGACCTACACGATAGGTTATCTTTCTCAGTCTGTACCCTCAAAACTTGCTTACAATGTTGCAGAGTTATAAGGTTGTGTTTGTTGATGATCCTATTAGTCCTTCACTCACAATGCGCATCGCAGCTTCATTCGTGAACTTCCTTGCAAAGAGAAAGCATGGGACGGGTTTTGAATCCGCCTTACACCATTCCGTCCGAGATTCAGACTCGTAATAGACATGGTCTATTTTCTGTCCCAAGAAAAGCAAAAGAACTAGATAGATTACTTAGGGATTCATTCGGTTGTGATATTAATCCTCTGAACAAAAAGATTGTACCTTTATTTCTTTTATTTCCTCAGGACCGGAGTTTTCCAATGTGAAAGTGACGGGATGCCAAGATTTGGCTTCATATTTTGTGCCTGAAACGTTCCATACAGTGTATGTCACTGTTCTTCGTTCCATTTCACTCTCTAGCCCTTGCATCTGAAACGATCAGTTTGGATTACATAACCAATATGGAACTTTTTAGATGGAAACAGAAATGGGAGAGATTTCTATCAGATAGGATTACCGTAAGCAATGTTTGCACATAGTGTTCATCGGGGATGCAGTTGCGCCGTTTCTGTTTCTGAGTTCACATCAAACGTAAAACAAAGTTTCACCATTTGTTTAAGAAAGAAAGAGATTAATCAATGGAGAGAAGTATTCATAGACTACAGAATAGACGCAATTGAGATTGTTTTGAAACCAACACAAAGAATCAACATAATCAATTCAGGCTGCTATTAAATGAAAAATGCCAACTTTGAAATAGCACTTACAAGAAACAACCATGCTTCATTGGTACCTAAAGGTGGACATCTCTGCAAATCGAAAGAGAAATCAAGAAATAAGTTATAGTTTCTTCACCAACACAGAATCAAAAATAGAATCAAAGATTGACATTACAGTCACGAGATGAATATACATAAAGCTTAATCTTTACCTTGCAGAATTCCTTAAAAACTGGGAATACGATACTATCATTTACAATGACCTCTGCATGACTTCTGATCAAAGCTATCCACTGCAAGAGATAAAACTAAGATAAGATTAAAAACTTCATGAACTGCAAAGGAACCTCTTGTCCCTCTTATCCTGATGCTTAACTTTCCAGAAGAATCTCAGGCTTCAGAAGCAATTAAATTCAGCAATGTTCGTTGTTCGTTTGATAAGCAAGAAAATGAAGATACCTGGGATCCTTTTCGCCATTTCTCTTCAGGTATGACAGGAGACATTTTCACACTGTACCGTGTCTCTTTAGTATGAAGAAAACTACAAATAGAGAGCAACAAACATAGTTATCAACATCTAGACAGCTCCTCCTATAAAATACACCAGTTAATCAGGCCATACATGTCAAGTAGTTCCACAGACATATTTACAAGTACTGAGAAACCTCATAAATTCAAACTCTCAATTTACCTATCCACAAAACTCCTTGGAGAAGAGATAAGATATCTGTATATATAGCCAAAGTCATATAACGGAGCACATCTACAGAACAGAAAATAGAAGCATATAAGGTATGGTCAGACTCAGACATAAAAGAGGGACATGCTAAACCTTAATAATGAAGAAGAACATGTATGCAAAATGTCAATGAGTAATGCTGAAAGAAGCAAACCTGTCAGAGAGAAGAACAAATCTTTGATTCGAGTGATCCTCTAAAGCAGATGCAAGCAACAATCTTTCTGCTGCAATCATGCTTGATTCTCCCCATACTACCTATAACCATAACATACCCTAAGTTTCACTATAAAAAACATCAAATGGAGAAATTCTCATGAACACTCACCTTAATGCTATCGTTCAATTGGCGATTGTAGAAATACTGTGATCGTGTAGTGTCTTCACTGAACACGAAACCAGGTAATGAATGTATATAAATTGAGAAATTCGCATGATCCACACCCTGCAAAATCACCAGAATCAGCAAATTTTTCAAAATTTAGAAAAACAGACAAGTAATAGGACTAAGAATCTTTTGACCTTGAAGAATCTATCCCACATAAAATCAAGTGGGAGATCACGGCGAGCTAAGAAAAGGAAAGCGAGCTTGGGACGATCACCGGAGTATTTGTGAAGCGGAGTATGAGATCTCGCGACGGAGAGTGGCGACGGCAATGTCGTGACGGAATTGTACTGTAGTTGGATTCTGAGAAGAGCAAGAAGGCAAAGCGCGACGGAGAAAGCGATTACGAGCTTCCATCCAAGCCACACGACGCCGCCGCGACGTGACAATGGAGGCTGAATCTGCGGCTGCGATTTCCTCGTCATTGTGCGATCGATCACTCACCGTCGAAAGATCAACATTCGAGTAACAGAAACGAAAAATCAGAAGCCTTTTAGGGTTTTTGAAGTCAAAAAATTTCAGGAGAAACGGAAACTGAAATTTTTTGCAATTAAAACATTTTGGATTTGAGAGAAGAAGGTAGACGATGATGGTAGTTCGACGTATAAACTTGTAAACGACGTCGTAAGCCACGTATAACGTTTAAGTTAGGAGGGACCCACGTTTATTTAGAACATCATTAAATTGTTGTCCGAAATTGATATTCAACTATGAATATGTCAGAAAATGGTAAGAAAATGATACAATTTGACTAGGAATATTAATTATTTTCCTTCTAAACAATTACAAAAAAATACCTTAAACTAAAACATTTGGAAATTAATGTATTTAAGTATTTTACAATTTTTATACTACAATTTTATTTGCTTATGTGTTGTTGTCATCACCAAGTTCATTGTAAGGTAAAATGTTAATTTAGATGAGAAAAAAAGTTAAAACAGAGTCCAAGAAAAAGAATGCTTCAGATTATTTGATGATCCAATATACAAAATCTACGGCTACACATATTTCACTTCATTTTTGATTCAAAATATTCCTTCTGCTCTCCAAATAAATGATGCAAAATACAAAACAATGCAAAAGAAGATTACATCAAATACATATGCCGAAAAGGATTGGCCTCCAATTCAAAAGTCGAAAAAATTACATCAAAAATCCCATTTCAAAAAAGGAATCATTGTTTTCAAGAGACGCTTGTCTCTTTACATATATATATCACAGCAAAAGCCAACTACAATAGCCATGGCTTTAACAATCCTACAAAATCTGCTGTCAATCCTACAACAACAAAGCTATAGAGCTTTTAGCTGCGATCTAGCAATAATGTCTCCACTTCTTTCAGAGCTTGTTCCACTGCATAGATCACCATCTTTTTTATCTGATTTACATGGCGAAGATTAAAACAAGATTCAACAACAAACAAAACTATATTCATTGACAAAAGTTGCTGAATCCAAAATTGAAAACATCGAAAAAGAATCACCTCAAGTTTGTCTTCTCTGGCTTTATGGTTCTTAGGGAGTTGTCGAAACTCATCAGTCAAACGGAGACACTCATCGATGTTCTCTGGGGATACAAAATCAACAGCTACCTTTGTGCAAGACTGTTCCAAAATCCGCATTAAGTTAAAGATGATGAGAAAAAGTTAGTTAATAAGACAGATTTCATTCAAATAATAACCTTGAGATTTCGAACTTGATGAGGACAACCCGCGGGAATAAAAACTGCTTCTCCTAGCTTTTGCACAAATGTCCATGGCTCAATCCCTTTAATTCAAACAGACAACAAAACATATGATAAAATGTCAATAACCCGTGAAGCTAACAGTTATTACAGTTACAAGTAACCATACCAAATTCTGCCTTGAGTTTTCGTTTATGCTCCACGGTTAAGAAACATGTTTGATCATGTATCGGATGATACACCTAACATAAAGAATCCTATCAGCACAATAACCTCGAGTCTCGTTAATGAAATTGTTTCGTAAATTATTTCTTACCTTTGTAACAGGAGAGCAAAAAGTATGTCTGAATTCTTTGCAATGCTTCCTTAGATACTCTTCAAGCTTAGGAACATCTTCTCTTCTAAAGATGTCCCAAAGTGCACCACCTGTTTCATCATATATCACAATCTCATCACTCACAACCTCTTCTCCCTCTAAACCATTTTGCTCCTGAAGCTCTTTCTCAATCTGTTGCTTATGTTTCTGTTTCAAAGCTTCAATTGCAAACATTTCCTCCTGAAGCTCTTTCTCATTCTGTTCCTTATGTTTCTGTTTCAAATCTTTAATTGCAGACATTTGCTCCTCACTTAGTGTTACTTCAGTAGTATGCATCAGAATATTAACCTACAAAACAAAAACCGTTATATACTTGAAAACCCATATTTATATATAACAGTACTATGTAACAATTCTGAAACTTACAGCATCTGACATATCACAGTGAAGCTTAGTGACTGAATCGCCTCTACCGAGCTCATCTGAAGTCCCATATGCAATGTAGGTTTTTGGACCAAGATCTGGTTTAAGAAGTCCTTCAGGAAGTTTTGTAGCAATGTTGAGAATTCCGGATCTAGGATCGCTGTATTCTTGAAACGGTAATGCGGAAATGAACTCATCGCAGTGACGAGGTAAAAGGTTTTCAAACTTGTCTGAAGGAGGCCAATCCTTCAGCTTCAGCATCTCAGGCCAGAAGTTATCATATCTTCTTCCTTTGCTATATCCTTCAAAGAAACATCGAGTATTGATCTTCACCTGATATAACAAGAAACAAAATGAGCTTTGGAACCTCTATTACGGCTATAGAAACTTTATAAGAAAATGAGTTTCTACCTCACAATTAGCTAAACAATCGATAGCTTTGACATCAGACATCGTAGAGCTACTTGCTGAATCAACATTCTCACATAAAGCCCGCCACATCACCATTGGCTCCCAGCTTAAACCAGCTGTGTTGTTAAGAGCATTTCGAACAATCACTGGTTCACCTTTAGACCAATGCTCTTGGAAATGCAGAAGTTCTTCTTGCTTCAGGACATCAAAAGAATCAGGAGAGTAGAGGTAATTGTCACTGGATTCGTTCCTCGAAGCTGTCCTCCTCTTCATACTCATCTCCATATCAGAAGAACATCTACAATATGACATTGGCGGATTGATACTATAAGAGGCTAAGAATGTTTCTGCCTTTTGCTCCAAATCTGACATCCAAGTCACCGGTAGGATTCGCTTAAGCTCCAACACAGAGTCACCGCAACCGCCTAGCTCTTTTGGCGCACACGGTATGCTTCCATTTTCATCAGCATTCCACTTAATGGATGGATTTGTAGTTTCATCCTCAGAAACAGAAGAAGAGCTCGGTTCTGCATCTTCGCCATGTACATACCGGCTCCCTTTATACTCGAATTGTAGCTGACATTCCCGGCGTTCTGAAAGCCAACCTCCACGGATCTCTTGGCAACAGTTGAGACAGAGTTCATAGGAACACTTTGGACAGCTTCGATGCAAGTCAACAATTGAGGTTGCGCAATGGTTACTACAGCAAAAATGACATTTCAGTGATATATAAGATAGATGTCATGTAACTCTTTAAACACATGCAAAAGAATGATACTTACCAGAAGACACGCTCTTCATTTGAGCATAGACTCTCGGATATATCAACTTGAGATGCCACTAATCCTATAGAACATATCAACATGTTATCTTGTAGCAAGAAAAATCTTGTCTAAGTAGTAAAAGGGAGATCTATATATACCTTGAACCTTAGCCTCGGTTTCGATTTCTTTATCTTGTGCTTTGCATAACTTTTTCAAGAAAGGAAGCATCGCCACAATCAAGTATCGAAGATGATAAAATCTTTCGTACTTATCGAGCTTTCTCTTTGATGTCTGCAAGACAAACAGATACATCTCTATTCACACCAAAACAAAAATCGAACTTGCGATTCTTGATCTATATAATACAACCACATATTTTGTTAAGAATACAATCATACCTCGATTAAACCACTTGAGTGCAAACATGTGCAGCAGTTGCAAGTTCCGCGGCAAAAGGGACATTTATCAAGGACATCATCCGTGGACAAATGGGGATACCTGTCACGAACCATAAGATTGTATTGACGATAATGAAACCTATAGACAATGTAATTAAAATATGAGAACAGAAACTAACCATTTCTTTATACATGGAAAACAATACAACCTCTCTTCACAAAAGGTGCAAATGAAAAGATATCTTCTTTCCCCTTTAGAGCATTGATGGCAAATTGCAAGCTCTCCCAAATCTGCCTGTGTAGGAAAGAAAAAACAAACATGAATTCATCACAGAATGTTTTCTCTCATTGGGTAAGAACAAGTGCTACCTTTAAACTCCTAGTCATGCTTCTGCAGTCATTAAAATACTCGGTTTTCAGATGAGAATCCGAAAGTTCAGACTCAGAACGCGAACTCGAAGCGCTAACATCTATCTCGTTTCCAACTAACCAAGCATCCCCACTGTCTGCATTCTTGCTTCTGCTACGAGATGTTGCCTTGATGAAAGGAACTAGTTGGAGTTCTTGTTCGCATTTCTTTTCATCATGATCGACAACTTCTTCTTCTTTCCATGTAGTTGCTCTCTTTTTTACAGAGCTCCTCTGCTTCTTCTCCTTTTCTTCACATTTCTTCTCATCATCACATTTCCTCTTTCTTGAAGATTTCGCTTTAATCTCATCAGCTTTAGAGCGTTTCCGTCTTTGATTAGCCACTGGTTTCGGACATTCCACACTACTCTCTTCTTCTATATCTGATGAACCGCTGCTAAGACTCGTTGCCTCAACCGGTTTCTTCTTCTCCGGCCAACAAGTTTTCAGTGAACTATCCTTTACACCATTACGCTTGCAATTTACTCCATTAGCAGAAACTATATCATCCATTTTCTCAATTTCACCTGCCAATTCCAATGTCAATAACCAAATCGTCAGACAATTCAAATTCAGACTCAATTCAATTTGAATCAATACACAGGCTTTAAAACCCTTAACATAACAGAAACAAAACCAAACAGAGAGATTAACAAGAATCAAGATTCAAGAACAAAAGAAAAGTAGAACCTCCAACAAACAGAACTTGACGAATCCGATAAAGAGAAAATATCGGAGATTCAGAACAAGAAGAAATGAGAAGATGAAACGACAGAAACAAAAACAAAGAAACATGTCAGAGAGAGAGTAGCATCATCACCTTTCTGATTATTAGCTCAGACAACAAACCCAGACGAGGTTCTTCCTGGACAACCCTAGATTCCGGTGAGCAATGAAGAGCTTTTGAGTCCGAAATGAAAGAAAGAAAAAAGTTAACGAATCGCGCCCAAGTTTCCTGATTCAGTGAAACAAAGAAGAAAGATATGTCCGAAATGTTGTTCTTTAAGAGTTTCTGAGAAAATTAAAAAAAAAGAAGTACAAAATTTAACAGTCAAAGAACAAACGTTTTAAAGAGCGCTTCTAAAGTAGCTTACTAGCGACTGTTTCGTAGTACCTTACGTTTGGATATGAGTGACCACGCGCTCTTCAATCGCGCGTGACAGTTTTAGAACCGAAGCACCGATTCGCTCTCAGTCACATCCACCGAAGCTTTTTAATTTTTGAAGCTTTACTCCAAATTAATCATCGAAGTACACGATATGGATAAAATCTTACGCATAAATGCAGATTTTATACTTAAAAGAGTTATATGACAGATATGTTAATATAGTTGAAAATAAAGAAATGTATTTTTTTAAAAAAAATTGGTCAACAAATATGTTATTTTGATTGGCAAAAGAAGAAATGTTATTTATTTTCATTTACTTTGCCAGCACAAAGGAAATATTTTTTCTTAATACGTGTTTGTATAAATAAGATGGAGATAAACATTTCAAACTGTGTACAATACTACAATGATCTTAATTTTGATATAAAAAGCAAATACGACTCACCGTTCTACATTTATGAGTAATTACTAGTATTTTTTTTTTTGCATTTACTATTATGGTGGTCAGACATTTTTTGAATTGTTAGCATTTAGGGAGAAAATTTAATCTTTTTATAAAGAAAATATCTACAATAAAGTGTTGAGTAATCAAAAGAGACTAAGGAGGGGTTATTAGTTCATGGATTTATAAGGAATTAGAAATCCAAACAAAAATCATTTGTTATTCAATCATTGATTTTAAAATCCTAACTAAAATCATGTGTTATTGGTTCTATGAATTATAAATACTAATTAAAATCCTTTGTTATTCGTTTAGTCATTTGTTTTTGGATTTGAGAATCCAAATTATGTTTTAAATGGATTTGAATGGAATTGAAAGAGTAAAATAGAAGGATTTAAATCCATGGGTAAACACATGTTATTTCAAAATCCATATATTTTGATTTCATAATTAATAGAGATTTTCAAATTCTATATAGATTTACAAATTAATAAACCAATAACACCCCCTAAGTGTCCTGTAATTTTGCCGGTATATTAAAGGAGGTTTATCTACTAAAAATGGAAACTAATTTCGATGCTGTGTTTATTGACAGATGTTTGGTTTTTCAATGGTTGAGCAATAAGGAGATAGATTCCTTTGCATTGGCTTGTTTTTCCTCGACAATTGTTACAAACATATCTTCAATTGAATTTCAGAAAACTATTTTTTTAACTTACTGAAACCAACTCAAAATTCTCATAATATACAAAATCTGACTAAATAAATAAATTAAAAAAAAAAACTAAAATATTCAACATGTTAATTCTGATTCTTTCTATACCGTATAAACCCAATCCCGGTTTAAGTGAATCAATGGGTCTCGTTATCACTTTGATGGTGGTGAGCGCGAAGAACCGCGGCTAGCATGGCTAACCGCCGGTGTATTTATCCGGGACTGACGTTTAGTCGGTACAGTAACACACTCATCATCCGAATCTTCGATGCAATAACCGGATATTTCATCAAACCGGCTATCTTCATAGTCATTATCTTTGAAAACCGGATGAATATATGCTTTCTGAAGATACGGTTTCAGATTAAAGTTGGGTTCTCTTGCTCGTTCCAATGTATCTTTCACCATAGCTTCCTGCAAACCGAGCCTTATGATATCAATAACATATACTTAACCAAAACAAAACCAAATAGAGTTACTTAACAAGTGACAAAACCTCTGTTTTTGAATTTGGTTTTAGTAACAAAGTGAGATTTTTATCTACTAACCTTCAAGGGGTGACGGAGGAATGCTGGTTCATACCGGCCTTTGCAGAACCGGTGGAAGAAAAAGGTTAGGATCGGTAAGACGAGGAGGAAAGGCGTGGATTGAGCAGCTCCCTTAGTGCTCAGTAGTCCCATCAAAAGGATTTGCGAGATGATCAATGCTGATATTATACGTCCATGAACATCTGGCCAGAACCTAGCCGCGCTTTCGTATTCTTGATTGTACACATTTATGATCTGCGAAAAGGAGAAATCAGCAATACAAGAAAGTTCAAGAAGTAGAGAAGGATTTGTATGATTGTGTTATAGCTCAGTCAACAACCAAAATTTAAGGAATCTTGAAGATGTTAAAAGAAGAAAGCGAGTTTGTTTTACTAACCTGATGACGAAAGACAAGGTAAGCCAATGCGAAGAAGATTATAATGAAAGGGAGTAGAACTGGAGTCACAGGGGCGTAGACAAGACCGAGGAGGAAGTAGAGTTGAATCCGAGGCTCTGTCGCATGGTAATAAATCTGTCCCGGGTTCATTGCTTCTTCTCTATCCTTTTCGGTTTTCACCAATAAGGAGTTCTTTATATGGAAAAAGATAAGAGGTTTCAGCCTCAGAATCTCCCCTGCAATACCCGCCCAACCGTCCACCATTATATATGTGATAAAAAACGTTGCTTTTATCGGTATCGCTACTCCAACCGTCTTAGGAATCCTAACAAGTGACAAGTACAACAAAACATAAGCTCGAGGATCTATAATTGTTCCAATATAGACAGAGAAAGAGAAAAGGGAACTTACTCCCTTGCGGATTGTTTGAGGAAAGACTCGAGCTGTTCAAATGCAGAGCCCGCGATTATGCTTCCGAGGAAGACATTGATGAGGTTAAAGATATAATATCGAAAAGCCGCTCTTCTCTCTAATGATGATAGCGATACAAACCCTTCGAACTTCGACATTACCATCAAAATGCTTGGCAGAAATATTAGAAAGAGCTTCAACACGATACCCGGAAGAAAACCTTGGATAACCGATTTAACAAGATCCCTGCAAAACATAGCAAATTCAACATCCAATTCATACAAGTAGGCAATACAATGGAGAGAGTGAGACACAGAAACATTACTTCTCGATGATGGATTTGAGGAAAGGAGCGTATTTCTCAATGCCTTCGATGCTTGCAAGGGATTGAACAAAGGCTATTGGAATCATGAAGAAGAAGGTGAGGAAGAAGAATGCAATGTGCATTATAAGTCTTCTTACTGTTAAAGAGACATAAGGTATTGCGAGGTTCGACCAAAACACTTCCCGCGCCTCGGGAGCCCATTCAGTTAACCATTCGGTCGGATCACTCGACTGTTGAGTCTGTGCACAAACCGCAGCACCCCACCGTGTTTTAAACGAGACAAAAGCTGCTGGCATTACACTTGTATCATCTTTCCTTACTTTTTTCCTCTCCTCCAATATCTAATCAAGAAACCGAAAAGATAAGTCAAGTTTGATTATTTCCAACTGAGAAACCATTGTAGGAAGAAATGACACTTACTTGCTCGTTTAATTTCTCGATTTCAGCTATATAGTGATCGATTGCGTCAACTTTCTTTCCCCATAGCCCGAGAAAACCCGTCTAGTCTCCCAAAGAAGACAACATAAAACAGATTAGATACAAGACAAGCTTCTTAAGTTTGTGTCTAAGACCACTCAATTACCTTTATCCTTGGCTTATGTTCCTGGTTCCTTGTATACTTCAATTGGTAATAGTCAAGCCAGTTCTGTGTGCTCTTCTTCTGCTCTACTAATGCCGCCAAATCGTTTGCATTGTACACAACCTGGATAAATCAACTTCCATTATTTAAACAAAACCCGGGAAAAAGACCGATCCTTCCTGAGTGATGAATGAGCTCTAACCTGATGCGTAAGATAATGGTCCGGATGGTTAACTAGGAAGAAATGTTCCACACTCTCACTAATGGACTCGTCTGGGTCGGCTGGTACGTTCCTAACCAAAACCTGTGAAAGCAAACTGGCTCAGTCCAAGGTTCTAACATCAGGAAACAAAACTGATCACATATAATAGCTTTACCGTGAACTGATCAGGGCGCCGTTGCTCGTTCTGGAGAAATGCCAAACGCATAGCAGCTACTTTCTCATACTCTTTCATTAGAACATAGCAAGTCCAGAATGTGAATGCATAAGCCATCACAAGATGAGTCCAAAACCTTCAAAAGTACAAACTTTGAAGTCATAGAAGAAAGAAAGAATCATCAAAAATGAGAGAATTTTGGATAATTTGCAAACCTGTCTGATCCACGTTCGATATTCGAGATCGATAACTTATCAATGTCACTAGATGTTACATTACGAAGCTTTGCTAGTTGCAGCCCATCACTAGTCCAATTGACAGGTACAAGAATCGACCACGCAAGTAAAGCTATCGGGACAAAGATCTTAAGCCTGAAAAAAAAAACAGAGAAAACAACAATAAGTTTTTAAGATCAAACTAAGCAAAAGCAACAATCTTTCACAAGCAAATCACAAAAACATTAATACCCTATCAAGTAAATCCTCAAGTAGACAGCAGAATCCAATCCAGCATGGTCAATAAGCTCAGGCTCGGGCATCTTTAGAGCCGCGGGCATCCAGTTCAAGAACCGTAGGTAGGAGCCTAAGTTAACATTGACAAACTTGCTGACAAGAGCACCTGAATGCAAAGGGCTGCTTCTGATACCTTTAAGATACCATTTAGGGAAATAAACCCTATCGTTGAATGGTTGAATCCTCAAGATTGCAAATGCCAAAAGGAAGATGATTGCAGTGAGTATGTTGATTGTTGCTGCTACTCCAATATCTTCTAGTGTTGCCATCTCTTTTAACTCTTAAGCTTAATCTCTATATCAAATTTAAAAATCCCCTTTGGAATCAAATGCTTGCTTCTTCACCTGCAAAATCAATTCAAACCCTTTGAAATCAAAAGCTTCACCTACAAAATATTCAGCCCTAAAATTCATTCAAATGGCGTGTGATATATTTAAAGCTTATGGAAATTTATATTTCTAAGATTAAAAAAGGAAATTGGTAAAGAGGAATTGGTAAGAGAAGATTTTCAGAGCATTCCAAAAATAGTGAAGATTTATGTCTATATTTTAATATCATACCTCTTAATACGTCTCTTGTTCCTCTCATTTTCATATTCCTCTTATTACTCTCATTAACAAAATGAAAAGTATTTATGCACACTAATTTAACAACAGTGACTTCAGAGTTCAAGACTAATAAAAATCTTAATGGAGAAACTAAGTGATTTCAATTAAACTCTTGATCAAGAGACCCAAAACCCAGAATAATGATTTTGCAGTTACGTCTCTTATTGACAAAGAAATACCCTTTTCCTAAAATTTATGTAGAAGCAATCTAATTTATACTATAGATTACAGAGAAATTAACAATTGAAGGAGAAAAAAAAAAAAAAATTTAGGACAAATCTAGAAAACCAAATTAACGAAGTAAGAGATAGTTACCTTAGATTGTCTGTCACTCTTGTAGAGAAGCTTGAAAAGTAATCACCAGCTCTTTAGGAAACAGAGAGATCGATCTTCTTACTCTTTGTACATAAACCCAGAAAAAAAAAAGGAAGAGAAGAATAAAGAAGATGTGTCGATTTTTTAGCAGTGGAAAACGCTGAAAAAACACGGAATTCGAATAAAGTGGGGACGAGGAAGATGAAGTACGTTTATTTAATGTTTGACATCAGACCGTTTATTATTTTTTTGTTCTTTAGCATTGGGTGACGTTGGTCCGCGTATCGTCTCTGTGGTTCTTTCTTCAAGTTGAATTCGTGATTCGTATAGCGTTAAGTTCACTTAAACACCTGTCTTATACTATAATATGAAAAAAAATATCGGTAAGCAAACTTTATGATAATGTAAGGAAAGGCCATCATTATCAATGAATAAAATTCGGAGATTGGTGTTTATGAAAATATGAGAAGTTAAAAAGGAAATAAATCAAAGTGTGATGAATAATACAAGGGTCAGATGACTTAAGAAGATAATCCGTAGATTGTGTTTGTAATTATCAATTAATTAATGCATTGTTATTAGATTTGATCCTAAAATCAGCTAGATGCCACGTGGGGCGGCAACAGTGGTAGTCGCGTACATGCCACGTGGCTTATCCATTGAACGAGAGCTTGTGGAGAATGTCACGCGCAAGTTGGAGCGTGAGTGCACGTTAATACTTTAAAAACAGGGGAAGCGGGAGAATACTGAACGACAGCGTTTCAAAGTCAAATCTCAATTTCTTATTAGTGAAAAAATATATGATTTCCTTTGTTATGGATTATTTCGTTGTAGGGTTAATGGATTAATTGATCTGATAAAACTAAAATATGTTAAATAGTTGGTTGATTTTGGACATTCCTATTCCTAAAAAAGGAAATTATTCCAAATCCTTCAAGGCTACAAACTTTAACTTAAAATCTCAAACCTCTCATCGGTGGATTAATTCCAAATCATTCAAGGATTCTAACTATTGGTGGATAATATATATACACACACATAGAAAACCCTTTTACCAAAAAAATACACACACACATATACAAGACAAGGTTAAGAGCGAGAGAGAAAACTTGAGCAAGCATGGAGATCAAAGTGAAGACTCTAACGGGAAAACAAATCGACATTGACATTGATCCGATGGACACGATTGAACGGATCAAAGAACGAATCGAAGAGGAAATAGGTATTCCTCCTGATCAACAAAGGCTCGTCTTCGTCTACACTGGGAAACAACTTGCTGATGATTTAACCGCCAAACATTATAACCTACAACGTGGTAGTGTTATTCATCTCGTTCTTGCTCTTAGAGGTGGGTTTTCCTCATCGAGGTTTGGTTAGAATAAGACTATGTTTATGTCTATTGTTTTGGTTTTCTATTTTTTTTCTTTTCTTCTTCTGTTGGATTTCCCAATGTTAATTAGTGGTTTTGGTTATATGAAAATTCTGAATTTTGACCTAGTTTTAGAGGAGTTTTTTTTTTTCTGTTTGTGTGTGTTTTAATTGAATTTATGTAGGATTCAGTTAATAAGAAACAAATAAATCTCACATATCATCCGGTTTGGGAAAACCAGAGTACAAATCCAAAAATCTTGGTATTCTCTTCAATTGATCATTGATGTTAATAGGTGGGTTGTGATTCTATGAAATTATGAACTTTGCCTAGATTGATTAGAACAATAAACCTGCAAATAATCCGGTCTGGTAATTCGGAATGTCACACCAAAATCTTGATATTCTCTTCAATCATATAATCAAAAACCATATATCATTACAGAATACTCAACTCGAACGTTTTAAGAGGTTACAAAAATAGGATAAATCGACCCAAAACTGGACGTCAAAAACAAAAAAAAAAAAAACAAAATCATCAAATTTTATTGATTCATGCATGACACATACATTCTTTACATCTTGGGTAACGGTAAACGCTGCGTCCATTAGGTCTAGCGAATACATGTTTTGTCTGTCTAATCGCTTTTCTCACTCTTCGCTCGAACACATTCCACTCAATGGTACTGTTCTTCAGCAATATGTCCGAAAGTCTCCGTTTGTTCGGTCTAATCGTCGGCATTTTCCCTCCTCCGTAATAAATCCGATAACCCGATACAAGAGACGATAACTGACTCCCTGAATCCGTCATCGCAAACGCGTCTGCCGCAGCACAAGCTATGAAATCTAAAGCCGCTAGCTACATATATAAACCAAAGCAAAAAAAAAAAGATTAATATCAAATCGGTTTTTACTTAGGATTTGATGCTTTGTTTTATGTTTTACCTGAGATGAAAAGTTTTTAAATGGTTGTAGTTCGGATTCTGTTAGTAACTTCTCTTTGGTTACTAGATTCGGGTATAAGCTTGTTAACACGGCTAACCGTTTTGATCCTCCATATATGTTTGCACCAGCTACGAAAACTCGGGTTTCACGGTTGAAGCCAAGAGCCGCGAGCATAAGCACTGCTTCTTCGGGTGTTAGTGGACAAAGTCCTTCTGTCCTCAAAACATCCGCAGATCGGAATCTGAATAAAGAAAAGAAACAGAAACAGAGCAATTTAGGTTTAGAATCGAAAATGAGGAAAAGGAAGCTTGAGTTTGAAGTAAAAGGAACAAACTTTTTTTTTTGGTTAAAGTTGAAAGAGATGGAAAGTGTTTTTGGCGGTAAGAATCCAACTCTTTCTGTTCTGTTTCTCCTCCTCCGAAGTAACACAGAGAATGAGCCACCATGTCGATTTCAAACCGTAAATGGAGAGCAAGGTACTTAGAAGAGGAAGAAGAAGTCGCCTCCTCCTGCACAGGAGAATCAGACTTCTTGTCCAAGATTAAGGAAGAAGATTTTGGACCGAGGAGATGTAGATCAAGTGGTGCAACGTAAGATCCGCTGCCCCGTAATCTCCTCACGAGCAATGCCGCAGTTTCTTGAATTCTTGGGACAAAGTTTAGCGCGTGAAAGTTGCATCTGCATCGAAGCCTCTACTTCCAAAAAAGTTTAGATAAAGAGGCTATAATCAGAGATATATAGAAATAAAGAGGAGAGAAAAATTGTCTACCTGTAACTCAAACGGTAATGGATCAAAGGCTAAGCGGTTTCCGAATCCAACGAAATGGATTACTCTGTTCTTGAGTAGTATAGGGAGAATGTGTGTCATATAGAAGTCTGGTTTGGCTTCTTTCATCACTTCTATATCTGTCACCTTAAGAGGTAAAAGTGACAAAACATGAACAAACAGAGAAGAAAGATGAGACTGCCCCAATCAAGATTTGGGGAGAATGTAAAACTCACGACGCTACCGATTTCTTCAAGGTCCAAAGATTGAAGCTCCTTTGGTAGTTCCTTTACTATCCGAATATCGGGCGACAAGTACTCCATAAAATGCTCCTCTTGGTATATATCTCCAAACTGACTATGAAGTATCAAAGTCATCAATATACTATGAAGTTACAAATGTAAAAACTAATTCTTCTGTGGTTAGAAAATGTGAGATAGAGGACGGAGAGCTTACAATAGTTACCTTGCATCTGTCCAAACATCACTTAACATGAATTTGGGAATGACGAGAGCCGCATTGAGCAATCGGGCTACAACAACAATGTTACATACCTGTGAAGAAATCTAATGACTATAGTCTCTAGAGAACTTCAAAGATAAATTAAAGGACAAGAAAAAGAAACTTACAGCAACTCTTTGTTGATTAATCCCTCCGTTTGCAGTTACCATAATATATCCATTTTTGCCATCTAAAAAATCAGGACAAATGAACTCCATAGGAAACAAGCTTTAACCTAATTTGAAAGAGAGAAAAAGAGAGGGAATGAGACCATCAGGAGTCCAAGAACGTTGATCGGCGCAAGGCTTCCACGCCGAAGCTTGTTCCTTAGGCTCCTGCCATAGGTCTTTTGGCTCAAGTTTGTTCTGCTCAAAATCAAACACCATTACAATTACCGTTACCATGCAAACTAGAAATCGGAGTGACAAAACAATGTGATGAAGAACAATTACTTACCTCTACCAAAGCATGAGCAGCCAAACTCAACATTCTACCATAAGTTCCATTATATTTCCTCCTTGGCTTTTCGAACTTTTTACGCTCTTCATTCTGATTCACGCAAAGAAAAGTTAAGATTAAATAAAACTTTAAGCACAAATTACCACCATATTTCAATTATGCAGACACAATTGAGTATGCAATCTTTTTATTGAACTAAAGATATATCCATTATTTTTCTTATTTTCTCTGTTTTTTTTAAGAGATAATAAAAGCTAAAATCTTTTTTTCTTTGTGTGTTAAAATGAGTGTAACGCAAGAAACGTTAGTAATCAAGGAAACATGTCAATCAAGATTACGATCATTGGACCTGTGCAGAAACAAATTTCGGGTTCTCAGAGAGTCCTCTTCGAAGCCAGACCCGACCTTCGTGAAGGCGAGATAGCATGAACCAATTAACAAGGCAAAAGAATCCCAAAATCGCCATAACGCCAATGGCTGTTGTAGCCGTTCTTTGATCGTTACAAGCTTGGATTCTCTTCCTCTTGCATCGCTTTATCGTTTGTTTTGGATTCAGGTCTCCGGAAAAAACGGAGAACCTGGTCGGGCCGAGACGCGGCGAATGAGGCGGTGAACATCCGTAGACACCAAGATCACGTGACTCTGGTCTCTCTTCGTCGTTAGGTCTTTCTTGTCCCATGATCAAACAAAAGTCTCCTTTTCTTGGTCTCTCTCTCTCTCTCCTCTCTGTGTCTGACAAAAAGGGAGAGAGAGACGAAACTAAAGGATGAAAGAAATTGCCATAAATAAGAAAGCGAAAGCTTTGCCGAATTTAACGAAGATAGTGAGAGAGAAAGAGAGAGATTGTTTCAATTTCAGTGTGTCTGTTATTCTCTTCGTTAGTTCGAACATCATTAACGTTTAATCTTGGGTTACTTCTAATTTAGGTACTATAAACATTTTACATACATGTAAAATTAAAGTAATGTGTTGTTTTCCTTTCAAGAAAAATAGCAAATAATAGACCTGTTAAGTGTTAACAAAGCAACCTACCGGTATAAGTTTATATGAAAATGAATTAATAAGTGTATGGGACCTTGTATCTCTAGAACCTACCAGCATTAGGTTTTACTATTTTCTTTTAATAAGGTTAACTGGTAAGCAGAAGGTGGCTTTAACAGTTAACCTCACAAGTAACGATTTGTTGATTTTAGTAGCTTAAGATTTTCCTAATATAACCACAAGTACTTTGTATTAAATTTGGATTCTGACTTTAGAACTTTGTATTAAATTTAGACTCTGACCTTGATGTATATATAGAGCCTACCAGGACTTTTAGTGTGTTTAAACAAAAGTTGGCCTTAAACTAAATTTGTACTTTATAAACACTTAAATTTTGCAAGTAACGCATATGTTGACTTTAGAGTAGCTTAAGATTTTCCTAATAGACCCGGAAAGAACTTTTTCTAGACAGACTCCGACTTTAGATCTTTGTATTAAGTTTAGACCAAGTCGTATAATTATCTTATATGTTGAAGAAACACGAGAGAAATAAACTTAATCGAAATGTTACGGAGACGTATCATTCAAGATAAAACAAGACTGAATGCGAAATTCCAAGGAAGGCAGAAAAGCAAAGTAATGGTGGTTAGTCGAGAGACTATTCAGCCCCGAGTTCAAGAAGTAGAGTGTGGCTGAGAGCGTCTGAACCAGGTCCACTGAATTGGATCGGACCTGCGAGTCGATAACATTTCCACAAAGTGATAAGAATCTGAAACACAACAGATGGTTTGTTTAAAAAAAAAAAAAAACTTGCAACAAACCTGGGCTGATGTATCGGTTCTGCAATGCCCATTCCTCACGCAGTGATGCGAATTTCTTAAATGGTGCACCTGCGGAGCTCAAAAAGACAGTCAGGAAGACCATTTAACCGCCAATCGAAAACTATGAAAAGGGAAGGGAATCAAAGGGTCACCTTCAAGTTCCACCATTGCTTTCTTGATCACAGGCTTGAACTTACCTGCAAGTTGAAATCAACTCGGATTTTTTAATATCTAGATTACAAAATGTGTTTAGTGAGCTTCATTGATTTATATTTCCGTACCGTGTCTCCTCTCGACATCCATCAAGGCTGTGAGAGCAGTCCCACCTACAGTCCATTCTTCCACAGGAGCAGCCAAGTTCCCGACCTGTGCCAATAAGTTACTCATCTCATTCTAAGCACACACTAGTTTACCAAAGGCTATTATGATCAACAGCAGGAAAACAGATTTTAGCGGAAATGGTGGAGTACAAACCGAAGAAATTAGTCCAGTCTTCCCACTGTTGAGGAGTACTCCAGCGCCATAGCCGAGTGCATAACAGTATGTGGCATCAAAATTTGTGGGCAAGCCGCATCTTCCTTCATACCTGTATTCAAGTCGATTACAAACCATAAATCGAACTTGTTTTATTCACATCCTTAAATAAGCAATGTATTATATAGCGATTTGGTTCACTGAAAAAACAAATTGCGTGAAAGTACCCAAAGAAATGAGATTGTCCCATGAATTGTCCCTTGTATGCACCAGCTTGCTTTCTTTTCTCCAATTCAGTTTCAACCATTTGAATAAGCATCTTCTCAGTCTCAATCTTAGCCACCTATCGAGATGAGGAACATGGTATTATTAATAATTTGTGAGAGATGAAGCTAACTGCATCGGAAATTTAATATGAGGAGACAGGGCCATGATCAATTACCTGGACATTTCCGTGTGGGTCTCTCTCAAGCATCAGCTGTTCCTGAATTGCTTCAGGCAGAAGATCAAACAGCTTCAGGGATTGCTCGGTGAGCTTCTTCTTCCACAGCCCATTTTCATCGACAACCTCATTTGCCAGAATTTCATTCAGTTCTGCAATCAGCTCTTGGACCTGAGAAGTCATGAAATAATATTAATCATCAGTTAAGAAAAACAATCATATTAATTGGTTCGAAAGTAGTAGATCCTAATTTTTTGACGTGAAAACGCACCTCAGGAATAAAGTCGATCAGACCTTCGGGAATCAGTATGACACCGTAGTTGTAACCAAGTTCAGCACGTGTGCAGATAACATCCACCATGTAGTCTGTGACATTCATCAAAGTCTGCTTCTGGGCAGAAACCTGCAAAAAGGTATTTCCAGATCAAAGCTGAGTAAAAATAGACTGATCTACTGAGGCATGTGTGAGGTCTCTCTGAACCAATAACCCCATACTGAAATAAATTATTTGCTTCAATGGAAAAGTGTCACCAATATATATCTGATATGCAGTCTGATTCTATCATATATAAGATTCAAATATTTTTAAGGTAATGTGAAGTCCAACAAGAACGTTACCTCTTCTCCAATAATTGTTATGTTTGGGTGAGTTTGTAAAGCACACTCAAGCGTAATGTGGGAAGCAGCACGACCCATAAGACGTACAACTGCAATGAAAATGTGATACAACATTGCAAGCATCAGTAAACAAATAGGGCACACAATAGAAATGATGCAACTTCAAGAATTTCTGTTAAACATGTACTTACAATGATAGTACTTTCCAGTTGACCTTGCATCAATCATGACATTTCCAATCATTTCAGAGTAAATCTACATAAGCAATAAAATGTTTTAGTAGACTTCTTTCAACTTATTTTTTCTGGTGGAATTCTTGACGAGGGATAGAATCAACAGCATACAGTTAGTAATGTAACAATTAACATACGGAAAGTATAAACAAAAATTGATCAAAACGGAATCTCACCTTGCAAGCTGTATCAAACCCAAAACTAGTGGGAACCTCTTTGCATTTCAAATCACCATCAATGGTCTTGGGGCACCCAATGACTCGGGTTTTCAAGTTCTTACTCCTAGTAATACAAGAAAGAAAAAATAAGTCAAATGCTTAATCAGCTAAGCATTAACGATTCCATTCACATGGATCTTCAAGAACAAGAAGGTTAGACTAAGATTATAAGTCTCAACAACAGACATAAACAGATTCAACTGCAAGGTTTACCTGAAGTTTTCAGCAAGAAGGCAAGCATTGGTGTTGGAGTCATCTCCACCGATAACCACCAATCCATCCAAATCTAGCTTCTTTGCAGTTTCTTCAGCTTGTTTAAACTGCACATGTGAGCCATTTAGCATACAATAGAGGCTTCGGAAGCAGTATTAAATCTCCTAAACCCCACAAAAACTATCCAACCTGGTCAGGTGTTTCAATCTTGTCTCTTCCACTGCAGATCATGTCAAAACCACCCTGTTGAGGCCAAAAAAGAATTATAACCACATCAACATGACAGAAAAGCATGTTCAACCACTAATGCAAATATCATAGTTTCAATTTAAAATGAAGCCGATGATGTAATACTTAAATCCCAATCAATCACAAAGCTCGTTGGAAGGATCAATAAACCAGTCCAAGTACCTGGTTTCTGTAAGGATGAATATATTCAGCATTCAATTCAACATATTTGCATTTCATGATACCAGCTGGACCACCCTTGAACCCGTAAAACGTGCTACCTTTCGCACGCTCTTGCAGGTAATCTAACGCCGAAAACAAAATAACAAATCAAGAATGGAACAATGTCAGCTACAATTCTACCAAAAAACATCATTTGACATAAAAATCAAACCCTTACCAAACAGTCCAGAAATAACATTGTGTCCACCAGGTGCCTGACCTCCAGACAAAACAACACCAATCTTCAATTTCTGTGCCGATAAAGATGCATTCTGATCTGGAACCACTGCGACAGATGGCTGGCCATATAGACCCGGAAACAACTTCGCTATCTCATCTACAATCATATAAACCAAAACACTAAATTCTCAAAAACTCTTCTAAATCTATAAACCACAGATCTGTAACAGAAATCATTCTCAAACTCCAAGAGAGCCAATACATACTTACATAATCACAATTAAACTATTTCAATATTTCTCACCAAACTAACAAGATCTAGATCAACCAAGCGATACAAAAATCGAAAAAATCAAATCCCGAGCCTCTCACCTGGATTCCCGGCGGCGGAACTAGCAGGACCTTCGACGATTTTGAAAGCTCCTTTAAGAACAGAAGGCAAAGGAAGAGCGTTGTTAATACGGCTTGATTGAACTTCACTGTAAACCGAAGCACGTCCTTTCGCCGGAGCATTCTCCAGAGATCCGGCGGCGGTGAGATCTCGGGTAACGGCAAGAGCAGGAGCCATTGATATGGTGGTTTTCACTTTTTCACCTAACTCACTTGTTTTCGTTTCGAACCTAACTTTTTTCTTCCCTCCCTTTGCTTCACTCGTCGTCAATGGAGTTCACTTCGAGGTCTCCGCATTGGGGTTGGTGTGAATTTATAGTCTGACCCAAGGGTATAATCGTCAATTCGTTAATTAATTTACTCATCCTACAAGGCAAAGGGTATTTTAGGGTATCTTAATAAACGGCCTGTTTCATGATGTTCGTAACTTCAGGCCCAATTTAATTTATGGGCTTTTGAGTTAATAAAAAGTGTATTTTTCTTAATTTTTCTTCTCTCGCAATTTTCGTATGTAGCTTATTTTTTAAGTGCTCGCAGCTCGTCCATTTTTACGTTTTTTTCAATTACAAAATTTTTAAATACATAGATGATAGATGCAGCGTGATTCATATGACGAGTACACATGCGTAGACACGCAAACACTATTAACCAAGTATGTATTTTATTATAACGAAATTAGTGCTATATTAATGAAAATGCGTATGTATATATAACTCAATCAAGACATGGAACTATAGAAGAAGAAGAAGATGGTACGAACATGTTGTAAGTATAAATTTGGTTTTAAAAAAATTACAACGTTACCACTGAAAGTCTGAAAGTACGTAGTTTGTTCATAAATAAGTCTGGATGAATCCGAATTTCGATAGATATGTAGTTTCTAAATTAATACTTGATTAAATTAGTGAAAGAAATAACAAGATCGCATGGGGCTAAGATCACCAAAGGAAAAGTAGGTAGTAGTAGCCACCGACCGAAGTTTTTCTTTTTGATTTTCTTGTCATCAACGTATATCAGAAGATACGAGAGAGATAAAGATTGATTTATTCCCTTGTTACTTGATACAAGATATTTTTTTGGCACAAAGTATTATAACGTCAAGTATTACAACTTGGAATTAATTAATCACATCTTGTGTTGTTTTTATTACATAAAGAGAAAGTACTATCATTTCAAACTTATTTTATTTTAGTTTCACTTCTTAGTGAGTTCGGGAATATTGTATAACTTTAGATAAATTATATATATGTATACTTTTCTTACCAAACATTTGATTTCAAGTTTTTATTGATTTGTTAACTATGAGGAATCTTTTTTCCCTATTATAGACGAATCCAATTATCCAAAGATAACTTATTGTAATTATTAGCTGGCCAATGCCAACTTAATTATCGAATAAGCAATCTCATAATGATCAAGTTTGGAAAAAACAAAAATGATCAAGTTAATTTGACAGAAAAATGATCAGGTTTATCTTCTTTCTTCCCAAAATTAACAAAGTTTGTTTATAATTCAAAAAGGACCAAAATCATACAACTTTAGGTTATGGTTGGTAATCCATGAATTAGAATGATACACTAATTTTGGGATTCTGCAAATTAGTTATTGATGTCTTTAATTTATGTTTTGTTATTTCCACAATTTCTATGACAAAAATAAAAAGAACATCATCATATATACAGCATAAGTTTTCAGTCAAATTAAAAATATATAAACTTATAAAATTCGAAGATGCAAAATGTTGGTAATGAAAATAGCGGTTTTGAGTTGATCTTGTATAAAATATTTGTGACGGGAGTAGCTAATATATTTTAGGAATAAGATATGATCCTTTTGTATGTGTTACCATCTACAATTAAGAAAACACTCAAAAAATTACTCGACATGGAATTTGTCTCCTCAAGTTGCTATATGAACATAGATACATAACTAGATAATCAAAACCAATATATTGTTATTTGTCGAGATTGATCATATATTACACATCATCCGTAGCCTTTCTTTTGCATCTAATGACTCCACAAAGCACCAGCAGATAAAAAATTCTTCGACTCTTTCTCTTACTTGTACGAACCTTATAAACAATTATTCATGTTTTCAAAAAAAGCAAAAGAAAATAACCAATAGAATTGCAGAATTAGAGATACAAATGGAAAACACCAAATTTTATCCCATCTCAAAAGCAGGAGAGTAAGGTCCCACCAATTATGTTGCACACACTCATATACAACTTCCACAAACTCTTTTTCTTTTCTAATAAGAAATATAAATTTTTATATTTAGCAACTTTTATCTAAATGACACAATTATATGATCTTTCTTTTTTTGAATTTAACAATTATATGATCTTATGATATACTCTTCTATCGTTTTACTAATTTTTTATTTGTTTAATTAATTCCGCCTATAAATAGCGACCCTCTATCAACCCCTCAACCCACACATTTAGCATCTTCAAAGATAAAAAAACGTTAAACTGCGAGTTAAAAGAGAGAGGTTACACACAGAGCTAGAGAGATGGAGAAGAACATTAAGTTTCCAGTTATAGACTTGTCTAAGCTCAATGGTGAAGAGAGAGACCAAACCATGGCTTTGATCGACCATGCTTGTCAAAACTGGGGTTTCTTTGAGGTTCTTGTCTATCTTCTCTTGTTGATTGATTATCAGGGAATTTATGTTCTTTGTTTTGTTATAACTTATTAATTTAGTGTCATATATAATAATATATATACATATATATTTATATAACTTATGAAAATAAATCAAATCGTTTTCCCTTTATTTATGCTTTCCCCCAAAATGGACGTTATACAATTCAAAGTTTTTGTTATTTCAGCTGGTAAACCATGGACTACCATATGATCTAATGGACAACATTGAGAGGATGACAAAGGAACACTACAAGAAACATATGGAACAAAAGTTCAAAGAAATGCTCCGTTCCAAAGGTTTAGATACTCTTGAGACCGAAGTCCAAGATGTTGATTGGGAAAGCACTTTCTACCTCCGTCATCTCCCTCAATCTAACCTCTACGACATCCCTGATATGTCGAACGAATACCGGTACACACACAAAATTTGATCCAGCTTTAAAAACACTTCACAAGCTTAAAAAAATAATTATTGATTAATTTGCTTCCCATGTCTCTTAACAGATTGGCAATGAAGGATTTTGGAAAGATGGTGGAGAATCTAGCTGAAGATCTATTGGATTTGTTGTGTGAGAACCTAGGGTTGGAGAAAGGATACTTGAAGAAGGTGTTTCATGGGACAACGGGTCCAACTTTTGGGACAAAGGTTAGCAACTATCCACCATGTCCTAAACCGGAGATGATCAAAGGGCTTAGGGCTCACACAGATGCAGGAGGCCTCATTTTGCTATTTCAAGACGATAAGGTCAGTGGTCTTCAGCTTCTCAAAGATGGTGATTGGGTTGATGTTCCTCCTCTCAAACATTCCATTGTCATCAACCTTGGTGACCAACTTGAGGTAAACCGGTTATTTCTTGGTTAATCCCGGTTAATGATAGAGGTTTGTACAGCTAGCTGGTTTTTGTAGAAAAATTTAGCAGAATCCGGTTCTGGTACCTAATTGACAAACCAATAGTAATCAACAAATTGGTTTAGGTTTAACCGGGATATACACTTCCTTGTCAAATTTGCGTAGGTGATAACAAATGGGAAGTACAAGAGCGTAATGCACCGTGTGATGACCCAAAAAGAAGGAAACAGGATGTCTATCGCGTCGTTCTACAACCCCGGAAGCGATGCGGAGATCTCTCCGGCAACATCTCTTGTGGAGAAAGACTCAAAATACCCAAGCTTTGTGTTTGATGACTACATGAAACTCTATGCCGGACTCAAGTTTCAGGCCAAGGAGCCACGGTTTGAGGCGATGAAGAATGCTGAAGCAGCCGCGAATTTGAATCCGATTGCCGCCGTTGAGACATTCTAAATGGACGTGGGATTTTCTATAATGCTACAAAGATATGAAGATAGCAAAAAAGATGGGTTTGATATGGTGTGGTAACGTCAATAAGTTAAAAAAGAGTCTTAAGGATTGGGGTTAACTAGTGTTAGTAAAAATCAAGAACTAAGTGATGAATCTGGTGTGTTAAGTGTGGGAGTGATTTATGCAATAATTGTGTGGGCTTTATGTTCTAACTAACTACAATACAATCTTAAAGTTACAATAACAAAAAGTTATTATTTATATGATTATATATTCAAGTTTAGACTATAAGTTTATAACATGAAGATTGGAAAAAAGAACATAAACTTTGGCCATTAGATAAGTTCCAAAATTGCCACACAAAAGCCAATACATTCCCATGAATCAAACCTTTCGAGTCAACTAGAATGTTATATAAATTGGGCCGAATTATCTTTCAGCCCAAAGGCCCAAACCAAATAACCTTGTCTTCGATAATTCTTAGGGCATCACTCTGTATCACACTATATATACCTCTCTGGAGATCTGTTGCCTAACTATCTCGATTTTTAGGGTTTATGAATGTTATTTATTAGTTTCGTCTCTTTTGATTGGATCTGATTTGCTGAATTCAAATGTTTTTGGTTTGATTTTGTAAAAAAAGAAAAACCTCGGGGTTCTTAAAATCGGGCAAGAGAGAGTAACGGTGTCTCTGAGTCCTTGATGAACCGGCGAGGGAAATTAATCTGGCCGAGATATCGTTTCAGTCGTTCTTTGTTTTGGTTTACGATCTGATTGTTGCTCGTCCACATCTTCGTTTTAAAAAATTTATCTTCAAAATTATGATTTTTTTTGGCAATTTTAATTTGATCGGAAAAATGCGAATGACGAATATCAAATAATTATTTCTTCACTTTGATCCGATTGGATAGTTAGTTATCCTTGTGGACAATATTCAGATAACTGACGCATTCACACTTTTTAAAAAAAATCATAAGGTTATGTATATGTATGATAGTATTATATCTCTAGGTGTTAAATTCTAAGTCGTATATTATTTGTGATTTCCTTTAAATTAGAGAAAATAAGGAATCAATTAGACTTTAGACAGTATCTTTAGGTGTTATAAACGCAAAAACTAATTTGAGACGTTCTAAATTTTTAATAAAGATATTTGGACAATGGACAAATTAGCTAAACTATAACTTGTCTAATTTGAAATAATGTGCAGTGAAATCATAGACCTAATGCCTTATATAAGTTGTTTGCATGTTCATTTTCCCTTGAACAATATTCAGAATTTGTTGCAGTCTAAAAGGATGAAAAAAACTACTGTGTATATTTTAATTGTTGGGAAAACTTTGGATAAATCGTTTTTATGTAAAAAAAAAAAAGGATATATCGTTTCGAAGCCCTGTCAAAATGTAAATCTTGATGGGCCTTGACCGCCTTGGGTGTTTGTCATATAGGCCTATCAAAGTCAGAGAAGCAGCCCATATAGCCATACACATAGATGTTAACAAAAGGAAAACCTTGTTACAATATTTGTGTTTGGTTTGGTTGACGAAATTAAAAAAGGTCGAACTACGAAAAGTGAAAGAGAATCTCATATGCTCTAATTCCAGGACTAAATGATTCATTGTCAACAGTACTTATATGCTCTAAGTCGAACTAAGAGTAGTGAAAGATAATCTTATATGATGAAAAAAAAAAGATAATCTTATATGCTATATAAGTCATAGACTAATGATTCAGTCAATACAGTACTTGCTTCAATAGGTTATTAGGTTTTCACTATTCGAAAAATCTAGACAGAAAAATTATAATAATGTGTTACGTAGAATAGTTACAAGCCTAGGAACAAGATGCTAGTGCAACACATGCACATAGTAAAGGACGTTGAGTTTTTTTAGTACCAAGTCTACAGTCTACTGAACTAAAAAAAAAACTCTCAAACACGCTTCTGTCGAGATCACTGATGAGAGTGATGTCTGTTGACATCTTTTCTTTTCCTCTGACATTATATATTTAATTTTTTTATAAAAAGTGAAAAACATAACAGTATGACTGATGACACTTTTCCTCTGACGTTATATATTTTATTGAAAGGTTAGAAAAGACATCAATAATTCTTGAATAATGTATATCACGCTAAATTATCTGTAATTGTCACACGAATTTGTAATAAGTACTTGTTTGAATTTGGTCACTGTTACTCGTTACAGTTTAAATAGTCTAGACTTTTTGTACCACTATTAAAAATAACAAGTCGACTAGAAAACGTACTTAGTTTTGAAATTATTAGAATTGATTAGTTCAAACAAAAATACTTATCTTTGAGAAATGTGAGTAAAGTGTTTACACCGAGACCAGAGCCATTATGTCTCCTCTTTCTATTTTCTTTTGTCAAACCCAATGCTGGAAAAATCCGCATTTCTAGGATTTAGTTCCCTTTCGTCTAAAAAGTTGAATTATTTTATCGTGGTTACAAAACCATTACCCAAGAGACAAGAATGATGATCAGATCACTCTTGAATACTTTTTGCATTTTGCAGGTCAATAAAATACGTATCTTACAACCTGTGTAAATGCTGCAGATGATAATATCCTACTGATCCAACAACACCGTCATTGCACGTTTTAAAAGTCCCGCATACAGTTCAAAATTCGGATTTTATTTTTACTTATTTAGGATTGGATTCGACAAAACAAAACGAGGGAAAAAAAAGATTGTACGTAGAAGATAAGGCAAAGGGGTCCATTATTATTCCCCAAGTTGCAAGAAATCCCCAAACAACCAAAGAACACCATATAAAGGATTACCAAATCAGAACCGTGATTACCCAAACAAATAGATGTTTAACTGAAATTTAAAAGAAAACTTGGATATTTAATGATACTAACCAGGTGAAATATATATAGTTTGAGGAGAGCTCATGTGTCAAAAATCGGCTATGTTCCTTACAAAAAATAGTACTAATATATATATGAGTCCAATACTGAAGAAATTCATAAATACTTCAAAAGATATTAAAAAAAAAAAAAAAAAAACTGGTTTATTCGTGGACCAATCTAATGTGCTTTATATATTGCCGATACAAACAACTTCTAAATTACAACTTTGGACAAAAAGTTTTTTTTTGTAATAGAATACTAGTCCGAACCACAATGATATTAATTGGACTATACTAAAAAGAAGTATACGATCTGATAAGAACAGATAAGTGAGAAGTCTAACACAAACTCGATTTCACATGTCTACGTAAAACTTCTGAAATGATTATTCTTTTATATTCCATTTCAATTATAGGTATGTATGTAATCCGACCCGACTATCCGAGGATGATTTAGTTAAGAGTTTAGACTATACGCTTTGGTGAAAGGGATCAGACTGAGTGACCCGCAAAGGGCAAAAATGTACAGACAAATAATGTGACAACAACAATTCATATGAAGCATAAAAATGGCTGTGGTGGTAGGCAGCACAAAAGTTATCTTTGGACCCGAAATAATATTATATAGTACATTATACATATTTTAATTTAAAGCCTCTATCAAAGCATCCTAGCAAGTTTGAGTATTAAATGTGTAGTTAAACTTACTTTGTGGTCACACCTGTGTAGTTAATGTGTGCATACATTTAAGCGTATCAAATACGTGCAATTATACTGACTTTTTCTATATAATCAAGATGTTATAATACAATGATATTTTTGTAGCGTCATTAACACAATTAATGTTTTCACATGTAAACTTGCGGGTAATCTAACATTTTGGCCTACAGAAATCATCCAAGCGAATAAACAACAACAACAAAAAAAAAAAACATTTCTAGCATTTTATTTCTTGTAATTTTCTTTAGCAAAATTTTCTTATCCCCAAACACCAAAAACTCTATCACCAATGAAACTCACAAATCTCCTCACGGTTCCTTTCTCCTCCTCCGCCTCCTCACGAGCGTCTCCGCCACAAAAATCCTCTGTTGGCTCCATACCGCCGTTGCAGCCACCACCATCTTGAGCCAACTCGCTCGAACTTGAACACGGACACGAATTCACAACTGTATCGCCGAGTCGACTCGGAATCTCTGATTCTTCCGTACTAAAGCTAGAACTAGCAATAAGTGAAGAAGACTTCCCTGAACGCTTTCTTCGATCTTTCTTACCAGTAACGTTCTTCTTCCTCTTCTTCTCCAAGCTATCTTCGAAAGCGTCGATGATTTCATGGATAAGCTGACGACTCGGTGACGAGTCCCATCTGACCCAGTAACTCGTGTAGCAGCTAAAGCAGTCACAGTGGAAGAGAGGCGAGTGATTGTCAAAGTGGGCTTTCTTGTGAGCTTTGGTCTTATTCAGACGAGAGGTAGGGTTTCGGTCGCCGGAGTAAGATGCGGTTGATATGAGATAGGCCAAAACCTCACGGTCTTCCGGGGAGAGAACCGCCGCGAGTGAGAAGATGGCGACGGGAAGAAGAGGGAGAAGGTGGTCGTCGGATTTTATCTGCGGCGGCGACGGGTGTACGGTTCCTTTTCTGTAGAGCTTCTTCATAGTTTTTCTATGGAAGAGAAAGAGAGAGAGAGAGACTTGTGGAAGAAGATGTTATCGAGACTTTAAATACCGAAAGGTTTATTAGGTTTTGTTTGTTTCGGTATTGTTTTATAGTTATTGTCTCTCGTCTAAAAATCCACCGCCGAAACGTTTGTTTAATGGCAAAACTAGGTTTAGGCAAAACAATTAGACCATTTTGATTTTCATGAAAACGGTTAAAAAATTTAGTCAGTAACAAGTTAGTAACTTTTTTTTTTGTTTAGACCAATTAATAAGCTAAGATGGCTGACTTATATATAAAATTAAGTTATCTTTATTGGCCAAACTTAAAAATGCTTAAGTTGTTGACAGAAAAAGTGTTTATTCTAGTTACACTATATCGTCCAACACTTGTCAAGTATGTTTAGTATATCATTTGCTTATATCCAATATTTAATCGACATTCAAATATAGTTTTTAGGTTAAAAACTTAGAATGATGATGTATAGTGGAGCTTGCAGTCCATTACCAGAGTTAGTACAGTGTAGTAAAAATGTAAAAATATCAAGATGATTGGAATTTGCAACAGTGATATATTTACGGTGTGATTGGTAAGACACATAAATGAGTACCCTAAACCTTTCATCATTCAATTAGCTTTTATAAATAAAGTTTAGAGGAAAGAGTTGCAAATGCTCATTAAGTTTTAATCATCCAATTAACTTTTATAACTAATGAACGCACCACACTCCAATAAAAGTTTGATTAATGGAAACATTATTGAAGACACATTGAGTGAGATGTTGCAGTTTACTCCTATAACTCTGAATCTCAAATATAAGCTATATACCAATCAATCCTTTAATATTTTAGTTTTTCCTTCAACAAATCAGAAGTAGACTTGTAAGAAAGACAAGCAATCAAATACTCCGATAGAGCCGGGCCAATGATATAACGGGCCGAAAGTGAAAAAGGCCCATTTAAAATGTTGCCTAAACAAATAATATAGACCACTACAACTTACAATAAGTTTTGGTAGCCAAACAAAATTTTTATAGATAATTGCTTTCTAAACCCCCAAAACTTATATATTTACAATAGTATAAAGAACTCTGAAACATCAACACCTAGAGCCCTATACTTTATTCTAAAATATTTGCAACCCCACTTCACTGCCGGTGAAAGCTACCGTTAGCCGGCCAACCTTTAAACCACTCCTCTTCATCTCCCCCTCTTTAAAACCTATAAACGCCGTCGTTTTAACCGATTCTTCAAACCCTACACGCGGTCCACAGCCACAGCTCTTAACCCTACTCACCACTTCATTAGAGGTTCGTTTATAGTGACCGAACCACTTGGCTTGCATATAACCGTTCCTTCTCCATGGCGGCACGTAAATCTCAGCTCGCTTCATCGACCTCCTGATCTCAAAGCACATGATCCTCACAAGCTGTTTCAGCTCCTCAGGTGTTCCCACAAAAACACGCGGCAGCTGAGCTAAGAGGGAGAGGTATCTTGTCGTTGGCCGAGCAATCTCGAACTCTCCGGCAAGATTTGTCTCCACGATGTAACGATTCTTATCTCCTACCTTGACGTCCACGTACTCGTACTTCCCGGCCGTGTTCTTACCAAATTTCTCCCACCGGGACTTGCAGAGACCTATACACGTAGATCAATCTTTTCATTTCAGTATATTTGCACATTTAAATCCAAAACATGTATCCATTATGGTACTATACACATCCATAAAAAATGTGAATAATTACAACATCAAATGAGATAAAAATTGGCATACGATTATTGTTCTTAAGACAATCTTATAATGATATTTTTGATAGATATGCATAAACATATTTCATCAGCATCTCACTTGATTTCAGATGCTTAATTTCAGATACAACAAATTCATATCTAAATCCTAATGTGATTTGTTCTACATGTCATATGGTATGCTTTGATGTGTATGGGGAGAAAATACTTACACTAGCCAGGAACTCTTTATAAGAATCAAATGACTAAATAATTAACCTCAAAACTCAAATGTACTAGTCGATCTATATTGACAAAGGCAGTACACAATCTCAATATCAATTTTATTTCTGAATCATGTTTTGTAATCACGCCTCTAAAACCATTCCTTTGCAAAGCTTAATTTTGTTTTCACTAGTTCAACCTTTAACAAAAATAAAATAATAAAATCAAATGACCAAAAACTCCAAGAGCTTAATTAGCTAGGTTTAGAAGAGTCAGCCATACAAAACTATATATCAACGGATTTGAGCTAAACATTTTAAGATTGTACCGAACAAACTTAACCAACCCCTGAAAATCAACTACATACAATTGTAATTTCATACAAACATGGAGTAATAGAGATAATTGTTATTACCTGCATCAAAACCTTTGTTACGTAGATAAGCCATAAAGTGACGTTTCTCTCCGACAACGAACCGACTAGCATTAACCGCCTCATCCATGATTCTCCGCCGCTCTTCGCCTCCGTGATTCTCAAGAATCTCCCGTAACCTCTCCTTCACATCTTCGTAATCCTCATCCGATTTATCTTCTTCTTCCTCAAAAGCCTCCTCAGGTAAAGTTTCCACTTCTCTGTCGATAAAAGATTCGACCAGATCCCAAAGATCTTCTGTGTCATCCGGAGAGTGATCGCTTCCGCTGCTGCTAGCGCACGGAGGACGTGCACGCGCCGCCGCCACATCAAAAGCCGCCGCTGTTCTGATGAATCTTCCCCCTATCTCTACCATTTTATGCCTTTTTCTTGATTTCTCATCTTCTCGGCGACTCGTGGGATATATATATACACGAATACTAAATATATTTAGTGATATGTTTTCATTGTGTTGACAGAGACTTTGACTTTTTGACGGAGTAAACGACAAAATGGTAAAATATGACAACAGGATGGTAAAATGATGGTGAAAAAAGGATTAACGGCGTTTTGTCTAACGGAAAACCCCTAAATCCCGTTAAATTAATTACAGCTTTGGGATGTGCTGGCTGATTAATTTTTAGATTCTCAATTATTACCACCATATCGTCCAGATACATTCACTTTAAGAAGAATAATTTCAATAAAATAAAATAATTAACCATTTAATGCTAGTCAATATTAGTAAAATGAATTGTTCTAGTTTGGGAAAAAGAGATGCATGGTTCTATAAGTGATAATTATTAAACTCTACTTTCAGAAAAAATAAAAGTTTTCTTCTCTTTTTTCACTCAATTAATTTACATTTTCTGATCTAACACCTTTGTCTATTTTATTTACTTAGAAAAATTTGATTAACGGACGCTGACGTTTATTAACTAACGTCCGTGACAAAGTATCCATACTAGTTGGAGTAAAAAAGCTAGCTCACGGTCACGGTCACATAGTGGCGCGTGGACACACGTACCAGCAACAAGTTAAATTGTGGTTACCACGTGGCAAGTTGTGGTTAGATCTTTCGTCTTGTGTTTTTTTTTCACTTCGGTAGATTTTCTGATATCTTCTAATATCTGGCGCGGAAACCAGAAGTAGAGTAAACCCAAATCACGTCCAAATTCAATGAATCTGGAAAGTTGTCTAAATTCAATGAATCTAAAGGTTTCGTTTGTTCATGCAATTAGTAGTTGAATAATATTAAAACTTGTCACCGCTGATGGCTTCATCCGGATAGAAACTTATCAATTACACGTGACGACACTAGTTAATTTTTTGGTTCTGACTGATTCATATAAAAATCTCAAAATATATGTTAAATAGTAATCAAAAACATGTTTGACAGAAAAAAAAAAAGTAATCAAAAACTGTTTCACAACGTTTTTATGGGTCTATATTGGACTGCTCCGATCCTCTTAACTCTCTAACTCTCTAACTCTCTAACTCCAATAGCTTCCTCTTGAACACTGTGATCAATAATCATATATGTAATTGGTGATTAGTTCTGAATTTACTGCCACAATACAACTAATTCCTTATTGAATAAACTAATTAAATCCTTTGTAGAACTCTAAAACCTTGTGTTGATCTGTTTAACTGGCAATTACTGGGTGGTTCTTGATCATGGATTCTTAAGTGTCTGAAATTGATGAATACAGTGATTCTATTGATTATATTTTACCCACTAGGACAATGATGACATGATCGCTTGTCTGTATCTAAAGTTGTGTTCATTCATGATTCCCAATTTGCTGATAACATAAGCTTGGATTTTATCTTTATCTTGATCAACCTTGGTTGAGTTTATAAAATGTTGAATGTTATAGGCTTATAGCTTTGTTGATTCAGAGACAATAAGAATGTGGATATTGTAGTTTTCTTTGTTGGATCATCCCTTAAAATTATCTTCTAGAGAGTATTTGAGATACTCCTTCAATTCCACATGCTTTAAAATTAGATTTTTATTTTATTTTTTGTCGTTGTGTGCCTTCATTATTCAATATTGGAGATTACTAGCAATATGTGTGTTAGGGATGCATCGCCTTGGGTCAATCTTGAGAGTAGGCAAAATACTTGAACCAAAAATTAAATTAAAACAGAGTTAATGAATTTCAGTCTTCCCAACTAATGAATTGTCGTTTGTAATTTGTTATTGTTGCATTCAATTAAATGGGTTGGCTTGGTATTTCTTATTGTGCGACCTGGGCTAACACTTCCTCAATCATTCTTTTGTTCTCAGCAGATAAATACTGCTGGGTGGTAAGGTGGGTGATAGCCAAAATGTATGGTAAGTTTAGACGACATTTCAGCTTAAAATGATATAATATCATTAGCTATAAAGTTTGAAATGATAAGATCGAATTTGGTATATTCACAATGAAGGAGTATAGGTCATCTTTTTGTGTTGTTGCTTTTTTTGAGTAGTTGGTAATTAAAACTCATAATTCTTGATGTTAATGTATCAAATTCAGATTTACCATTTCAAACTTTTCTCATTTGTTTTGCTTATTTCCGTGTCGTAATTTCGATGAGAAACTTGGACTTATGTAAATATATATGGAGGAAGGCAACCACATGGATGAATTGATTCTTCGTCTAGTTCAAACCAGCCTCGTCTAAGGACATCAGGATGGAACTAAGTCGTGCTAGCGATACACACAATGCTCGGGGTTTGGTTGACAAGTATACAAGTCGTGGGCGGACCAAGCATAAATTTTAATGGGTGCAAAAATGTTACTAAGAGGATTCAAACCTATTTTACTATAGGCATTTAGTGGGTGTATTGCATACCATTTTGCCATTCTAGTTATTCAGTCTTACTGTAAAAACATCTACTATATATATTACTAGATGCAAGTGCCTCTACCATTCATAATGTGGGTCCGCCCCTGCGGGTGTTCTCCCCTCTTAAGATTGCTGACACAACTCCAAACACCAATCCCACAGCCACCAACGACAACAACAATGGCACTGCTTCACCAATTCCACCACGGAACGTTTCTTAGCCAATTGACCAAAAACGAACAGGACTGTGGTAATGACACACTGATGATGGTATGCATATGTTTGTGGACCGGGGTTTTCATACTATCAGTGCTAGCTAGAGGTTTTCTCATCGGGAAAATCTTGGATGGCCTATCACTCTCTTGCGTTCATTAATCAATATTGGACATTGCTTGCTCTGTTATAGGGGACTATATATGCATTGCCTTGGATCAATCTCCAGACAAGGAAAATTACTTGAACTTGAGCTTTGTTTATCTAACTACCCGGCGCATTGCTTAAAAATGAGGTATCTAGCTCATTAATTTTATGTTTTTTTTTGGTGAGCAGCTCATTTTATGTTGAATATACGCATAACTTTTTATTTTCTTTAAACTTTGTTTGATCAGACAAATACACGACTTATTATGTGATTTTATCTTCCATATTTGATGTTTTGTAAGATTTCTTGTTCATATAAGAACTCTTTCCAACATCTTGTACCAATGAGTCACTTATTTAAGAGTGTCTCTGTAAGATTTCTTGTTCATATATCAAATATCTACGTTGCTTCCAAGACACTATAAAGAAAGAAAACCAGAGAATTTAGGATCACGCTATTTCAGATTATTCTACAAACCAAAAAAGATAATCGATCTTGCTCTTTTATGTTAGTTGCTCACCTTTTGGAAGACTTGACAACTGATGAACAACTCTTATTCATAGGATTGAAAGATCTAAGGAATGATGATATATACACGTTTTTGTGACAGACATGCGTCCAAGTTTTGTTCCCATTTGGTCGTGCGTGCAGGTTTCTCTTTCTTTGACCGCTTCTAATTCCATAGATCGTGCTCTAATGTCATTTTGAGTTATCAACATATTTAACTCTATACTTAATATGATTTAACGTTGACGGCTGACTATTTTATTTTTTAACATCAGAGAACCTCTAGGAACGTGCGTCCAAGTTTGAGGAATTTAGTAACGATGGTTTTATCTCCGCGCAAAGGTCAGCTCTTTCTGTCTTCTCTACGTTTTCCTCAAACGTGTAAACATGTCACTAATTGACAAATTCAGAAAAAAAAAAAAAAAAAAAAAAAGGCAAATTGGAGAGAGAGAAAGAGATACGACTTTGGAGTTTCTAAACTGTTTTATAAAGATGGAGCACATAGAGATATTAGATGTTCATAATTAGTAAAATTGGGTTTCTTGACCCATAAACAATGTTGTTCCCTCCTCTTCGTTCCCTCTTTTTTCTCACCCTCTTGCTCTCCTCCGTTTGTTTCTTGCAAATCAAAGCAGACGACGACGATGAAAGCGACTTGGGCAGTCATATCAAAGTAGACAAAAGTCTCAAGTTCGAGAACCCGAAGCTACGTCAAGCCTACATTGCTCTCCAATCATGGAAACAAGCAATCTTCTCTGATCCTTTCAACTTCACAGCGAATTGGAATGGTTCTGATGTTTGCTCCTACAATGGAATCTACTGTGCTCCTTCTCCTTCCTACCCGGAAACCCGAGTCGTTGCAGGCATTGACCTCAACCACGCTGACATGGCTGGTTACTTGGCTTCCGAGCTTGGTCTCCTCTCTGATCTCGCTCTATTCCACATTAACTCAAACCGTTTCTGCGGTGAAGTCCCTCTCACGTTTAACCGCATGAAGCTTCTTTACGAGCTTGATCTTAGTAACAACCGATTCGTCGGTAAGTTCCCTAAGGTTGTCCTCTCTTTGCCTTCCCTTAAGTTCTTGGATCTCCGCTACAACGAGTTTGAAGGCAAGATCCCATCAAAGCTCTTCGATAGAGAGCTCGATGCTATATTCTTGAACCATAACCGGTTCCGGTTCGGGATTCCCAAGAACATGGGGAATTCCCCTGTTTCCGCTCTGGTTCTTGCGGACAATAATCTCGGAGGATGCATACCGGGAAGTATCGGTCAAATGGGGAAGACACTCAACGAGCTTATCCTCTCCAATGACAACTTAACCGGTTGTTTACCTCCTCAGATCGGAAACCTCAAGAAAGTAACGGTTTTCGACATCAGTTCAAACCGTCTACAAGGTCCATTACCATCTAGCATCGGAAACATGAAGAGCTTAGAAGAGCTTCACGTGGCTAACAATGGCTTCACAGGAGTCATTCCTTCAAGTATCTGCCAGCTTTCTAACCTTGAGAACTTCACTTACTCTTCCAACTTCTTCTCCGGTCGTCCTCCTGTATGCGCAGCTAGTTCGTTGGCCGATGCTGTGGTGAACGGTACCATGAACTGTCTCACCGGTTTGGCTCGTCAAAGATCGGATAAAGAGTGCTCATCTCTGCTTGCTCGTCCTGTTGATTGCAGTAAGTTTGGATGTTACAACATCTTCTCTCCACCACCACCGATGTTCAAGATGTCACCTGAGGTCCGGAAACTTCCTCCACCGATTTACGTGTACTCATCGCCGCCTCCACCACCATCGTCAAAGATGTCCCCTACCGTCAGAGCATACTCTCCACCACCACCACCATCGTCCAAGATGTCACCTACGGTCAGAGCATACTCTCCACCACCGCCTCCTTATTCCAAGATGTCACCTACCGTTAGAGCTTACCCTCCTCCACCGCCTTACGTATACTCATCTCCTCCACCGCCTTATGTGTACTCATCTCCTCCTCCACCGCCTTATGTGTACACATCTCCTCCCCCACCTCCTTACGTATACTCATCTCCTCCTCCACCATCACCATCTCCCCCACCTCCTTACGTATACTCATCTCCTCCTCCACCATCACCATCTCCTCCACCTCCTTACGTATACTCATCTCCTCCACCACCTTACGTGTACTCATCTCCACCTCCACCTTACGTATACTCATCTCCGCCACCGCCTGTTGTATACTACGCACCCGAGACACAAAGCCCGCCACCACCATCACCGGTATACTATCCACCAGTAACACAAAGCCCTCCACCACCATCGCCAGTATACTACCCACCGGTGACAAACAGTCCACCACCACCATCACCGGTATACTATCCGCCAGAAACATACAGTCCACCACCACCGTCACCGGTTTACTACCCGTGGGAAACACCAAGTCCTCCACCACCATCACCAGTTTACTATCCCCCAGTAACACCAAGTCCTCCACCACCATCACCCGTTTACTATCCCCCAGTAACACCAAGCCCTCCACCACCATCACCCGTTTACTATCCCCCAGTAACACCAAGCCCTCCACCACCATCACCGGTATATTATCCATCGGAAACACCAAGTCCTCCACCACCGACTGAGTACTACTATTCACCAAGCCAGTCTCCGCCACCAACAAAACCATGTAACGAAGGCCATCCACCACAAGCAACCCCAAGTTACGAACCAACTCCTGAATATACATACTCATCATCACCACCACCATCTCCTCCGTCCTACTCTGACTCGTCTCTTCCACCGATTCCAAGTGTCTCATATGATGCATCTCCTCCTCCTCCTCCTCCGTCTTACTACTAGTTTCAAAACCATTGAGTAAAAAATGCATTGCCCTTATGATTAACGAGACTACTCACAATTATATTCTTTTGGCTGCGAGACTTTAATTTGTGTGTTTTGTTGATTTAAAGAAAAAAAAAAGACATTCCAGTTATTACTTTTTTCTTGTAATATTTTTTTCTTTTAAATATTTTGTTCCTTTTTCCCCTAACACAGAGCTGTGGCAATGGAGTATATAGTTTCAGTTTATTTGTTATTAAAATGTTCTGTATAAATAATAAAAATAATAAATATTTCACAAAATCCTTTTATCTCAAATTAAAATTGAATTATTTAATTGAAAACTGTAAAAAGATGACGTCAACTTCTCAGTCATCATCTCAAGAACGGCAGCTTGAAAAAATCTATACCTACCACTTCGAACTAACTCTTCTCTATCGCTACTGGAATTTGGGAATTAGCTTGGGAAACTTCGCCGGAGATTCATACGTCGTCGTTTTTAGTCTCGTTATCTCGTACGTCCATGGCGTTGCTGAAGTCCTTTATCGATGTTGGCTCAGACTCACACTTCCCTATCCAGAATCTCCCTTATGGTGTCTTCAAACCGGAATCGAACTCAACTCCTCGTCCTGCCGTCGCTATCGGCGATTTGGTTCTGGACCTCTCCGCTATCTCCGAAGCTGGGCTTTTCGATGGTCCGATCCTGAAGGACGCCGATTGCTTCCTTCAGGTTCGTTTTTCTCGATTCCTTTAACGTTGCCATGGATGATTTCAAACATTGCTTGTTGAATCTGATATTTTCTCAAGTTTTGCTCCATGGTTAAGTTGGTTAGTAGCTCTGGATTGTGTCACCGACCAAATAATCAGCTTAATTGATAGTTTACTGAATAAATCACATCCTGTTTAGCTCGAAAAATTCCATTGTTGTAATCAATTGCTCGTTGCTTCAGTTAATTATTTGGTACAGTATTTTGTTCACGATTTTGAACTTTTGCAACTATAATTGTTGCTTTATGATCTGATAGTATAGTGTATTGCTTACACTTAGTGATGAGGAAAATGAAGTTGTGTTTATCTTCTGGTGTGTTTCTTTTGATGTTAATGTTTAGTTTCTGTGCTCTGTTTTACAGCCTACTTTGAATAAGTTCTTGGCTATGGGACGGCCTGCGTGGAAGGAAGCGCGTTCTACGCTTCAAAGAATCTTGTCATGTATGCTCTGTTTGATCTTATTGATATATTTGGATTTTTATGGGGATTTGTTATTTGGCTTCAAGGTTTTGGTTTTGGTTTGTTTTGATGCAGCTAATGAACCTACCTTGCGAGACAATGATGTTTTGAGGAAAAAGTCATTCTATGAGATGGTTAGTAGTGTGAAAAAATTGTTTCTGAAACAGACTAGAGATATTGTTTGAATTTCTGTTACTTATGTTTATCTTTGTTTGGTGCAAATCTGTAGAGTAAAGTGGAAATGATTGTTCCTATGGTCATTGGGGACTATACAGACTTCTTTGCATCTATGCATCACGCGAAGAACTGCGGGCTTATGTTTCGTGGGCCTGAGAATGCGATAAACCCAAATTGGTGCATTTATGTTACTTTTGAGCTGAGAGTTTCTTCATGAAATGGTCGAGTCGAAAGCCTGACTCTGCAAGTTTTTACATGACATTACCATATTTTTCAGGTTTCGTCTTCCCATTGCATATCATGGACGGGCATCATCTATTGTCATCTCTGGGACCGACATTATTCGACCAAGGTTAGGAAATTGTGTTTTATAATCTGTTTTTTGGTTGTTATACTGAGAATGGTTGTTAAGAATTCACATGTCATATTTGAAGTCATGCATCATGTAAGGTTTTATGCTTTTGACAAGAAATATAGTTGTTCTTAATTCGTCAGAGGTTTTATAAGATCTTCTTACATTGAAACCAATATTGGAGGATAGTAAAATTTCATGTAAACAAATTAATAATGAAATGCTGATTCCTGTTTTATCTTTGCTTGTTTTGCTTTCTTCCAGAGGTCAGGGCCATCCACAAGGAAACTCTGAACCATATTTTGGACCTTCGAAGAAACTTGATTTTGAGCTTGAGATGGTAAGCATCTGATGCCTCAGTTATGTGGATTTGTTTTAGAATGATTCGGTTGATGCTATTTGGTGTTAGTTAAGAATAACACCACTGACAACCCTCTCTTTTATCACATGATATTCAGGCTGCTGTGGTTGGTCCAGGAAATGAATTGGGAAAGCCTATTGACGTGAAAAATGCAGCCGATCATATATTTGGTCTAGTACTGATGAATGACTGGAGTGGTACTCACTTAACTATAGTTTTCTTTGAGTCATCTTTAACCTAACCGGGCATGACTGGTTGTTTGAATTGTTTGTTGTTATAGCTAGGGATATTCAGGCGTGGGAGTATGTACCTCTTGGTCCTTTCCTGGGGAAGAGTTTTGGTGAGACATTAGTATTCAAGCTTGATATTTGGCTTCAAAAATTCGATTTCATTTTTCCTCGAGTTGGAGTTTTTGGGCAAAAAACATCAGTGAATGTTGTTCTGTTGTGTTATAGGGACTACGGTATCCCCTTGGATTGTTACCTTGGATGCGCTTGAGCCTTTCGGTTGTCAAGCTCCCAAGCAGGTTGGTACTTAGGCGTCACATTCTTTTTGTCTCACGCAATCATTGATTCTCTCATGATCTAACTTATTCTTGTTGCAGGATCCACCTCCATTGCCATATTTAGCTGAGAGAGAATCTGTAAATTACGATATCTCCTTAGAGGTAGCATTTGATATCGGAGTTTGATTTTTTTCGCGATCAACTACAGCTTATGGTGGATTGAACTGAAAAAACATCATGTTTACCTCTTATAGGTCCAACTTAAACCTTATGGCAAAGATGATTCTTGTGTAATAACGAAGAGCAACTTCCAAAACTTGTGAGTTCCTTTATAATCTCTTACCCAATTCCTTTGTATAATTAACCAGTTTGGTTCAAACTCCTTTAAACTTCTTGTGACAGATATTGGACCATAACGCAGCAGCTAGCACACCATACCGTTAACGGTTGCAATTTGAGGCCTGGTGATCTCCTTGGCACCGGAACCATAAGCGGACCAGTAAACTCTTTTCTAACTGGTTCTCTCATTTACTTTATCACGTGATGGCTAATTGGCTACACAATAACGCGCAGGATCTTTTTTTATTTTGTTCTAAACGCAGGAGCCAGATTCATATGGGTGCCTTCTTGAGTTGACTTGGAATGGACAGAAACCTCTATCACTCAACGGAACAACTCAAACGTTTCTCCAAGACGGAGACCAAGTCACCCTCTCAGGTGTATGCAAGGTATCAGCTAATTAACACAGTTTTTCTGCTTGGTTTAATTTGCTTTATGTCCAAACAATTCCAAATGATTATGAATTTTGTTGTATGACATTTCGGTTACGCTTCTTAATCAAATTACGGCTATGATTAAACCTGTGTAGGGAGATGGTTACAATGTCGGGTTTGGAACATGCACAGGGAAAATTGTTCCTTCACCGCCTTGATCAGCTCTAGCCGGTAACGTACCTTTATCACATTTACAAATTTTTTCCCTATAACCCTGAATTGTTTTGACCAAAAAAAATGATAACTAATTGGAGTTTCACTTTATCTGCAGGAGATTTCCATAATCACGATTATCACGATTAAGCACTTGTGGTATGGATATGATTTAAGTAGATAACCCCATCGGATTAATAATAAAAACATCTCGATATTGGTGTAATATGTTACTGAATCTTTTATAAAGAAAGACAACGGAATATTAATAACTTTCAATATGAAAGCGATATTCATCGAGTGGTAATGGGTCCATTAGTAACGGTCGGTCGCTAATACACAAACTTTCAATAATTGGTCTCTAGAAGTTACTAGTTACTAGTGACTGAGTTATATTCAACATTCACGAGTTATATAAAGAGTCAATAACGACCACCGTCAGAAATATTCTCATCCATATCAAGAAAAAAAATATGAAAAGTTCAAGAAAATTCTCATCGTCGACAACAACAGCCACCGTTATCCACACTTTCTATAATGACCATATTACCCCTCAAGCAACCAAACAAATCCCGATTGAAAAAACTCCATCTCCGGCGACGAAAGCCACCGTCCAGACTAACGCCGCCGCAGCAGCAGCTAGGATCCAGTCTGGCTATCGTTCTTATAGGATCCGAGGCCTATACAAGAAAATCTCATCGGTCAATCGGGAAGCGAATCGTGTACAGAGCATAATCCAACGGCAAGAAACAGTAGACGCCATTAGAAGCGATGAAAAAGAACGGCTGAGAATGAACGAGACTTTAATGTCTCTGCTTCTGAAACTAGACTCCGTCCCTGGTTTAGATCCATCGATCAGAGAAGCTCGGAGGAAAGTGAGCCGTAAGATCGTAGGGATGCAGGAAATACTCGATTCAATCTCGGAGACTAAAGACGAAATTCAATGGTGGAATTACAACGATCTCGGAGTGGATGCCGGACAAGGCGGCGGCGCGTGGCCTTTGTATTGGGAAGAAGCGGTGGAGGAAGAGATGTGTAGAGAGAAAGGCGGTGAGGAAATGGAGAGATTCTGTGCTCAGTATTTAGGTTTCAGATGTTTCCAGAGATTTCTCAGAGAATGACGGCGATTTAATCCGGTGTGTCGCAGTGTACGATAGATCATCTTTTTCTTTTGTTTTTAGTCCGTTTATATTCCGTTAAATAACGAAAGTTTCCGGGATTAATAACAACGGATTATCTTTTTTTGTATGTATGTAAACGAAATACGCGCCGTCTTGTATCAATGAATGTCATAATATGGTTTAAAGTGAAATTCTTTTGTTACTAAAAGTTAGTTATCAAAATAATTATTTACATTCAAAATCATATGAATACATATTGATCTTTTAGTGTTTAGATATTCATAATTTAAAGTTACAAAATAAACAGATTTGATCTTACTCTCAAAAAAATTGTAAAATTAATTTGAAAAAATCCCTTCAGTGTTTAGTAATTGCAATAATTTTGTTCATCATATAAACAAATTTTATGTGATGGAGTATATGTTTAATCGAGTTACTAAATACTAATTAGTCAATTCTATATTAGTACTATCGTTGTGTCATAATCCGGAAACAAATTTAAATGTGTGTGTGAGTTAATGATGGAAAAGAAAAAGAAGAATGAGATATAACTCAAAAACATATGAGTATAACTATGAACTATACGTAGCATACAACATATACAACATCAAGTTAAACGATAAAGATTGAACATACATAAATAAACGGACAAAGATCCAACATTTAACACATATTATTTTAACATCAAGAGAGCATTGGGTCGATTTGTTCCTAAGCCGCACAGCTACACTTACACCTAGAAACGCAGCGTTTACACACCAGCAGCGACGGCTTGGCCGCGGTGTCGCATCCACACGTGGTGGTGCACTTCCTCTGAGTCACACCGCCCCAAAGGCAACGAGCCATGCAACGGAGCACCGGCACGCACTTAGGGCAGTTGTATCTCATTTGCTCCGCCAGGCATGTCTTGCAGCTGTTTTGTGACGGTGGATGCCGACAAACACCACCGGAGCCAGCAGCGGCGGCTCTCAAAACCGATAGCAGGATTATGAGGGTGATGAGAGAAGAGAAGATGCTTTGAAACTTGTTGTAGGTCTTCTTCATGTTGGATTTTTGTTTTGGTTTGTGAGAGAGTTGAAATTTGTATGTTCGAGAATGTTATTGGCTTTATTTGTATAGAAAATTTGTGATGATATACGAAATTTTGTGGTGACTTCGTATATCAAGAGTTAAATACGAGATTGATAGTGCAGTACACCAAGATGCATTTAAGTGAGGCATTCATTGTTCTTGAAGTGTACAATTTCCATAAATGCGCTCTTCAATCTTTTTTATTTCAACTACAATATGTTAAATATAAATATTTCCGGTAACACAGAAATATATATCCCCCAGAATGCATGAAACTATAGAATATTATACAAAATGAGTTTTGGTAAACTTGTACTCAATGCATGGATGTTAAACAAGGGTCAAAACACTCACAGAATTATTTTAGTAAAAATATCTCCGTTTCAACCGAAAAGCCTATGAAATTTCTTTTAGGCTTTTCTTTTCATTTAGAAAACTCCCAGGAAAAACCAAACCAAATTTAGTTTTATATAGAATTTTGACTATGAATACAGGAAAATGGAAATCTATAATGATGACGTAGTTCATCTATTTCATAGCAAATAAAAATCATGTTAAATTCATGCACATGAATCAAAATCTAAATCTAGCTTGTTTGAAAAATAGAATATAATCCAAAAATAATATCTTAGAGAAGAACAAACAACAAATTGTCTATATCAAGTGAGATGAAGAATCATCCAAAAAAAGTTAGGCGAATAACTATATGAACAAATTTAAATTGAAGAAACAATAATGAATACTATATATATTTTTCTCTTCTTCCAGTAATTTTTGTGATGGATCACAGCCAATTCTTGCGAATATCGAAGGTGTAGTTGTTCTCCAAGTAGCATTTATCATCGTCATCGACGAACTGAAAAATAGATCCAAGATAATATGTAACTGATTTAAATAATAATGCATAAATAGTCTAGAAATTAATAAAACTCTAAACAATTTTTTTTTTTTTTGTCAAAGAACAAATTTTCTTGCATGCTAGATGATGCATAGTAATTAAACAAAAAGAAAATGTAACTATTAGATTTTTGGTACCTTAGATTTAACAGAATAGGAGCCTCTAACAAGCAGACCAGAGGGCGCCGTCTCTTCAAACATGACATGAGTGTACGGTTCCGCCTGTGGACTAAACGTTCCTAACATTTCCTTCCTACTATACACTGTTCTCCACAAAGTTAAAGAAATTAAATTAGACAAATTAAAGGCTTCAAACATGAGTTTACTTATGGAAAACGAATGTGTAAAAGACAAAAATACCCTTGATTCCGGTCTTCCAAACTGTATTGCTGTACCGGAGGCCGGACACAATGTTGTTGGTGACACGGAAAGTAAATATGAGAGTGTACTTAGAGCCTTCTTTGAGAGTGAACCATGGTCCTTTCGAAGTCGGTTTTCCGTTTTCAGGGATAGTTAATACCATGTCTTCTCTATCCGGTGACCTAATTGTTAAGGTCAGTATCTTTACCACCGGATCCGGAGTTTCTGTATTTACATTTTGTTACTCTATCAAAACATTACATATGTATCTACTGTTTACTTTTTAACAGCACCATTCAATGTGTGCTAGTGAATTCGAGCAAACCAATTATACCCTTGTATGGTTTATTAATCTAATTATATTTTACGTTAATTCACTCTTACGTTAATTAGTATACCTAAACGGCTAAACAGATCACACACGAGGCAATAGATATATGGAATTAGGGACGAATTATAATTTGTAATCAATAGAATTCTCTAACCGGATTTATCTGCTCTTAAACCATAGATATAAACCGAGTATTGGATTTTGGTTTACCTCCGACCTCCTCAAGATCCACGCTGCCTAGAAGTTGCTCCTTCCATCTCCTCAAGCTTTCATCATCCTAACAATTTTTTAATAGCAGAAAAGGTGACTATATATTCGTGGAGATATGAAAAGTAAATTCACCGTTATTATAACATGTCCGGACTAACATAGCCAAAAATTCAATTTGGTTTTTAAAATTTATGAAATCATAACAAGAGAGATCAAAACCTTGTCTTTCTCGAGCTGTTCTTTAAGAGCAACCATGGGACCAAGTTCAAGTTTCCTGTCTTCTTCTTCTTCATCATCATCTGTCGGACACATAGAGCTATGGCTGTTTTTCCTGCTTAGCCCTTGCCCCTTTGGCTCTTCTGAAGACTCTCCAGCTTTCTCCTCATCATTCAAAACCATCTTTGTTTTCCTGATCTCTATTCGTTCTCTGATTTAATTCGGATATATCCTAGAAATCTCTATCGTTGGATTTGACTCGATATGATTTACTGGAGATGGTTATGCAACTGAGTTCAACGAGGATACAGCAAAACACACTTCATAAAACGGAGGAGCAAAAAGGAAAAAAGAAAAGGAGAGAAAAAAAGAGAGTCTAATTAAAGGGTTTGTTTTTCGTCAAAAGAATGAGAAGAAAGTAACAAGAAGAGAAATAAAGAGAATTAAAAGACAATGAGAGAGAAATGTTTGAGGAATGTTTAAATATGGAGTTCGAAGAAAAGGTCATATGTGGTGATCCTTAATTAATTAAGACTTGTAGTCTTCCCGTTCACAGGATTTTTCTTCTTTCTAAAAATAAAACAGTACAAACTATATATGCATGCACGCACGTAAATCTGAATAGACGTATTCACCTCTTGAGTCTGGTCCGAAAAAATTGTGCGCCAAAAGCCCATATAACTTCTTTGGTTAAAAAATTGTTACTTTCCATTATCTACCGACTACCATGAGCAGCAAATGTCGTGGCGATGGAGGGAAATTGGTCTAATAAGAGTCAGTGGTACCACTGGTAATAAAGAAAGAGAAGTTTCGTAGGTTTTAAAGAAAATCCAAGAGAAAATTTATTGGGCTATTGAGTTAATTGGGCCTCTAGTCCCAAGTCTAAAGTCCAACAGTGGTCTGTGAAATTTGACCTCCACCACTATCTACTAATTGTTAGAATAGTATATAGCATCGAAAACAAATTTATACTATCAATTATGAAATTGAATGCAGCAGTACATACAAATTGCATTGATGCTATGAAAATCGCACTAACCGTCATTAGTTACTTCTACGAAAATTTATTACGTTTGCACTTTGCAATGTGGAACGAACTTCACTTTCAAAATTTGAACTTACTAACCTTACTATAAGAACTTATTAAGAATCCTCTACCATGAGATTCAGATCCTCCTTCTAAATCAACGGTGTATAACCAATCGTAGAGAAATTATAATCAAGAGACATATATCCATCAGTTTGTCCGCGCTTTAGCGTTACACATGTTCAAGACATGGGACGTTTATCATAATTGGGACACGAAAAGTGCATTATTTGCAACTTTTTCTCAGATCTACATCATTTATTAATTAAAGTTATATCGAAGAGTAAAAGATATATATATTTGTGTGTGTTTCCCTCTTTTTTCTTTAGATCCATATATCTCGTTTTTGATGAAATGTATGGTTTTAATAAACTCTTTTTAAGCTTCGTAACGTTTTTTTTTTAATTATTATTATTAGATTACGATCTGGACCGACGAACGACGTCACTAAGTTGCAATTTATTTATCTATGACCAAACAAAATTTCTGGAACTTGGAAATAGAGTGATGGATGCATTATTGTGTTAAGATTGTACTGTAGATTTCTATAACCGATAGAAATGTCCCTCGGTGTTGACTTATACCTAAGATATATCTACTTTTTTTCCCTCTACCAAAAATTTCCAGTTTTGTAACATTTATCCCTTAGGCATTATTGGTGTTTTAGTTCATTTTCGGGCAAAACTATTCGATAAATGGGACCAACTGAATGGGGTTATCTTAGCCGACCAACCCTTTTTACCGGCTTTTCTGCTGGCCATTCTTTACAGATTGTGATGAGTACGTGGCTTGTATCTTCTTTTTCTTCGTCGAAAAAGAAATCAATATTAATCACAATCTGCTCTATTTATTTCATCAACTAAACGTAAAACCTAAATAGAGATTGTTTTTAAGGTTCTAAAACCTAAACATTAGCGATTGGCTTAAAATCTAATTAGAGAAAACATCAATCACATAATTTTGATTTACAATTTTTTAACCAACATCAATATGTTTTTATAAACTAAATAATCTATCTAACTGAAATATAGATATAGTATATATGTTAATATATATTATATACTGAGCTAGAGACAATAATGTCAAAATTAATCTAATCATGTATATTCAATATAAAGTACAGTAAATATAGGAATATAATGTCAAATTTATTTTTTAAAATAAAATTTGATAAAAATAAATTTTATTAGTGAAGATAGTAGTTTATTTTTGGGTTCAATTTTCATATTAATTTTTTTATTTTGTTAAGGCTTTAGAGTTTAGATATCCTTAAATGGCGTTATTGACCAATATACGGTAACTGATGTACTTAAGGGTCCACATTCACGACGAATCCTACCTGGCTCACACTCACATGGGCCCGCTTTAACTTGTTGCCACGTCAGCTTAAGTCAAATATGGTACAAATTTTAAATAGCGGAGTAGTACTAAATTTGTGAAAAATACCCTTATAATTAAATACGTTAATTAGTCTGATTCTTTAAAAGAAGAAATGCTGAAATTCTGTAGTTAAATCTTTTTTTTCTATATAATATATAATCTTGTTTTTTTAATTCATGGAAAATACTTTTGATTTTTTAAAAAAAATTATTGACTCTAATAGTAAGATTGCATTCTCTTTCTCAGACAATAATCAATCCCAGATCGCTTGACATGATCGCTTGACATGATCAAAATGGTGAAAAGAAAATGATTTACACAGTTTCATCATGTTCGTGACATGTAATTTCCAATGCTAATTAACCGATAATAGTAAAATAAATTACAATGGAAAAATGTTAAAATTTGAAAAAATAGTAAAATCATTTAAAATTTTAGTAAGTCCAATACCAAAATGATTTGAAGTTGAAACGTAAAGAGCTGCAACGTTCAAATGAGAAGTTGTAACGTTCAATTTTAAAAAAATTAATAAGAGTTTCAACGTTAATAACATGAAAGGGTTGTTGTAACGTTCACTGAAGATGGAAGCAAAAAGCTTCTCAAAAAACTTCTATTGTATATCATTTTTCTTAAATGTAAAATAGAATTTAATTTCCTAGTTGAAAATTGATTTTTTTTTTTTTTGTTACAACTTGACAAGTAATGGTTAAGCTAAGTGGTGATGTTCTATATCTATGTGGAATGAGGTGTAAAATAGTACAATTTTTTTTATATATAAGCAAAAAAAGATTCTTTCAATGTGCAATACTCATCATCATGGTTCTTTAAAGAAATTAATATTTTTAATATATATTTAGTTAAAAAATATTATTGTAAATCATTTGCTTCTACTATAAATACCCCTCTTGATCAAATCTCTTCACTCACCAAAGCATCACATACACTATTTTTCTCCTCTCCTTATTGTCAATATATTTTTCCTCTTTAGCTTTTTCATTTCGAAATGGCCACCGTTGAGGTATTCTCTTAGTTTTGTTTTTTTTCTTTCTCAAATTATAAATCTATATCTATGATTCATTTTCGTTGTTAATATTATCCATATTTGATTCATATCAATATCTTTACAAAGACGATCAGCTTACATATATATATATCATTTATCTATGATTCTATCAAGTGAGATGGAACCGAATGCAATTTTTCTATTTAATAAGTATGTTTTCGCTTACAGGTTGATCAAGTGACTCCAGTAGCAGTAGAGAACGTTGAGGTACCAACAAAGACAGTGGAGGAGCCAGTGGTGGAGACAGAGGTGACCCAACAGCCTGAAGAATCCGTCCCCGCCGTGACAGAACAAGAATCCGAAGCACCAGTTGTAGAAACGAGCGAAGAAGTGGTTGTGGAAGAGGCAGAGAAGAAAGATGAAGAAACCGAGAAGAAAACAGAGGAGGAAGAAGAGAAGACAGAGGTGATCACGGAAACTCCGGCAGTTGAGGAGGAGGAGAAGAAAGCTGAGGAAGTGACAGAAACTCCGGCGGTTGTGGAGGAAGAGAAGAAGACAGAGGCGGTGGAGGAGAAACCGACTGAAGTTGCGGCTGCTGAGGAAGTCGCCGTGGAGAAGACCGAGGAGTAAAGAGGAAGGAAGAAGCTATATATATGACCTCTTTTGGTCTTATATCGTTTTCTGTTTATTTTATTTTATCAACATTTCATAAGTATTTGCTATGTTTGTCTGGTTTGTTATGATGAAATCAGATCTTTGAATCTTTTAATTGGTGCTACATTGTTTACATGCTTGGTCGTAGCTACAAAGTACAACCTTAAAACCGAGAACATGGAAGATTATAACCGTTTGCGTTTGAATGCAAAAAAATTTACATCCCTTTTTTAAAATACACACATTATTCAGTTTTTCATAAAAAGATATAAAAATGAAAATTGTCTTGATTACTGTGAGATTGTAATTTTATTTGGAAATTTATATTAAATGTAAACGTTAAACATGAGACCTAGGAATCTAATAAATGAAATTTAATGTTTTTATAATATTTCATTAGGAGGTGTTAGCGAATTTCAAAGATGTCAGTGATGCAATCTTCTTGAGTGCAAACGACCTTTTTTTTTTTTTTGGTGTTTAGGAAAGGCCTAATATTCTTGGTTTAGAAATTTGAATCAGACAAAGTTACCCCAATGACTCAATTTGTTGATTTACCAAAAGATTCTGGGATTATTAATCTCCTCGGGTCAGAGTGTCGAGCATGTAAATTAGTATTTTCTTCTTTGGTGTGGTGAATTCTTCTTCACGCAACCATTCGCCACTTCAACGAGTCAAAGACTCAAATGTCTATAATGTGCGTTATGTGGATGTCAAATAGACAAAAATGATATCGTTTAAAGAATTAACTTAGCGGTGGTGCTGGGTTTATATTTTTGGGCCTTCTTTAGTCCGTCTGCGAGATCAGTAGGCAACAATGTTATATGACCCAAGCCCACCTTGGCACTTTCATGGAAAATTTTTTTTATCACAATTATGAATTATGTTTGTCTGTATGTGATAAGAAAACGGAATTTGCAATAGATTTTAGTAAAAGTAATATTATATATATATATATATATATATAATTGTAAATAAAAATTATTGCAAATTAGTTACAAACCGGTTGCAGTTAGTTATGTATATCTTAATGATGTATATTAATTTTAATATGATCTTATTAATACATAAAACTCCAATTTATTTGCTGACCCCGATCTTACACCATTACGTACGTTTGTAATAATAGATGTGAGAAAGCTATTTTATAAGCACAAAAAAGACGTTTACGTAGTTTATCAACGGTGTGTTGCCTGATAAACTACAAGAAAAATATCATTTTGTATCATTTATTCTAAATTTTTGTATATATTTATAATTGATGCAAAAAAAATTACATCATTTAAATAAACGACTTTGAAAGTGATGATGCAAATAATTAACATCATTTTGTTAACAACTGATGTAATCATAAATAATATTTGTATCGGTTAGTTTTGTGATACAATACACTAATTTTTTTGTAGTGTACGTCTACAAAATCATATGGTATGGGAAACAACAAATAATTATATCAACAAAATTTGTCATTTCACAAGTTAATACTTAAAGATCCAAATCTGTTTACAATAATGAAATTATTACTAAAATTTCACGAAAATGTACGTCGCAGAAAATATGCTCCAATATCCAATAGTTTGTTTTTGGATTTTAGCCCATGATACTTGAAGTTCATGATTCAAAATCAAAAGATGGAGATTGCTTCTACTGTTTCTTGCTTAGTCGATATACACGTTATATATAATGTAGGAGATATTCATTGAACTAAGAGTAAGAAGAAAACAAAGAGAGTTCACGGGCTCAACTTGAATCCACCGAATTTATAATTGCTCCTTAGGACCATCCAACTCTGAAATGACACGCAATACATTGTGACAGCAAACTGTGATGACACAAACTCACAAATTGTAATTAAGTTCTTTTGTTTTAAATGACTATTTCTATATATATATTTAATGATTAGTTATTGGAGGGTTAAAAATAACCGAGAGAATGATCGTGAATGAATCTATATTTACTAATAGCATCTAATATGTTGATTACCTCATATAACGATGAGATTAATAGTAGTATTATTATGTGTATCAAAAATGATAAATGATATTGTTTTTGTTACAAAGAATGGATTAATATGCATGAATGAATATCACAATGAAAAGGAGATGAGATCTAAGATAACGCATAAATGATATAGATTAATCCATATATATATTGTTAATTAATTTTAAGTGAGAAGCATGTGAAACTTAATGGTATTAAAATTCAGGTTGATCCTGTAAACAATTTTTTACTCTAGTTGTATGTCTTGTAGTAGTAGTACTAATGAGATCATGGAAGAATCTAACATTCTGTATAAAAGATATATATAGCTCAATCCATTAACTATATTAAAAAAAGGGAGCAAAAGGCCATAAGTTTTTGAATATATATATATATACTAACTATATATATATTTTTTACTCAAATGTTCATTTTACTCCAAAAATTTTGTTAGTTTTTTTTTTACTAAGAAGTTCTGAATCTAGATCAGTATATTTTCTCATATCAAGGACCAGAGCATTTTATATGGTCACCTCTCAAGTGCCATTTGAACCGACGATTTTCTAAGATTTGCCTGAGAGTGTTTACCAATTGCTCTATTGACACTTGGTAATATTTAAATTTTATTTAAAGAATTTTACTGAAAGAGTTAGTTTGGATTCATTATAGAAAGAAATAGCCATCAAAGAGGGAACACATTAATATTTCACATAATTTCACATAGGTAGTGATTAACAAAAAAAAAATTCACATAGGTAGTGAAATAACATTTACAATATTATAAAAATATGTGTTAATCCACTAATAACCAAGTAATGAGAAACTAAAACATCTGTTAGATAAATATGAGATCACGAGTGTTACACTATCTATGGCCTTGTCACAGAACATTCCTCATTGATTGATTACGACATCTACTATATGTGTCGTTTTATTCATCTAAATATCTAATGACGGCCAATTGCAAGCTAAAATTCGAACCTTTAAGCGTTTACAACCGCAGAGATATATATGATTGTTATTTTTTGAGACTTAGTCATTTATACTGATTTTATTTTCTTTGATATTAGTTGTTACGTTTTTTTGCCTTGATATATGAACGAAATCCGTTGTATCCATCGTCCGACAAAAAGAAAAAACCCGTTGTCTCCATCTAGAATTGGACAATGTTTTACGTACCTTAGAGAAGCTCGGATTTAAAGTTGCTATAATTAGTTTTTATATAAGTATAATATCGTAGCCAATCATATATGTATAATGAATTTTCTGCGATCCTTCGAAGTGCATGTGGTTTGAGACCATATGTGGTCTGGAATCTTTCAACTTTATTGAGGTGGTGACTACTATCCCGAAAAGACGAAACAAAACAAAAACACACCTTTAGTTTGTTCTCCACTTCCTTCCTAGTCCCATGTGACGACCAAAAGAGATCTTATAACTTACTCTTCAATATATCCTTCACTAGATTCTTTATTCACTGGAAAGAATCGTTTGTTACAATTAGATCTTATATATGTATGTTTTTGTTTTGTTTCTTCACAGTTTGTAGCCCTATTTTCATCTTATAATCGATTACTATCCTAGAGAGTGTTCACAGATTTATCGAAATAAATCACCAAAAAAATATATTACGGTCTGTTTTACCATCATTTGCATGTATGCTGAAAAATACTTCCTTTTTTTTAATAATAACTTTATTCATCCTTCTCCTCTAAAAAGAAATTAATCCCCTGTTTGTATACAGTAGATTTTCTGTTCTCCACACATGTCAAAATACATTTGTTTGTATAAATATTTGGCGGTATTTGTTTGTATGTATATTGATGTTTAGGCATCTATCAATATTACATATACAATATAATATATATATTAATATATATTGGTAACTATATAATTAAATGTATAATGCAGTTATGCCTTTGTATGAAAACAATGGTTATAAGGACGCAGCGATTTAAAGATTGATCGAGACGTCAGGCCCGAGAGCACAGTCTACTAAAATCTTTCCTTTTATTTGTGGCCCAAAATAACTCGCCTTTTTTAAATGCATAAATTTAATTTTCAAGTAAATTTAGATGATTTATTACTTACTATACATATCTTTTTTTGAAACTTGAACTTAATATCTCACTAAGTGTATACGTGTATATTCTTATGAATATTATATTTGACGTGTATTTTTCAGATTTTCGTGATTCACCATTTTTAACAGTGGGTAACCCAAATGTTCTTGCATTCTAATGATTTAGTAAATTTTTCCGGTATATATATACATAACATTTCTTATCGCCTTCAATGTTATTGCCACAATTTTAACAAATTTATTCTACTATATATTTTTGGATGATTAATACAATTGGTTAGAAATATACTAATTAATATTAATTTTTTCCTAAGAATTTATGATAAGATAAGTGTAATGGTAGGCTTCTCTTCAGATGAAGTAGTGCTTGTATACAAATATGAACCAAAATATTTGGTAGAAGATACAATATATATAAACCATAAAACATAATATTCACTAAAATATATATTGAGTCCACAACATAAAAATTAAATTCTTATTAATTCATAGAATCATAATACAAACCAATACAGAAATACCCCCAATGGTAAGAGTATATATAATGGGAAATAATGAAACTGTAAACTTCAGGATTACGGATCACACAGAAAGAGACTCCAATGAACACCAGAGCAAGAAGACTAGATGAAACCACAGATCAAGATATATGAAGACACAATAATAAGAGTATAGAATAACCTTGTCTCTTTAAAACAAGAAGATAAATACACACATAAGTGTATTTAAATTATATATCAATATGGTTATTAGCATTGGAAGCCAGGAGGAAGTTGTTTGCTGCAAACATTGAGGAGCAGACTTAGAGATATTGGGAGGTTCAAGTTGATTCCAAGAATGTTAGCCTTAAGGGCGGTGCAGAGACAAACGGCTGCTTCAACATCAGCGAGTCCTTGGATGAGGCTGCAGCATGGCTCGACCGGTGGCTTGCCAAGGGTCAAGTCGAGGAGGCCGTTGAGCACATTAGCGCAGACACCGAGCTTGAGGGTATCTTTAGGGCACTTGCTCGAGCCAGAGCTAGGGCTTGGAGTTGGTTTAGGAGTTGGCTTTGGCTTGGGAGAGGGGCAACCTCCACCGCACGGAGTGCAGCTACCACAGGCAGAGATTGTTGTGAAAAAGAGGAGATTGAGAGCCAAGAAAAGGGCTATGGAGCTTGAAGCCATTTTTTGTTTAGAGGATACTGTTCACTAGCTACGTTGTGAGTGAATTGGGTGTGGAGAAAGTGAAGGGAATTGAGATGGGTTTTATAGTGGTTTCAAGAAAAACCCAAGAGCGTCCATAAGATATATTATGGGATTTTTTAAATAATAATAGATATGAATGATTGACTACCTTTATCATAATTTTATTGATTACAATTATATAAAAAAAAAGATTGAATGATTAAAGTTATGTACACGGAAGTTTATACATTGTCCATTTAAAGTATATGAAGATACGAAATGTATTATAACTGTGATGTCAATTTTTGTTTGTTTTTTGTCTACAATCTGAAATTTTTGCCTAGATGTATTAATAAATTTGTTCTTTTCTTTTAGTTTTGGGATAAACTCGTTGTCTTTGTAATCGATGCGAAACATGATCGATCCTCAACTAGCTAGACGTATATGTACCTTTTTGTTACGAGTTACGACTGCTGGCTTTATCATAAGTTTGATTTTCATGTCACAGTTCAAAAGTTCTTAGATACAGAAAATTTGCGATTTATAAGTTTATAAGTTCTTAATTAGTCTTTCTAGTTTAGAAAATGAAGTCTTTTGTGAATGTTCATTTTTTTTTTCATGAACACTATTTTTTCTTCTTCTTTTAAATATGTATTTAGTATACCAAAGAACCTTTTGGTCTAATCATCTATCAGAACCTAACGTTAGCTGATGAAAAAAAAAAAAGAACCTAACGTTAGTATAGAGTGGTACTGCGCGTAACCAAACTCAAGAAAAATATGATGTAAATTTATACCTTAATACACACAAAACTTTGTTGATTAATCATGTAAAAATCACATATATTTTGTTTTTCTTCACCTATTCCTATAATATTGCTACACATTCTATATGATCATTTGAATTAGAGTTATTATGGGTTGGAGACGTTTTATCATGCATTTTTTTTCTTCAAAAAAAGCTCAAATTAAATAACTAATCAAATTGTTTACATATACCACTATTTTTTTGCTTCCATTAATTTTATTTTTCTACTCATTCCATATTGGCCACATCCTAAAACCAGCTCTACCTCCCACATATAAAAGAAATCATTTCCCTTTACTAAATCCAAGAAATATTAATTGAGTTCCTTGTCATTGTTCCCTCTATGATATTCCGTGGAGTCCATCATTATATTTATGTAAAATATTAGTATAGACTTATTTATTAAGTTTACATAGCGACGATAATGCCTTATCACAACTTGCATATCAGCCCTAGGTTATAATGTAATTGACAGAAAAAAAGAAAGAAAGAATAATACGAAAATGTAAACACTCTACAATCTAAAAAAAATGATATGTTTGATTTATGGGGGAAAAATATATATTTTTATAAATTTAATAAAAATAAATGTACATTCTCGTCTAACTCAATACAAAAATGTAAACATTTTATAATCTCATTTAATTGTAAAATCAAAACTCTAATCTTTTTATAAACCAAACCGATATTTAATTGTAAAATATAAACTCTAACACTCCATTTTAAACTCAAACCGACATATAATCTCGTTTAATTGTAAAGCCGAACTCTTCATTATAAATTCAAACCGACAATTAAACTCTAACTTTCTCTTATAAACCCAAATCGATATATAACTTATTAATTTTTTAATATTTAATAAAATTTAGATTCCGATTGGTTAGAAAAAATGGGTTGAATAGAAGGGTTAACCCAAGTATTTTTCTTTGTATCCACAATCTGCAAAGATATTTTATATATAATGCATGGTTGCCAGAGAAACCATGTGATAGCGAGTGACAATGCTGGTTCTCTTGTGCTCTTCACAAACAAATGTAAAACAAGATAAGATTGATCATGAGAGTACAACGAAGCGCCTCACTGCAGACACATATATATACCAAAGACATCTCATCTACGTACATTCGTCTAGCTATCGTTGAATGATTTAAAATTCGTATATAATAAGAGATCTTTGTATATACAGATTAGTAGATTACTTGATATCAAATTTGATCATAATTACGTATTAATTCAAAATTAATATGTCAGCACTATCAAAAGACATGTTGATAAAAGATTATCCTACCATTGATGTTACCGAGTTTTAACCCAATAACTTTTCTAGAAATGTAGATGTAGTATTTATTAAAAAGACCAAATTGTTACACACTAAATTAAAATGCGAAAATTGAACTAAGTTAAGAGTTAAGACTAAAGCTAAGGACTGAATTTGTTTGAATAAGCATAGACAGGATAAATAACAAGCAATGGAAATAAACACGCAAAATGCAAATGGAATTATACCAAAGAAGCAATTAAACAAGGATATCAAGTACACTAGCAATTATGAAATAAAGGGAACTAGAAAAAAGAAAGTTGCAATCAATCAATCAACGATAGATCATATCAAATTACAATGAAATCAATGCAAAAAAGTAAGCAAATGATTTGGCAAAAAAAAAAAAAAAGTAAGCAAATGATTTTCCTAAAACATGATCATTAATAATGAGATTGTAATTCCTCAATATGTTTTATAAAAAAAAAATCCTCAATAATTTTAATCACCTTCACTGATCACCTAATTAATTACCTAAAGCTACGAAAATCCCATTGATAATCTACGTAATTACTAATTAGTGAGAAACTGGAATAGGTTTGTTCACTAGTTAAGCTCATAATTAAAACTAATTCTCATTGGCTAGCCTAAGTTTATTATACTATTGGGCATAGAATGCCTTGAATTCTATAATCAGGCGAGTGCAATATAATCATAAGCACCACAAATCAAGTACCAATCCATAAACTTCACATGCATGATCTATCCTATACCCAAAAGGGGGTAACTACTTACACATAAAAATCATATTATAAGAAAGTAATTATAACATGCTCGATGTGATGAAGAATCATAATAAGATTAAAAGACTAACAACTAGCTTAAATACAAAACAAACAACTATGAGTCGAATAAGGCAAAATAGGTCTCGTTAAATTAAAAGTTTAACAGTCGAACAATATTCTAACCCGGAAAAAGATTAAGGATTTTAATTAGTTGAACCAGTAGATTACAAATTGATTACAGATCAAACTCTAGAGTCATACACACTGCAACTTGGCCTTCCGCCCCCACACATGATTCTTATTATTGTTTGTTTTCTTATAATTATTTTTATAAAAATATTCTTATTATTATTCACTTCACGGGATTACATAAGAATTCTAAATCGCCCATTGGTTCGTCTTGTGATCCACTGGACATCAAATGATATTAAAGTATCTTTATTCTGGTAATGGATCTGTAAAATTATCGTTTTATTTTTATATAACAAAAAAGGTAACGAAAAATATTAGTTGTTATCAAGCGGTTCTAATTTGTCTACTGACGTTTTTAGAAAAACTCTGAAGCTTGTAATCTATATGATTGTACTTGCAAAGCTATTGGGCTAATTATACGTATAGATAATAAAATTAGTTCTATTATCATGCATCTCCCAATTAATTCATCGAAAAAATGCATCTAGACTATACATAGTCTTATACGAAGTATCGACTTGGTAATTAATATAGCACCTTCACAGTCTACACTATGCGAGTCTTATGGTTCACTGGGGAGCGGGAGTCCCAAAGCTAATCATATCCTTAGCTCTAAAGACACTGATAAGAAACATTGATTAGGGTTTAACTTAGAGATCAATGGAATCCAACAGATATTTTTCCGCAGTTCTCTTCTTATCTTTTAATCTCATGTTTTTTGCGTATGTTAGTGGCTGCAACACTTGCTTTCCACCTAAGCTAATCCCAAACCCTAACCCTATCAGCAATCCTATAAAGCATAGCTGCCCAATAGACGCCCTAAAACTCGGACTTTGCGCCAAAATACTAGACGGTGCAGTTGGAACTGTCATCGGAAACCCACCCGACACGCCTTGCTGCTCATTTCTTCAAGGGCTTGTCGATCTTGAAGCTGCCGTATGTCTTTGCACCGCCATTAAAGCTAACATTCTCGGGATTAACATCGACATTCCCATCTCGTTGAGTTTGCTCATCAATACTTGCGGCAAAAAGCTTCCCTCTGATTTCACTTGCGCCTGATAAGATGTATAAGGATGAATCGAGCAAGTAGTTTTATTTTTTTCGTATGTTTTATTTGCTTCTGTTTGTTTGGTCGGTTCTCGCCTAACTCAATCCACATGTATTCTTGTTTTAGCCATGTCTGAAAAATTCTTGTTTCCTACTTTGGTTGGTGTAAGATTTTATCTGTTTCATGCGTTTAGTTCACAAGTGTTAAGGGTATGCGCAACTATAGGTAAATTGGTAATTAGTAGATAGTTTGGATTCTTAGCGTATTATTAATTTATTTGTTGGAATCTAAATTACCACTAAAAACCACTTATAGAATGACAATATAATGATCCGATAACAATATTTGATGTTTTTAGTCCATACCTAAATTTAGAAACCGTGCACATGCTGAAACCGTGCAAATAGCTAGATTATCAGATAATTTAGATTCCAACAAATAAAATATAATTAAAACATACTTTACAGATCCGTTAAAAAAAAACTCAGTATCGATTTAGAAAGCACATATTTTATTAATCATGGCGTAAAATATCTCAGATCCCGGCTGTTATTATTTATGGTGATTTTAGAAATAATTAGTTTGAATTCTTAGCGTATTATATATATCTAATTACCAGCCCGTTAACCTTTGGACAAGTGTTTTAGGCCACTTGTGCTGGTCTCGGTGTAGGGGTGTTCCACTCCAAGTTCTTCTGAGTGGGGTTAAATGGATCAGTAGAGACCCTGACACAACATATTGCCAAAGCAGGAGCAGACATACTTTTTGTATTGTAACAATCTTTTAGAAACTTATATAATGGAGCTTTAAAATTAGAATCAACTACGGATTTTGCCATTTTTTAAAATGGTATATATTGATTATACTTTTTTTTTTTTAATATTTTGTGAATTTTACCATTATTTTCAAGCAACAAAAATATGATTTAACATGCATTTTATCCGTTATGTTTGAGTTTAGTCAG